TGTATAGAATCGGGTTATTCCAAACCCATTTGAAAATTCTGCTAGTGTGTTATATTTGTCATTAACGGTTGGTTGACGGAGTATCCTTGATTGGAACTTTTTGATAGGGGTATTTGTGGGTTTTCAATAGTTGAAGGTTTTTTTTTTTTTTTTTCTCATTTTGCCCTAATATTAAATAAATTACTTTAATAAAACTATATTTGAAAGTACAATGATTATAAATCTTCAATTAGTGGAGTCATTGTTTGGTGCGAGATGATTGCAGAACATTGCCATTATAAATAGGTCAATAGATCTTGATAAAAACAGAATTTAAGGCGTTTGTATACATTCAATCCGGTTTTAGAGAATGGCAAAATATGAGTCCAAATGTTTATGGCTGACCAAATTATTGTAATGTACCATTGATTTTATTAAATTCTTTTGATTTTGTTTCATTCATGTTAGAGATCTAATTTTATGTTAGTAGTAGAGAAACCGTGCCATAATTGTTGAGAGTTTAATATCTAAGAATTCACTGTAACAGTTCACACTTCACGGTTACTATTTGGTTGTCTATAAGTTGGTTATCAACTATTTAGAAAGCACCGACATTTCACTTAAAAGTGAAAAAGCAGTGTGAGACACTTGGATGCGCGTAGAACATCGTTAAAAATGTCTTGAAATTTAAATATTTTTCTTGGACATGGTAATGACACATTTTGCACTTTCACCACACTTTGGAGTTTTGTAATTATTTTTTTAAAAAGAATGAAATTCAATTTAAAATATATTATTGATCAATTAAAAAAATATATAAAATAATAAATAAAAAAAAACAAAATAATAAATAACTAATTCTAAGCTTTAAATTTGTGATTTCATTTATGATAGTATGGATAAAATAAAATGACCTTAGAAAAAAAAAAGTATGAATAAAATGAGTAAAACATATTATTATTATTATTATTATATATTATTACTTTTTTACATATTTATGTTGTTTTTGTATTTTATTTTTAAAAAATTTGTTGTATTGTACTCATATTCTGTGTCCGAAGGCAATTCGTGTTAACGGATTAGAGTCGACACGAATACAACACGATTATTAATCGTATCAAGACCTCTTGACACGAACACGACATATGTGTAACACGACATGACATGCGTAATCCGTTTAATAAATTAGTCAAAATATAACACGACACGAAATGACATAAAAAAAGACGTTTAAGTCATTTTTGACACAAACACGACACATTTATTCTACACGTTTAGCTAAATATGTCATTTCTCACACGACACATTTATCCGACACATTTAAGTAATCAGGTTAATCGTGTCATAATCGTATTAGTAGGGTCAAACATGAACACGACACGTTTGATTAATAGGTTAATACGTATCAACACGATTACACAGATTAATCCAAACTCAAATCTTTTAATTCATACCGTGTTAATGTATTGTGTCAAATATTTTTCATCCGTACGAATCATTGCTTCCTACTCGGACAAGCTTTAGAATTTTTCTTATAGTAATCAGAAACATTTTGACATTGGGCTGGATGGATGAATTATACTAATGCATTTCTAATTGGTAAGGTTAGGTTGTTGTCTACGCCAAATGACAAAAAGAGCCTACGCCAAATGACAAAAAGAGCCTGTCGATGATAAGTTATTGTAACGACCCTCACCCTGGCCAGACACAATATTGTCCGATTTTGGCTCACCCAGACCAGAGACTTCCCAGGGGGTCACCCATCCTGGTACTACTCCAAGTTAAACACGCTTAACTACAGAGTTCTGATGGGTTCACGGCCATCACGGCTTTAAAACGCGTTGTGTCATAGAAGGGTGTTGAATCTACATATAGCACTTGCCCCATCCACACCCAGACGATGTGGGATTGTGCACCTGTAGCTCGCCCAGTGTGGTAGCGTACTGGTACCCCCTGCACACGCTCACACACACCCGCCCACAAGGTCGCCACAATAACCCCCCTTTTGGGGCCCAACGTCCTCGTTGGCCACACTTCCGGTTGGGTCAGACTCTGATACCATTTGTAACGACCTTCACCCTGGTCAGACACAATATTGTCCGCTTTTGGCTCACCCAGACCAGAGACTTCCCAGGGGGTCACCCATCCTGGTACTACTCCAAGTTAAGCACGCTTAACTACAGAGTTCTGATGGGTTCACGGCCATCACGACTTTAAAACGCGTTGTGTCATAAAAGGGTGTTGAATCTACATATAACACTTGCCCCATCCACACCCAGACGATGTGGGATTGTGCACCTGTAGCTCGCCCAGTGTGGTAGCCGACTGGTGCCCCCTGCACACGCTCACACACACCCGCCCACAAGGTCGCCACAGCTATAAAGACAGAGAGTGACCTGATAAGCTATATTTAAATGGGAGAAATGCATAAAACACCCCTCAAGTATACTTTAAGTAGTACTGTTACCCCTTATTTAAAAAAGTGTGCAATAAATACCCCTAATCTTTTAAAATTGTGCAAAATTACCCCTTCATCAGAAATCTGACCTAAATTATTACTGTAATACCCATTTTGCCCTTTTAATTTTTCGAAAATACCCATCCTCTGCTCTCTGCGATTTGGTTCACCACAGACTTTCTTCCATCACCACCAACTCATCCCACCACCGTCTTCTTCTTCTTCAACCACCACTACCTCAACACCTGGCCTGGTTGGACAGAAAAAGCGATGCTAAGCTCTCGTATCCCAACTCCGACACCCCGAACACTAAGAAAGCTACCGTAAGAGCGAAATTCATAACTGCACTTAAAGGCGAGCTGTAACCTCGATCAACCAGCCTCCGCCTTTTTTTGTTCCGATTCCTAAACTCTTCAACCAATTCTTTAGCCAAACTTAGATTCTAGTAAGAGATATCCGGATTCAGAGAATGAATTTTAGATAGAGTACCAGAATCAATGTCTCTACGAGAGGTCCTACGGCTCGGCTATAACTGTACCGTCGACTAGATCCGGTCGGCCTATAGGAAGCTCATCCAGTCCAACGTCTCCGAAGCCGACGCTTTTGCCTCCTTCTAGGAGCTCGTCAACGCCTACGAGGTCCTCTCCAATCCTCACGAACGTGCTTAGTATGATTCACACCGTTCCCAGATCCTCTTCTCCGATCCCACCACATCCGGTTCCTCCATTGTCCCCGACCTCTTCTCTTTCTTCTCCAACTCTGTCTTTTTCGGTTACTCCGACACCGCCAAGGGCTTCTACAAAGTCTATGCGGACGTATTCGAAAAGAAAAAAAAAAAAAAAAAATCATTGTTTATTGTCCTTTTTGATCTTTTTACAAAATTTTGTATTTTTATATATTTTATAAAATTGTTGACCAAGGGTACTTTAGTTAAGTTTGATTTTAAATATGTTAGAGGGACTTGATTGCACTAAATTGAAACTTGAGGAATATTTTTTACACCAAAAGAGTATGATATGCACTATATACATAGTTGAGGGGTGTTTTTTACCACTTGACCCTATTTAAATTGGAGAGAGTGTTTTTTTTTTTCTATGACATGCATAAATTGTGCTATCATTTGATACATATGCCCTCTGAGATTTGACATATTATGGGTGAAAAAAGTGGCAACACAGATTTTAATTCCAAAGTAACTGCTTTCATATATATATTTTTTAACACTTTTTTTTTTAACACCAAACTGCTTTCATAAATCACCAGGCAATGAGGCAATTACTCCAAACCAAACTATCCACACACACATTTATATACATAAACTAGTAAAAGGAATATTCAAACACGAGCACAAAGATGGACGCTAAACTTAATAATAATATATTTAAAGAGAGACAAGCTTTATTTGTTATTCTGAAAATAATTTTTAAAAATTCAGAAAATAAAAAATTGTTTTTAGATAACAATATTTTATAATTCTCTAAAAATAAATATTTTTATAATTGAGTTTTCAAAAAATTGAATCAAAGAAATTTTTTTTATACAATTTTTTATTTTTAATTTTTTTAAAAACAAAAAATTATTTCCATAATAACAAGCTAAACGAGAGTTTTTATTGCTAAGGTACACATGAAGATATATCGATTGCAGTTTTGAATACTTTTAGGGTTAGTTTGGTTAGCGTGAAATAGCAAGAAAGGAAAAGAAACTGAAAATTTTAAAAAAAATTAACTGTTTGGTTAGCCTGAAAAGGAAAATTTTCAGGAAAGTAATATTCTTTCCTAAAAATGTTTCCTCCAAAAAACACCGGAAAATTCTAGTTTCCCGTGAAAGTTGTATAATTATATTTTGATTCCCTATTATGCCTTTATTAATTGTTTATTCATTCGTCTCTTTCTTCATAGATATATTAGAATTCTGTTATTAGATTATGATTCTTAAAATTAGGACTCTTTTCCACTCACAAAAGAAGTGAACTAATATAATGCAGTAGTAGAGTCCTAATATATATTGCAACCTTAAAATAAAAAAAAATTAAAAAACTATTCAATTACCAAATTTGTATTTGGACATATATATATATATATATATAACCCAATCTTATATACTTTTTTATGCTATTTATATTATTTATATTAAATTAGTAAGGGTAGTTTTGGTATATAAAATTATTATCTTTTCACTTTCCTGCCATTCAAACTCATGAAACAATATTTTTTCACAATTTTCTTTAAAAAAAATTCATGCTAACCAAATGCATAATACAAACTAAATTTTCTTTTCCTTTACTTCACTCTCTTTTCCTTTCACTTTCCACCATCAAATTCCGGAAAACCAAACGGACCTAGAGGAATTTATAAAGGAAAAACATCTTCCTTCTTAAACATGAAGCACAAGGGCATAGCAGTCATTTCAGCACACCCCTAAAATCCAACAATTATCCATATGTCCCAAACATTTATATCATGAATCCAACAAACTAGATCTACTGTAACAAAATCTTATATAAAACTAATTTTCCGTATTTAAATCTCTATAATCCCTGATTTCCACGCAAATTCAACAACTCCTCTCTCTCTCTCTCTCTCTCTCACGCGCGCGCGCGCGCACGTCCGTGTACAAAAACCAGCTGGAGGGGGTCATTAATCACCACCATCATCTCGTTTCCTCCTTCCCTTTCTCTCTCTGGATTTCTGAGAAAGTGGGAATCTTATTACATACCACACCCATCTCCTTTTTCCCTCTGAGGTCTGAACCCATCAAATTCTGGATTTTAGGGTTTTTTTTTTTTTGGTTCAATAGAATCTATCCGTCCATGGGCTCTGGATTTTAGGGTTTTTTTTTTTTTGGTTCAATAGAATCTATCCGTCCATGGGCTCTGGATTTTAGGGGCTTTTTTCGTTCAATCGAATCGATCCGTTCATGGGTTCTGGTTTTTCCTTCCTTCTGACAAACCCCAATATATGTACGCCTCTGTCGCCGGAGCCGAGTCTAGGCGATTTGCCGGAGGCTTGTGTGGCCTCCGTCCTGGTGTATTTGGAACCACAGGAGATTTGTAGACTTGCAGTGCTTAATCGAGCGTTTCGGGGCGCTTCTTCAGCAGATTTTGTGTGGAAACCCAAGTTGCCTTCAAATTATGGTTCTGTTATTGAGAGAGTGTTTGATGAATTTCCATCGGAATTGTGCAAGAAAGATATTTACGCGAGGCTCTGTCAGCCCAATTTATTTGATGGAGGCACAAAGGTTTGGCTTTCTCTCATATAATATGTTTCTTTCTATAGAAAATATACAAAGGTCTGTTTGTTTCTGTAGAAAAAATGTATAGAAAACGAAAAGAATGAAAACTATCTGGAAAAACACGTTTAGCAATTTACTTTTAAAAATGTGTTTGAGAAACAGTTTTGGATATATAGATTCTGTTTTGTGTGAAATGGGCAAGGCCTTGTGATTTAAATTGTTCAGGTTTTTTTGGTAGGAATGTTGTTATTTTGGGTTGGGTTTTGGTGCAGAATGTTTGGCTGTATAAGATTGTGCAGGAAAGATTTGTTTTTAAATATAGCTTCTGAAAAATATTTCTTGAAAATTAGTTCCTATTTTGTGTTGATACCGGCAAGGTCTTGTGATTTGGATTATTCAGCTTTGTTGATGATTTGGGTTTTGTGCAGAAAGTTTGGCTGGATAAAAATACTGGAAAGGTTTGTTTGTCAATTTCTTCAAAAGGGTTGGGGATAACGGGCATCGACGATCGGAGATACTGGAATCGGTTGGAAACCGCAGAATCTAGGTGAGTATTTGGAAATATTGTTGTCTTGTTTTCCGTGTTGGATTACTTGAAAACATAGAGTTGTGATTTTAGATTGGCTGATCAAATCGAACTGTTCTGGGCATTCCCTTTTTAAAATCCTCCAAAAGAAGGTTCTTTGCTTTTCATTTTGTTATTTGTATCTGATTAGTGATTCAGTAATTGTGTTTATCTCATCAAGCAAGTGAATTGAGGATTATCCAAAGTTCAAATACTGCCAACTGTGTTAACACTTCTGTGAATAACTTACTATTTTTCATGTATAACAATCTATTAAATTTTCTCATGAAATTACCTATTAGGTTAAGGGTAATTTTGATTAGTTTCCCTGTTTTTTTGTCAAATTTGGTTTTGAGAAAATCCTTCTGTTTTAGATTTTTTTATTTTTTATTTATTTATTTTTTTTAATTGCGTTGGGATTTAGAAGCCATACCTTGATTACTAGCTCGCTATGCATATCAAATGTATTTGAATCTATATGTCGGGATTACATTCTGTTTCCAGGCACAATACCAGGCTACTAGGTGCAGGCTTAAGAAACTGAGCTCTGCCATTAATTAAAGCAAACCATCCTTTCTCTTTCAAAAATTGTTATGTGAGATAGAGACAGTGAGAGACCCTTGAAAGTACAAGGAAATTGCCATCAGGTAGAGATTATTTGGGAAAATTGAATTAGATGAATTAAGGGTGTATTTAATGACTAAGTTAGTATAATTCCCTGTTAATACATACGGTCAACTTGCAGTCTTTGTTGAGTTTTTCGTAAGACTAGTCATGTTAGCATAAAGAAAAACCACCGGGACCCACCATGTGTTAGATCCTATTTGGTGACTAACTACATGGAAAATTAGCTTGATTTGAGGATTACAAACATTTGCTTTCAATTGAATTTATGGACCATGGCAAAATCCATGAAATTGTTGGCAGGTAAAAAGTGCTTAAAATTGGATGGTTGAAGCTAAATTAGGCTGACTAAATTCTCATTTTTCTTTTTGGAGTTTTCGGTTTATGCTGTGATTTAATTCATAACCCAATGAATTATGCAGAGTTGAATGTATGGTAGACCAGCAACTCCTTTATTTCCACATCAAATCCTTTCTTTGACACTATTCAGGGGCAGTACCCACATGGGTGTATAGTGGATGCTGCCTCAAAAGGTAGGAAAATATTGGAGGATGATGAATTGTTTATTAGTTTTCTTAATTTAGGTGAAACATTATGCCCCTCCTAGAATCAATCATCTTGATTCAAGGCATCTTTCATTGAGTCTGCAAAAGCTAGAATATGTTAGTTTAAAAGTCCTTTTCCTGAATTTAGATATAACCATAATCGGTGATGTGTTTCCTCTAAAGGTTCCTTTAGATGTTTTTATCTTATTACAAATAGGAAAACGGAAGAAGTCTTTGGTTGTTTCCTATAAGAATGCATTGGAAGTGTTGTTCAAGTATTTCAACATCGATTGATTTGCACCATCTTGTTTGGTTCTTTAGTTGGCATGGTATTACTGTAACAAGATACTTTATTTCTTGAAATGTAGTGTGATAAACTGAATTGATCTGTTCTTCTCTTGCATGTAGATTCTGCACAGTTGCTTACCTCCGGCAAATCTGGTGGCTTGAAGTTGACGGAGAGGTGGAGTTCCCATTCCCAGCAGGGACCTATAGCCTATTATTCAGGCTGCAATTAGGACGTGCCTCTAAGAGGTTTGGTCGCCGTGTCTGTAACTCCGAGCATGTTCATGGTTGGGATATAAAACCCGTTCGATTCCATCTCTCAACTTCAGATGGCCAGCATGCCAGTTCTCAGTGTTTCTTGGATGAACCTGGACAATGGATTAACTATCATGTGGGGGATTTTGTTGTTGAGGATTCCATAACATCAACAAAAGTAAAATTTTCTATGACCCAAATAGATTGTACCCACACCAAAGGTGGTCTTTGTGTAGATTCTGTATTAATTTGCCCCCGTGAGTTTTAGAGAGAGGTTAAAGTGTTTTTGATTTGCTGTTAACCTTTCTACACGGGGAATTTTATGTTGTGAAGAGGTAGGACATTTCCAGAACATATGAATCATTATTTATTAGTTAGTTTTAGGGGAAGCCTCATTTCTCTGCAGACAAGGCAATGTGTTTGTATTTGTATCATAATTGCTTGATTAGGGTTCTGTAATTGCAGTGATTTTCCTCTGGACAAGACGATTCCAGGCTGCTTTTAATTTTATTTCATATTCTTGTCCATTTTCTGTTTATTGGCAGAAACAAAACTTTGTGAAGTGAGAGGAGTGAAAGGAAGAGAGACAATTCAAAGAATTGTGTAAAATTTGAAGGCATGGAGGCTCAAAGAATGTGTTTAGATTATATGAGTCTTGGTCAATAATTCATCATTCTTATGGAAAAACAACTAGATTCATCATCTTTTCTTATTTGCAAAGAGAGAAAAACGCGTGCACCGTGGTTAAAGCTGCCGGCCTGACCATTGCAAACACTTGTGTTCAAACTTCAACGAGGCTTGATATAGGCATATCTACTTTTATTTTTATTTTATTCTCTTTATTTTATTTATTTTATTTTTCTCGAATTTCAAACAAACACATGCACACTCAAAATATTGGCCTAGCATGCTCAACCACTCAACCTTTTTCAACCTTGGGATCAAACAGATTTATTTTGATAACAATGAAACATTTTTAACGAAACAATTACTCACTCACTTTTACCTTTTGGTATACAATTTAGTAAAAAACGATAGAATGAATTTATGCTGCATATACACATAAGCTTGAATCTGAATGTGTGAACGCTCAATAATAATGATCTTCATATGCAGCTACTGTAAACGAAGCAATTAAATTATTACAAAACTAATAAAAAAAAATTAACCCGTCAAGTTATTACAAAACTAATTAAGAGAGAGACTCTGAAAGTCGGCATGTTGTTAGCCCGATAACTGATCTGAAATTAATGGAAATACATCTGCCAAGTAACAAGAAACCAGTTTAAGTTATTGGTCTTGTTCATTGTTGCTGGAACGACGATATGGCATGTAACGGTGGTCCTTTGCCGCATTCTTCCTTCTTCGTTTCTCAATAAAGGACTCAAGCTTGCCAGATGACTGATATATTACATAAGCAAATTCATTACTCCATAACTCAAATTTAGTTATAAAAATAATTACCAACATGTTAAAACGAGGTTTAATATATACATACCTTGAGATCCTCGTATTTCTCAATAAGCCTCTGCTTATGGATTTCAGCTGCATAAAAAATAAAACCACCATAACCAATTTAATTGTATACGAACCTTGTCATATTATTTTCATATAAAAACCCCTCACTGACCTTAATACTACTCTTTATTGCTCTTGGGAACCCATAACTAGGGTTGAGGTAAAAAAAAAACCTAGTGGCAATTCAAGACTCGATATTATAGTGTCTTCGTAAAGATAAAAGGAGTTTCAATAACATTAGCATTGTCATCACCAACATGCATTTCCATCTTTTCGCTTTCCTAATGATACAATATCTTTGTATGGTATTCTATTACTTTTGACTTCTAGCATTTGCTTTGCAGTTTAAAGAGAAGATGTCAACTCGTCCGAGCTCAGAAAACTAAATCCAATTGCACACGTCTATGGTTCACCATATCACAAAACCAAGACAGGGTCATTTGCGGTGAGATGGAAAGAATAACAATTGTTTTCTTGTTTATTGGAGATACTTTAGATTAGGATAAGCCAAATGTTATCGCAGACATGCACATGAGCGTGCACCCACACACCGGCAGAATTAGATAGATAATTGAGTGTCTGTGTGTGTGTGTGTGAGAGAGAGAGAGAGAGAGTACATTTCTTCAGATAAAAAGGTTGTTTCCCATTTTTTGTTGCTTCTCTCTCTTTCTTCTTGTGCTCAGCCAGAATCTCACTATCAGTACGCTTTGTTGACCCAGACTTCAGTTGTTTATTCTTGCATGTAACAAAGAGGAATTTAAAAGTGAAACAGAGGCAAATACAACGAATATTTCTAGATGGCGAAAATCGCTAGAAAGAAACTTAAAATGGTCAGTTAAGCATAGCAGTTGCCTTTCAATAATGTGAGCACTTACAATCCAAGCTAAATGATTCTCTAGATCATTAATGACTTCTGGGTCATTTGATTTCTTCATCAATTTCCTGAGTTCCTAGCAAAGCAAAGAGACAATTATTAACAAAGAAATTGCAAAATAATAATAACAACAGTAAAATTAAGAAGAAAAAAAACTACTATATTTTATTATTCTTGGAACATACCTCTCTTTCAGCAGGAAGATTGTTCTCGTATAGAAAGTTGTATCTCTTCTTGAATCTACAAGATCCATAATACATATCAATACATCACACAAAGAAAATTGCTTTCTAAGACCCGGAGGGGAGTGACTTCATGGAAACTAATGTCAAAGTTTGTTTAAAAAAACTCTTGCTATTAGGAAACAGATTGCCAAAAGACTATGTCCTAGTTCATTTTCCAATCAAATATTTATAATACCAATGAGTGGAAAGTTAGTTCTCCTTTGTGATTTAACACTACTCTTGGTATACAATATTAAGAAGCACAAACAGGAGGTTGCAGAACAAGCCAACGGCTCTCAGCCAGCAATCATTACAATGGAAGCTCAAATCACTTCCGCTTTCCCACCCAACCGTGTCCTATTTCATATTCCTCATCCTATTCCAAATGTTGCTTTCTCTTCACAAGATACACCCATCCAATGGTTCCCCCAGTTCCCACTGTTTCCTGCATTTCTATTTTCGTTGTTCACTTCAACTCTTAAATTTTTTTATATTTTTTTAATCTAATAACTCCAACAAAAATAAAAATAAAAAACTTTGTGTTGTTACAAAGACACGTTGAGATAACAACTAGGAATTGAACCCTGCACCTCCCTTTATGGGTGGCAGAGATATCGCTCAAGCCAGATAGCTGGTGGTATTTGGTAAAAAACACCAGTTTACTAGTTTGGGATTATCTCATGCATTCTTACACATTTACAGAGTTAACACCCTAATTAATTTATAGAAAATGTCAAGATTTTTAGCGGCCCAAAACCAGAAAAGAAGAAAGTGTTGAGTTTGCTTCAAAAACAATTGCTCCCCAAAAATAGAATTGTACTTACTGATATGCATCAATTTTTCAAAGCCTCTAAAAGAAGTAGCATTTCCAAGACCCACTCAAGTAGGGCAAAATATATAGAATGCTTATTAAAAGCAGATAAAAAACTAAGGCACGTGTAAGCCAATATGTTAATTTTACATCAACCAAATGCGTCAATCAGTCTCGATGCATTGGCCCAGCCAATTGAGAGAGTGGATAAATTTTCCATGATCCTGTTCAGCATCTTGGTTGGAGTATTGGAATCAAAGCTTCCCAACCTAGTAACCTCATTCACGCACTTGGAGTGAAATCTGTTCTAAGCCCCTTTTCTTTGTAAAAGGTTCCAGTAAAAATGAACCATATAGGCTGCTGGGGTCTAAATACGGTGACTGGATAAAGCTGATAACATGTCTTAAGAAACTTTTGAACTAATCTCACTTATGCAACCTCAAGCATGGCTAAACTACATTCTGAATTTGGTGTTGCCACGGATGTCCTTTCCACTAAAATAGCGAACAAAAATAAATGCAACGGCCATAAAGTCGACGAAGGAAAAATTATGAAAAAGTTACTATTAAGTCAACCCTTAAGGTAAAAAAGACAGAATAGCCAAAGTGCGATCTTGTCAGCATCCTTGTTGAAATTGTGTAAGAGACTGACTTATTACTCCTATGCCTCAAAAACTTATAATTAAAAAAGTGCACGACACAATACATAATGTAGAAATTATTTTATTTTCAAGTTCACCAAAGTTCCTATACTCTTCTTGCTTGCTCCCATTTACACACTTATTTACAAAGACTTTAGTGAGAAGTTCAAAAGGACATGAGATCTGCAACTACCATTATTGGCAGATTAAAAAATGCAACAGTGAATTGAAACAGAGGAAACTGTCAAACTTTAATTAATAAAAGAAAATTACTAGATATGATCACACACTGCACATGGGCGAAAGCATTGATGGGAGAGAGAGACTCACCCTTCTACATCGAGTTCACCGCATAATGATTCAAAACGAGGGTCACGTACCACCTGAATGGAACAAAATATTAATATAAACAAAATCTAGCATTTTAAATATAAATTCCACAAATATGCAAGAAACTAATAGCGTCAGTGAGTGAGAAAAACACAAAGTGACATACATTTCACCATGTCTACATGCAATGATCAAAGAACCAGCCAGGTCTGAGTTGGCTCAATAAAGCCAGATTAGCCTTGAACGGGACCAATCTGAGACCACAACATGCTACTGAAAAAGTACAATTGATATTCACGAGTCATCTTAACTCTGTCGAACCACCTTGAACATGAGTTGTCTTGCAAACTATGAGAAACTTGCGAGTTGTGGGCATTACTTTATCAATTACTTTCTTCACAAAACAAAAGCAGATATGCTGTTCTTGGCCACAAGTTTACATCTTTTCTATCAAATATGCCAAGAAACATCAAAAACCACTTTTATTACACAATGACAACCATTATATAATATGATCATAGAGTACTGTGGTAGGTACTATATTAACCTTTTACATTGTGTTATATGTGTTAAATGGTTTATTTCATTAATTTTATGGATTCACTAAAATTTAATTATTTATAAATTTTAGAAGCCTTATATGCAGCATACAATTGCATGTTGCCAGCACCAATATGATATTTTGAACCGTGTCTAGTTAATTTTTAAACTATTAACTCTATGAAAAAAATACTGGTAATAAGCATCTACACCCAATGTTGCTGGCTAAATGGTGAAAATTTGTCACCAGATACGTCAAATGGGGGTGAAATAAGACAAAAACAACTTGAGTCTACATAGCTACTGGTATTGTATACCTAATGCCCAAGAAAACAAACTGCTATTTTAGGATATTAACTTTGTCATTTCCCTACCACTTCCCAGTAAATAAAATGGAGCATAAAGTAGTAGAAAAATATATCAAACCCAACAGTATTTAAGCAAAAATCTTCTATAAAATGTAACTCTCACACAGAAGTACAGTAAAAAAAACTCACCTTTTTAGGAGCTTGAATGACCTCTCTGAATCTACTCATGGGCTTTTTGCTACTCACCTCCATTGGCCTTCACACATTCCATAATCAGCTTTTAACATGTAATATCAAAATATAATTTCAACATATACAATCCATATATATGTATATAAAACAAACTACACCAATTTTTAGTACCTGTTCTTATTGGCTCGGCCAGCCTTCTTCTCCGAATTGGGTTTTTTGTACATCAAATGTGACCCATTAGATCGTGCCTTTAGCAGTTCTTCAAATGTAACATCCGCAAGCTCGCGCTCTATCTCCTCTTCCTATCCATAACAATCACAAACTTTATATATGAACTGTATATACACACAAGTGTCATAGAATCTAATTGTTCAAGTTACCCACATCTTCTGAAGATGATTCATGTTCTTTGTTGTCGTTGAACATAATTTTACTTGAAGTAGCAAGTGAATTGTCGGATTTCTTCATTCAAGATTTTGAAAGTTACACCCACCCTAAAAACAAAAAAAAATAAAAAATAAAAAATAAAAATAAAAAATAAAATTGTGAAATACAGATTAACTGAAACATATATTAGGATTGCAACTGAATACAAATTTTGCTGACTAGTCCCTGGCGTTATAAAAGAACCATCTATTGAGATCCTTTGTTTCCACCATTTAATAGCCACATCTATTAAAACAAAAAGAAAAAGAAAAAACACCACTCTAACAAAGAACACTATTACTTGTACTGACTCAAGATGCCCTTACAGACTCTCTCTCTCTCTCTCTATATATATATATATATATATATTATGACCAAAAATCATCAACAAAACTCTAGCGTTGAGTCGAGCACAATCAACAAAAACAATTAAAAAAGCCTCCCCACTTCCAGTAATGTCTTTGACAATTGAAAGCTACATGTGAAGAGAGATTTGTGGTGCAGAGGGAAGCTTTCATCCTATTAATTTCTTCCCCAATTAAAAGCACCTTCTCCTATGCTTTTCATTTATCTAACTCTACCCCCTATCATTCCTTACTTAATATTGTTTTGGGTGAAAAACAATCAGTTTCAGCAATCCTCATTATATTGATAGAGAGCAGAAGAAAGATGGAATTTTGAAGAATCAATGAAATAAGTTACCGCTAACAAATCAACCAGTGTAGCCTCCTTCTGATAGGAACAATCGTAATCAATGTCGTCTGACCTCCGTTTGAACACCACCGACAAATCTCTCGTCCCTCTGGAAGACACAGAGAAGAAGCTAAATTTAGGGCTTGGGCTTGGGCTAGGTCGTCTGTCAGTGTTAGTGGTCGTCTATGGAGAGAGATGGACAGAAATAGAGGGGTCCCAAACAAGGCCGGTCCTGAGATTTCAAATATTTTGAGAGGCCCTAGGCGAACTTTCAAATGTGAGGCCCTTAAGTTTCACATGCGCAAAAAAAATTATAAAAGTGCGGAATTTTCACACAATGTTTTTAGATTCTATAGCTAATATAATTGTACGCTTGTTCATTATGCATAAGACAACTAACTAATAACTATAAATTTATCACCACCAACAAATAATTGTGCGCCTGTACAGTGTGCATAAGACAACTAAGTAATAAATAATTGTGCGCCTGTGCGGTGTGCTTAAGACAACTAACTAATAACTATAAATTTTTATCACCACCAATAAATAATTGTGCACCTGGGCAGTTTGCATAAGGCAACTAACTAATAACTATAAATCTATCACCACCAATAAATAATTGTGCGCTTATGCAGTGTGCATAAAGTAACTAATAACAATAAATCTATCAATTAAAGAGTGCGAAATTTTCACAGGCACAAAAAATTTATAAGAATGCGGAATTTTCATTAATATGAGATGATAAGAACATAAAATATACACACAAAAGAAAACCCGGTCTTGGTGCTTTAAAAAGAGTACGATCCAGTTTACATCAAAAAATTAAAAGGAAATATTCAACACAACTAGTCACAAAAATCAAAATTCAACTTTATATCAAAGTAAATGCTCAAGGCAAATAACCTCACGAGATCCTAAGAAGAGTGTCCTGCTAGCATGTGAAAGAAGATCACAATTAACATAAAACGGATGGAGAATCAAACCGAAACAATAATAACTAAGCATTGCCGATCATACAATAAATATAATATTTAAAAAATCTAAAATCAAGCAGTTTGGTCGAATGATCTCCTGGCTGGAGTTTTCAATGGAGCTTTGTGTGTGTGTTTTGGGAGCCAATTAGCCCTTTCTTGATTTCAGGATGAGGAATCAACTTTAGTAGCAGTGATTGACTGATCATTGCTACAGAAGACCTGTGCAAATTAATAGAAAAAACCATTAACTTTTGTTTTGTTAAAGCCTGCTCTTGATTTCCATGTGTTTGTACATTCTGATGGCAAGTTCTTTGAGCCTTTGACAGTATTATTAACTGAAATTCTAGCTGAGCGAACTTCAAATAACATCAATAATGGTGGCATGTATCTTCATATAAAAAATAAAAAAATAATTAAAAAAAACCCTTAATTTCGCACTGTTAAGTATGAGCATAATTTAGAGATCGAAAAAGTTAATTATTACTCAGGTCCTCAACCCACTAGAAGGGATCCTTAATTTTCGTAGGATTGAATGTGAAAATGCAAAAAAATTATGAAGAAAAGGGGTATGGTAGCTGTTGTTGTGAGACTGGAGTGGACTTAGGGAGAAGAAAACAAAAAGATCGATTCATGCAAAAGGAGAGAGAATAGAAAGAGGATGAACATACCTTGTCACGGTGTCACCTGAGCCTGAAGCGATAGCGGAGGCTGCGTCCTGCGGAGTGTCGAGGCAGATTGTGTCGTCTGAAAAACTTGCCCTAATTTTTTTTTTGGTCATCCCCTAAAAGTCCCTCAAAATTTGAGGCCTTCTAAAATTTGAGACTTGCCATAACTCTTTTTTTTATTAGGTTTGAGGCTCTCAAATTTTGGTTGCTTTGGGCCGTGGCAATCTTGGTGGCGTATAAAACAACTTGTTGAGTATTAATAAACAAATTATTTTTATTAAAATATTTTGCGCAATCAAATATCAAAAACAGACGAAAAATATTTTATCATAAAACAAACTGAATTTGTGCTCTTTTTTAAGATTTCAACTCATATACATTGTTGGTTTTTGAAAATCTAAAATTACCCATTTAAAATTTTAAAGCTGGGTTAATTTTGATAATGGAGGCAATATTGGTGAAAAAAAGTAATAAGTACGGTTAAAATTGTGACATAGATTTTTTTTTATAATAATTATATTATTTTAGACAATTTAATCCCTCTTTACTTTTTATAAATACAATTTTGTCCCTAGTGTTAAAAAAATATACAAATATTTGTGTTATCTGAAAAGTGTAACTTGTTAGTATTGTTGTACTCTTCCCTTTAAAAAAACCTATATATTAGAAATTTAATACCTTTCCTTTTAAGAAACCTATACATTAGTTTCTACAAAATATATATTTATATTATTTCTTGTCCATTTATCAGCATGTTTTTCTAGATCAACTTCTTAAATCAAGTAATTATTATTTTTTATTAGAGTTACATTGGAAAAATTTTGGATTTCACTCTTAAGTTAACTTTATTTAAAACTAAACTCACATGAAGCTACAATTAGTATATTCATGAAAAAATCAAGCTATTATTAGAAAAACTAAACTTTGATCTTAAATCTTATACAATTTGAATTTCATAAATATGAGGGTTGATGTTTTATTTTTTTTATTTGGTAAGCAAGAATTCATATTATATAGAACCGAAACAAAATATACGAAGGATAGAGATATTATTATTAAATTTGATAGTAAAAGTGTTTTAACCAACATTGTTACCAAACAAATTTAAAAATACTTTAAATATAAAAAGCCCTTTATAAAATACACCACCAAATGCATAACATGCTTTTGATTGACAGCAATTTTATAACAAATCTACTACTGAAAGTGCTTTCATAATTTTAACAGCAATTCTTAACGAGCCCTAACTTTCTCTTCTATCTCATTAGGATTTGATACTAATCTTTGTAAGTAACAATGATGAAAGATTTCACAAATGAAGAAATAACAGAGTTCAACAATGTCTTTGATCTTATTAGCATAAAAAATATTAAATAACTATTAAAACTCCGTGAACATTAAACTCATTTGATGATGATAATAATAATGGAAATGGTATTTTTTTTTTTTTTTTTCATGCTTTATGTTTTATGCTTTGAGTTTATGTTTGGACTTTTTTTTTTTTTTTTTTTTTTTTTTTTTTTTTTTTAATGTGATTTTTTAAAATTAATTTGGATGCTGAAGAGAATGGTAATTTATTTATTTTAGACTAATGCTATTAAGAGAGTATTCTCTTAGATATATTTACGATCTCTCCTTTTATAGCTAGTATTAGATTAAGAAAAATTTAGGAGTATGTGCAAAAAGACATGTAGACGTTAAAAAAAGAAAAAAAATGACGTTCCCTTACCCTTAAAAAAAAAAAAAATTTTAAAAATAACCGACTCATCTTTAGAATATTGTGAAAATTTGTTATTTTTTTAATGATGGCTGAATCCGGTCTTTGTCGTCTCTTCTCTAATCTTTATTTTCGATTTTTTTAATCTTTGTTTAATTTATTTTTTATTATTATTATTTTGTCAATTTATTTATGATTATTTTGTCAATTTATTGAGTTGGTGCAGATTGGAGCAGTTATTGTAGGGTTTGTGGTTTGACAACAACCAAAAAAAGAAAAAAATAGTATCAGAAAAATAAGAGGATTAAATATTTGAATAAAAATTATAAAAATAGAGAAGGTTATTGAAAGAAAGTTATTAAGAAGAAAACAATAAAACAACTGTGAAATTTTATACAAGATTGTATACCAAAACGAATTGGATACTCAATTATAGGTTGGAATGGACAAATTCAATTCAAGAATTTGTAAACTATCCATTGGTAAAAATTTATCAACATTTTCCTCTTTTCAAAAAAAGAAAAAGAAAGATGAAAAGACTGCAACAAAAATAAAGCGTACGAGGTGCATTGTGCAATGGAGGAACTCAGAAGGTCACGTTATTAAATTTATTGGTGGCTACTTCAATTATTCTTTTACAAAACCTAAACCTAGTTGACGAACCACCTTCTTGTATAAGCTGTTATGTATACTTGCTATTCTCACTTTATAAGACTAGAACCTTCCATAGTCGTCTCTCTGGGAATTCAATTCCATATATATCTCTCTCTCTCTCTATCTCTAAATTTATCATATGCTCAACCTACTGATCTTATCGGTCAACTGTTTCTTCTAAATGATGGACATGAACTTCATGTATGGGGTGCCTTTCATGAATTTATCAAATGGATCCATATATGGAAGAAGCAGTTGAGGATAAGATCACTAGGTTGAGGAAAAAGTAGAGGCCCAAAGCAGAAAAAGGGCCATGAGCAGTAGGACTCATTCGAGCTCTCGAAGAATAAGATATGGGGGTTAATGCATAATATATATATATATATATATATATATATATATATATATGTCATGTGAAGTGTGACTGAACAATTTCAACAATAACACCAGTATCAACACTACTAATCCAAGGCAAGTAAATTACTTTATTCCTTTTTGTGTGATTTCATGATCCATGGCATGCTTATCTAAATGTTAATATTATTGACAGGCATCTCCACAATCGATACTATTCTATCATTCAATGTGACAATATGGTCAATTATACATTTTTTTTTTTTTTTTTTTTTTTATGTTGATTTGTATCAATGACCTCCATTTTATGCTTTGTTGTATTAATCACGATTATCTGGTGAATTTTTCATACAGAGGGATAAATTTGTTGAACATGATTGTATAAACTTAAATGTTAGTAATAAAATTTAATTTAATTTAATTTAATTTTTTTTTTAACACGACCCCTAATGTAGGGATAGAGTGCTAAGGTCAATACCAATGTTTTTATTTTTTATTTTATGTTTTTATTTTTTTCATGACAAAATGTTACCGAACATAAGTATTGTTGCAATGTACAAGGATTAGTGGTTTGAGGGAAGGGAGAAAGTACAAGACGAACACGAGGAACAATCTAATTATTCAGGTAATTATTCAGGTAACAAGGCACTTGTTTTGTTGAAATGTATATGGTTTTTTTTCTACTTTTCTTTTTTTGGTTGACACGATAAGAAGAGAGTTCTTAATTAGGGATTCGACGATAAAGAAAATCTACCATTGAGAGGTAGCAGGTTGATAACATGGATTCGGATTTCTCAATATGACTTTCCATATAAGGAACTTTTAACTTGTTGAAGGTTTTGCTAAAAAGAACCCGTACTCTCTAACACAACCACAAACTATGTTATATAATACATATATCATGTATTCCGCAAAGTTGAGAGAGGTAGCAGGGGATTTTATTGCAAGCTTGTTGCTATATTTATTACATGTGTTTTCTCAAGTTCAATATTCAGTGACTCCAACTTGTACACTTCTAGTTTTCGGTCCCGCAACTTCGTCGTCTGTTTCACCTTTCAAGGGAGAAAAAAATGTAGTTTTTGACAGCTAGAGTTGGCCTTCAGCTTTCAGGCGACATTTATCGAACACCTAGACGTCAATAATGTTAAACAGAGGCTACACAATTAGTCAATACTATATCAGCAATAAAAGTGGGGTTTTATTATTTTTATCTGTAAATACTAATAATTGATTTAAAGATAATAAACACATTCACAAACAATGGCAACTAACCAAAATGTTAAATCAAATCCAAAATTATTTTGCAGCTCTCACTTGCTAATCATAGCCCTTCCCCAAACAATTGAGACAGCGTTGTACCCTATAATTAAAAATCACATAATCATTAAACTATACGTATTAGAATCACAACTTAAATTGTGAGAAATCACAGACCTATTTCCATCACAAGTAGGGCAAAGACATGGATTGATAACGATAGGATCATATAATGGTGACCACTGTATGGTAGATTTTCCTTTGCATAGTTTGCACATATAAAACCCTTTTCCCTTACAAATCCCACATGGCAATGCAAATTTTTTCTGCACAAAATTCAATCTCAGCATAATTAGAGGAGCAACAACTATATATATATATATATATTGTATGTATATGATGAGAGAGAAGGTTTGAGAAGCTAGCTAACCCGTTTAGCCTCGGCGAAACCTCGAAGCGTTCCAATGGTGGCGGAGGAGAGAGAAGAGACAGTGAACACTCCGCCAAGGAGTATAGCGGCCCCCGTTGCTAACTTGCGCAGCGGCTGTGGAACACCACCCTGACCACCGTCCGCCATTATCGCTTACACTTCTGCCACAAATTGTTTCAATTTAAGTGGTAAAATTCAAATAGAACAATGCCTGGCACTGTGGTAAAATGGGAAGTGGATCAGGAGGGGGACCGGTGAACCGGGACACCCGAACGCAGTGCGGGTCTTGTGATGGGGCTCCGCGTAGCCCGTGCTGTGCGTTGAGCTTGAAATGGAAGGAAACTTAGTTCAAATTTTTATTTTTATTTTTATTATTTTTTTTTTCGAGGTATCAAATGCAGTATTAATTTCTTTTGTGACATGATTTGAGTACGATATTTAAAAATAACTTTTTGAGTATTGAATATATAATTATCTCCAACCCGATAAAATTTTAATAATTAAGTACTCATTATTTGTTATGTTTAGTTTGAGGGAAGGATTTATGATGGATGGATAAGAGAGAGATAAAAGGTTTTTTTTTTTATTTTTTATTTTTGTTGAAAGGAATGAAAGAGATAGAGAAAGTAAGGAGGGATACTTCATTCCTCGTTCCTTTGTAATTTTTTATCCACCCCAAAATTGGGAGAAAGATGAGAGAGCAGGATAATAACCAATAAATTTTTAATTTTCATTTTTTACATTGTTGTTATATTTGGAATGAATGTATAATTTTTAAAATATTATATAATTAAGATATATTAGTAAAAACAATATAAAACTCTTTTCCTCTGCCTTCAACCAAACAAAAAAAAAAAAAAAGTATCACCATATTTATCATTTTTACTATTTGTTTTATCCAACCAAACAAAAATAAAAGAGACAACTTCCCCTCCATGTCTCATCCAAGGGCAGATTCAGGATTTCTCAACGGGTGGACTAAATCAAAATATATCAACCAAAATCAACTGTTGTTTTATTCAATTTTAATTAATTAACAATGTTTCTTTAGACAATTGACTGATTAGGCATAGAAAATCCTATTTGGGTAATTAATAAAAAAAATTACCAATTTATTTCTGAACAATTAATCTACTAGTGGAGGCAGAGTGTGAGGTAGTTCATGGCAAGTCCCTTCCAACCCTATGGAATTCACTCAAAAGCATGCTTTTTGTAAGTATTTTAATTTTCAAGAAGTAACTTTGGAGCTTTACCCTATATTAAGTACTTTTGCTTGTCAAAGTTCTTGTTAAGAATTTTTTTTTTTTAGTTCTGAAAAGATTTCCATCCTCAAAAAGCCTGGCATGTTGATAAAAATTGTTTCAAATTCAATCTATACAGATTTCTAATCCAATTAAGATTATTTTTATTTATTTTTTCATGCCCAGATTCAAATTTTCTTGTAGACATAATTGACAACCAAAAAAAAAAAAAAAAACAGAGAAATAAAAGTTATAGAAATAAAAAATATATATATTTGTTTTGCTGAAATAAAATGTAGATTTCGGTGATTACCTCAAAAGGCAATGCAAATTTTGTTACTTTATATTGTAAAAAAATAAAAAAATTATATAAAAAAGAACATAAAAAATATATTGGTTTTGAACTTCTTATTCTTGTAGGTTTTCTAGTTTGAAGTTGCAGAGAGAGAGAGAGAGAGGGCAAGTTTATAGTTGAGAACGACAATAGAGATGGAGAGACGGGGGGGGGGGGGGGGGGGGGGAACGACAATAGAGATGGAGAGAGAGAGGGGGGGCAAGTTTATAGTTGAGAACGACAATAGAGATGGGCTGAAATGATTTGCCCTAATTAAATTTTTTTTTTTTGGTAGCCCATCATCCATGGGCCCATAAATTTTTTGGTGGACTCAAGCCCAGCAGAACCTACCCTTATTTCCGCCCTTGATCTCATCCATTCCTCCCCATCCCTCTTCCATTCATTTCTCCATTCCTTCTTCTTTTGCGGGGATTAGTATATTTTTTAACTTCCAAAACTATAAATTTTGACTCAGTTTCAATTTCACAATCAAACTTATTCAATTAGTTAGAGATTGGGCAAAGCATAGCATTTATTTTATTATTATTATTTTTTTTTGAAGTTGGCCAACTGGTTACCAACTCCATCTTTCTTTTGTTTTTTGATAAGTAAATTTTTGATAGGTTACCAACTCCATCTTAAAGGGGCAACCAAATGCTGGAAAACTTAATGCAAAGACAAAAGGAAATTTAAATGCTTTTATGATGAAAATTGGTTGGCAGTTTGGTTCATGTTATAAAACCATTTTGAATATTAGTTTTTTATTCCCACACTATAATCATATCATAACTATGTTACTTTTGCAATAATATGTTCAGACTTGTCAAATTTTGTGTATTAAAGTGTCAAAAATAATCAACGGCATAATGCAAAATTATTCAAGTTTAACTCTCATTTGTGGAATGGTGATTATTATTTTAGCTTACTGAAATAAAGGTATAATTTTATCTATTCTTCTTTTTCATTATTCATATATTTAATTCTCATATTGTATTGTATTATTTGGACAATATTACGTTGTTACCGACTCGTATTTATTGATAAGGACACAAACCTATCAGTGACGGCAATCGACAGAGCATACAATATTTTCAATGCTCATTCATTCATCGTCATCTGCCGTTAATTTCTAGGTACATTAAGATCAACTACCAGTACCACTACATCTTCAAACAGCATCCCCCACGCGTAGTCAATGCGCGTGTTTCTCACCATTCAGATCAGACACCAATCGCCCAAGCCCTTCCACGTGTCACACCACAACCACACACGCACGCATATTGACACTCAACTTATCCAGTAATTGTATAAAAGTCCTCCCAACTATAAGGAATTCTATATTTACCTCTAATAAACATTTTTTTTTTCTCTCCTACAAATGGTGGCGTGAGACCTTTTAAAACATTCATGATCTATCGTCAAATACATATATCTTTGGTCTCACGCTTTAGATTTGGAATTACTAATGATATGTTTGAGAACATAGAATCCACAATTTGAATTCAAATTTTTAATTAAATTTATTTTAATTTTAAATTCAAAGTATCTTTGATACTCCCAAATGCAGCATAAATTGATTTTAAAATTAAATTCACAAAAATTATAAAAAATTGCATTTTACCTCATATATTGATGCAAAAAAATTTATAGTTTAGAGGGTTTTTTTTTAAGCAATTAACTCAGAAAGAATATACGAGTATGGGAATTCAAAAGTTCAAATTTCACATAGTAAAGTGAGCTAATTAGTTTACTGAAAAACAGAAGTAAAAAAAAAAAAAACGATTTAGCTCCATCAAAAATCTAAACTGTAATTTGACATAAAAAATGTTGGGTTGCAAATTTTAGCTTTCTCCAGGGGTTTATTTGCAACCCTATCATAGTTGTAGGAGTTTTTTTTGCAATTAATTATAGATATACACAGACACATACGAGTATATGAGACTTACGGGTGCAATTCCCAGAGTAGGGTCAGGACTCGGGACTCAGAAGTAGTTGTAACAGAGGCTTGAGTCAGACTCAGACCCGCGACAATGGAGTTGGACATGGCAGCTATGTCTTCGGCGATCGGGGTGTCCGTCCCGGTCCTCCGATTTCTGCTCTGTTTCGCGGCCACCTTGCCGGTCAGCTTCCTCTGGCGCTTCATTCCCGGCGGACCAACCGCCAAACACCTCTACGCTGCCATCACCGGCGCTTTACTCTCCTATCTCTCTTTCGGCTTCTCCTCCAACCTCCATTTCTTGGTCCCCATGTTGCTGGGGTACGCTTCCATGGTCCTCTACCGCCGCCGATGCGGCCTCCTCACTTTCTTCTGGGGATTCGGTTACCTCATTGGATGGTACGTCTCTGATTGATTATACCGATTTGTGATCTGTAGTTGTTCTGAATCCGAAAGGTTTTTCCTTTTTTTGTGTATTGTTTATAAATTATAAAGTTGTTGTCACACACAAATAAATATTTTTTCTTTGGTTGCTGCTAAGAAATGTAAGCTAAAGAGAAGAAATTAAAACTTTTTGGATCTTTAACGGTCTCATTGAATGTGACCCAGAAAACAATAAGCTTCACTCAATCATTATAAAAATTATTGCTCTTAATTGACCCTAGTGTCTAATTTTTAAAGAGATTCAAAATGTATTCTTTTTTCTTACCGTCCTCTCTGTTTTCTCAGGAAACAAACAGTTATTATTATTTCATTTTTTTATTATTAAGATTTTTCTGTCCTCAGTTTTCTCAGGAAACAAACAGTTAAGTTATATATTTATATTTTTTATATGTCCTCAGTTTTATCAGGATACAAACAGTAATTTATTTTTATTTTATTTGTTACACGTCCTCAGTTTTCTCAGGAAACAAACGGTTACTTTCTACCCTCCCTACCAACAAAATGAAACAATAATCGGGACATAATAAATTTTTTATTGTCAAGGACTCAAGGTTAGTGCATTTGTGTGTAGATTTTAAAGATGTGACTTTCTTCAGGGAAAAAGTGCAATCATGTAATTTTTTATGGGTGTTATTACTGTTATAAGTATTTCGTCCTGTCAATTGAGTTAGGGATATGCATAAATTGATGCTTCTAAGTGACAAGTTATGCAGTGGGAAGTGTCTACTTTTGAGAAGTTCCTTTTCTTAGCGAGGACATATGCTTTGCTTGTTATGTTACATAAATTTTACTTTAAGGAAGGCTCTAATTGTAATTCTAGGAGGTAACTATGACTCATGACCGGAAAATCTAGCTCCTTTTGAATGAAAAAAGAAATACATACAGTCAGAATATATTTGATGAGACTTGTTTCCTTATGTTTTATAATTCTGTAATAAGTAAGTAATCCACCAAAATCAAAACCTTATGTTCATGAGCTGCAAAAAATTTCAGTTCTTAATAACTAAGAATCTATAGTTAATATTATAAGTTATTTCTTTGTCCTCTCTAAACGATTAAAGCAAGCATTGGAGCTGAATTTTCCTCTGAATTCCTTCTCCTAAAATCCAAGATGTGGAAGAACTGGATTTAGAGAAAGAGAAACCTTTCACATGTTCTTACAAGAATTTCTCTCAAGAGTGTAAGTTAAGTAATTCACAGTGTTCTTGATGAAGTACATGTGTTTTGTCAATTATGTTGGACTTAGATTCTTCGATCTTTCTGATGTCGGGGATTCTTTGTTTTGGTTCGCATTACAACTTTATTAGAAGAAAATTGATGTTGTTGTTGGTGCTGATACCAAACAAGCTGTTTGACACAGCAATCTTAATTCTTAAATGACAATACTGGTATTTTGAACTTAGTTTGACAAGCATACATATTAAATGCACCAGTCATGGCAAAATATTTCTAAGTTTGGAGACTCTGTTGTTACATAGATTCACTTTTGACCAGCTTCATCTCATCTTCTAGGCTAATGGGTTTCATCCTATGAAGCACCGACACGGCTCTAAGGGTCGAAGTACCGGTGTCAGACACATGTCCAACACGGACACGCGTATCCTAGGCTTGGACACGTGCCCGACACGCTCTAATCGTGTCCTGCATTTTTTAATATATTTGATGCAGTCGGACACCGAACGGACACAGATCGGACACTGATCGGACATGCACTGATCTGAACAGACACGGCCTTCTCATCTCGGGACTGAGCTATTTCACCGGCCTCTTTTGCCTGAAGTAGTGAAGGAAGATGATGAAGAGAGCCAGAGTGGAAGAAGTTGTGAAGGGAGCCAAACTAGGATGTATCTATAGATGTAAAAATTGTGAAGATAAAGAGACGTAAGTGAATGATCGGAAACCATGGGGGAAGACGATGGCGTAATATTGTGTTTATAAATCTGAGATCTGAAATTGTAAAGATAGAGGTAAGGTACAGCAGAGACATGGGTGAGTGGGTTGAACAAAGTGATAGACTTGAGATATGAAGATAAGGTAGGAGCAGAGATGCGTGGGTGAGTGGGTTATTGAAAAATGTGATTGGGGAGCGAAAGAGTGGGGTTAGGTAAGAGTTTTATTTCTTATATATATATATATATATAATTTTATTTTATTTTATAAATAATACTCTCTCTACATTTGTTTTTTTTTTTAATAGAATATGTGCTGTTTACTTTATGTTTTTTTAAAAAAATATGATTGGCCTAATTTAAATGAGTTGTATTTATTAATATATATAAAAAAATTAAGTAAAACTAAATATTTTTTATAAATATAATAAAATATTATTATTTTATTGCCGTATCCATGCCGTGTCCGTGTCCTGTTTTTCCGTATCCGTGTCGTATCGTACCCGTGTCTATGTGTTCTTTATCTTTATTCTTCTGCTTATATAATTTTTAACTGACAAATGAAATACTTGATGCAATTTTATGCTCTGTTTCTTCGTCTTCCTGCACTTAAACCGGATAATCTCATCTCTTGCTATAGGCAGATGACTAGGCCAGTGGGTGTATCTTTGTGGTAGCAACAATAAATATTTAAGAATTTTACATTTAGTGGAAATAAATCTGTTAATGGAAAATCTTGCGATATGGAATTCTGGAGCAAACCTTTCCAATTCAACACTTGACCAACTTCTTCTTCCCTTTTTTTTTTTTCTCTCTCTTTTCAGTGGCTTATACCCACTTTGAGTTCAGTGCTCACACTCACTTGGTCACCCTGCATGTATTAGTTAAGCCTTTGTAATTTGAGATGTAGGGCTTTCGACACTCTGCAGGAAATTTTCTAACAAATCATTCAATTAGTTGAACAACATTTGCGATCAGTCTTCTGCTATTTAGCTGTACTCTTGTTAATGAACAACGGGCAATATTGTTAATTAGTTTACTCATTGGTTCATCTTATTAGTTGAGCAACATTCCTCTTGAGTCTTCTGCTATTACATGTACTGTTTTTTTCAACGAACAATTGTCACCAATCACCAATCACCAATCACCAATGTTACTTCCTTTAATTTCCTTGTTTGTTGGATGCTAGAGAATCCACAAGAATCTTCATTTGAACTTATTAAAATCCTGCAATTAAAATCTAAGGTATTTAAAATTCTCACTATTTGTTCATATGTGTAGCCATGTATACTACATGAGTGGCGATGCATGGAAGGAAGGAGGTATTGATGCTACTGGTAAGCATTATCCTAAACTTTCCGTACACCTTGGCTTTCATCTTTCTTGAGGTAAATGAATTAGACCGTGTGCCTTCATTGTAAATAGATAATTTGGTAGGTGATAGTTGGAGCTATTATGCGTTAATGAATTCAATGTTTTGGGTGGCATAAACAAGAAAGCGCCAATCACATGTTCTTTGGTCTTTGGACTTTTCTAAGTGATTTTTTGTTCCTCTCAATTATGGAGAATTTTTTAGGTGCTCTAAGTTCATTTTGTCATGTGTGTGTACTTGATATGCAACACTTAAAGAGTGACAACAAGAAAACATCTTTGATGATGGGTATGGCTGCAATTTATTGTAATTGGAGTTGGTGTTGGTCAGATCGCAAAATAGTGGAGCTACTGGAAGTACAGGCAAACAGTTGGAGCATGCATAGGCAGACATACAAGGTTTTGGAAATTCCCTTTGACCCTAGGCTCCTCTAAAAGGTTTTTGATGGAGTGGCCCCTCCAAAGATGTAGTGTTTTGGCTATCAGCCATGACTCGATCTTTAATATTTCTAATTATGTACCTTTCGATAAATATTTAATAATCCTTTCTGTACATTATAAGGCCCATAAGTTTATATTATTGCCTTCCAGTTCTGCCTCCCAATAATTTATTAGGAATAAGACTAAGTATTAGAGTGATTTTCTTTTTCTTTTTTGTTTTTGACAAGTATATTAAAGTGATTTTCTGCATACTAACAAAATCAATGCATGTGTAACGTAAATTTGTGGAAGTCTCTAATGGCGTTATGCATTCATGTAGTTGATCAGAATTTCTTTGGAAAAACTTTTTTCTTGAACCACAATATCTTTAAGTTAATATTATGGGGCTACTCCCCTATTATCATCTTTAGACAAATGGGAAAATGGTTAAAATTTTACTTATTTATCCTATTATGCAGTTGAGAAAATAATATGCTTATTAGACTGTTTGCGAGCCATGGAAGACAATTCCTACTCCATGAAGTATTTTAATTGACTTTAAAAGAGAAGTGTTAACCACCTAGGAAAAAAAGAAAGTGAAGTGTTAACCACCATCTACTCTAAAAGCTTAAGCTCTTAGAGAGGGTTTAACTTTAATATTGAAATCCTTCAACATGCCCCCCTCACGTGTGGCCTTCTTTTTGGCCCAACACATGATTTTCAATTTGTAATTAGGGTGACGGTGAGGTTTGAACTTAAGACCTTTGGCTCTGATACCATGTTAACCACCATCTTCTCTAAAAGCTTAAGCTGTTAGCAATGGTGTAACTTTAATATTTAAATCCTTCAACAAGAAGGACGGTAATTGATAGACAATAAAGCCTTAAAACAGGTCATTCATAAATATTTATTTATTGTAGATAGAATCCTTAACGTTGCTGATGAAAATAACAAGAAAGTCTCTATATTAGTTTTCTTGCTGTGTTGAATATTCTTTTGGATGCTTATGCCCACGCTGCAACTCACTTCATTTTAAAAATAGTGTGTTGGACACATCAAATTTTTATTGGATGTTGACATCTGTTTCAGTGTCCTAGTTACACAAAAAATTATTTTATGCTGAAGGTAATTTAGTAAGTTTATCTTTGTTTACCATGTATGTTGAAATTTTATAGCCATAGAGGGGGTTCATATTTGAAAGGCGCATATCAAAAGTGAAAGTAGAACATCTGGACTTCATGTTGCAATATGCCTAGATCAACATTGTCAACCTTGCCCATCCTTAACAGTAGTGTTGTTTATTTTATTTTATTTTTTCTCTCAAGTTAAAAGCTAACTAATGCTACATTTTATGAGTTTATTGTCAATGAAGTCAGTTACTCTTAATTTTTGAATCAGGTATAAACTTGTGATCATCTATCTATCTAATATATGCGTGCATTCCCTACTTTTGATTTTGAGTTTTCCTTAGCTACCTTAATAACTTTTTTGTATCAATGTACACATTTAAGAACTTTTCCACATCAATGTGCACCTTTGTTACAATCCTGATTCAGCTGTCATCTTTAATCATTGCATAGGTGCTTTAATGGTGTTAACACTGAAAGTCATCTCATGTGCAATAAATTACAATGATGGATTATTGAAAGAGGAAGGTTTGAGTGAGGCACAAAAGAAAAACCGATTGGTTAAGTTGCCCTCATTAATTGAGTATATTGGTTATTGTCTCTGCTGTGGAAGCCACTTTGCCGGGCCAGTTTATGAAATGAAGGATTATCTTGAGTGGACAGAAAGGAAGGGGGTAAGCCTACTGTGTTGTTTGTGTGCTCTTTTTTTTTTTATGTTCTGTATTTTCATCTTAGTGAAATTAACTAGGTCTCGCCAACAGGCCAGTGGCCTAGCGGTACCAAGCCCCTACTTCTCAAAAGGAGGTCAGGGGTTCGAGCCTCAATGGAGGCATGTGTGCGTGAGTACCAACTAAGAAAAAGAAAAAGAAATTAACTAGGTCTGAGCTTTGATTACCATCTCTCAGATTTGGATGCATTCTGAGAAGGAACAGTCACCATCACCTTATGGGGCAACAGTCAAAGCTCTTGTCCAAGCTGCTTTTTGTATGGGCTTGTACTTGTACCTGGTACCCCATTATCCACTGTCCCAGTTTACTGATCCTATATACCAAGAATGGGGTTTCTGGAAACGGTTGAGTTACCAGTACATGTCTGGCTTTACGGCACGTTGGAAGTATTACTTCATCTGGTCAATCTCAGAGGCTTCTATCATTATTTCTGGCCTGGGTTTCAGTGGTTGGACGGATTCATCTCCACCAAAACCGAAATGGGACCGTGCGAAAAATGTTGATGTTTTGGGTGTCGAGCTGGCCAAGAGTGCGGTTCAATTACCACTTGTGTGGAACATACAAGTCAGCACCTGGCTACGCCATTGTGAGTTTTCATTGCTTTGACGTGTTACAATTTTTATCCCCTTCCCCTATAGGTTTTGCTTTTGCTATCTTAATAGAAACATTCGTATTTGTTAGCATTTAACCAATAACCAGAAAGCTTTGATTTTCCATCTGGACAGTGACAAAGTCCAAAGTATGGCCTGACATGGATTTCACTTGAGTTTTAGTACAATCTAGATACACACGAAAGACCTGGCTGGAGTAAAACAACATAAATTAGTACATTTTTATTTGTCTTCGTGAAATTTGTACACCTCTGATTTAAGATTTGCTGGTATTCAATTTTAGGGTGTTTTTGGAATTAATTGCCAGCCTAACCTGAGAACATTCATTATACACGCACTTGTATTGTTCACATCTTGATAAAATTCTTACCTATCCATAATGGTTATATAACTCCATCTGTGTTGTGCATAGTATCTTATCCTTATGTAGGCCGCGTCCCACTGGATAAAGGAAGAGGACTGTGTTAGGTAGCTAGGTATTTTACTGATGTGTTGAACTTGCATCAACTTTCGGGTGTTCCTAAAAATGGACTAGGGGAACCTCATTGGTCACCAAATGCGGCATTAGTGGGAAAATATTTCAAGTTATTTTGTATGATCACAATAAAGAAGTTAGTGCAATAAAGTAGGTTTAGATTAACGACCTGGGATGTATGAATATTGTAGGTCACATGATGGAGTTTGTAGACGCGATGATTAGGAGGAAGGCTAATATAGCATGTCTATGAGAAGATAAGTGCATAGGAGAAGAATTTAGGAAAAATGAAAATACATAATCCTATTACATTGAAAAAAAAGAAAAAGAAAAAAGACATGAATAAAGTAGATGGTTTATAAAGAATTTTTTTTTTTTTGATAAGTAGATGGTTTATAAAGATTAAAAGATTTTTTTAACTGTATTTAAGATAAAAGACTGGACGAGCACATTAAAGGATACCTTTTGAATCAATAAAAATTACTTCAATTTTTGACGGTGGGATTATATATAGGAGGAGACTTTAATGGCTATGCTTTAAAAACTGTAAATGGTACAAGTTTATGATGGACATGGATTTGGCGGTAGGAATGATGTTGGGGAGGCTTTTCTAGACTAACTGGTGGCTATGATGGTGAATGGATATTTTAAAAAGAGAGATGAATATTTAACAATCTGAAATAATAGGTTAACTAAGAGTCGGATTGATTTTTCTCTAACCTGAAGGATAGATCGATTAGAATGCCAAAACTGGAGGAATAGGATTACGGAAAGAGAAAATTAACATCATACTATGGTTGACGGTTTGATATATACTTGTTAAAAGATAATCCAGAAAGAGAAAAGAGATCAAAACTCAAAACTATTTGGTGGAATTTTAAAGAGGGGATAAAAGGCAGAGTTATTAAAAAATGGGATGCTAAAAGAAGTAACATGAAATTCAGAAAATGGAACTACTATAATGTTTAATAGGAATAACAAATGTATTAGAAAATATCATAAAAGGTGTTTTGGAGCATAAAAAGTCAATATCTAGGAGAACTTGGTCGTAGGATGAAGGTATCTGAACCATAGAGTAAAAACAAAGAGTATTAAAAAGATTGGCAAGAAGGTTCAACTGATACGGAAAATTATATAAAAATTTGCCAAGTTAAATGAGAGAAAGAGAAAATATTTAATTATATTAAGTGCATCAAGAGTGAGTAACGAGTATGAAGTGCCATGATGAAATTAGAAAAGTAGAAAAGTTACTTAAGAGAAGTTGTGGAATGAAAATAATATTGGATGTTTAAGTTTTACAATATAATAACTTTAGGAAGATTGGAAAAATATATTTTTTTCACAGAATAAGTGTGCAAGCTTAAAAATTCATTCAGAAAGATGAAAATGTGAGGGGTTTTAGGACTAGATGACATTCTATTGAGTCTCGGAAGTGTTAATGGGTTGAAGGCACTGGGTACTAATATTGTTTGATATCATAACAACTAAGGAATGTGTTATGAGTGGTGAAAAAATACCTATGGATAGGATTTAGGGAGTTGCAAGTGGTTTAACTGAGGCTATGGCCTTGGATAGAGCAGAATGAAATTCATGAATCATGTAGTTGACATTGAATGGTTAGGAGAAGACTTAGCTGAGTTGAATTGAGTTGATACTATGAAATTAGAGAGTGGATGGGAAGTGTATAAGGTTGAACATCAGTACTGGCAAATTCAATATGGATTTATGTTTCGAGTAATAAATAATGAAAGCTATTTACTTAATGAGGAGTCAAAAATATATATTGACATGATAAAGCATTTGTCATAAGTTGTTAGGGTACTGAAGTTAACTGATTCAAGTTTGATTGGACAATAAATATTTCTTCATTGTATCATGCTGTAGGAGAATGTGTGGGGATGGGACAGGTGGTCAGGTGAAGTTATTACTGGATTGGTTTGAACATAGCATGCCAAGACATTATTGAGGAAAGCCACTCAAGCTGTGTGCAACTCTGAGCGTGTCAGTGGTTGTGTTAAATGCTCACATTCCAGACCTGTTAAGATGACAGGCCATGAATGTTGTAAATGTTGTTTGGGCTGCCTTGGGCTGTTAGTGCCCATATGTTGCAAACATTAGATGGTAGAAATTTTCACTCTGAATATGTGAGTGGTTGGATTAAATGTTCACACTATATACTTGTCAAGATGACAGGCTATGAATGTTGTAAAAGGGTTTAGGCTGGCTTGTTCCTTCAAGTCTATGAGGCAGAAACCGCATATATTGCAAACATAGATGCTAATTTAGTTGGGCTAGAAATTGTCATTCTGTACAAAAGAATCCCGGAGCATGATATGTTTATTTAATGTGATAAATTCCATCCATTATCTAATATTTTGGTTTTCTTCTAAATTTTAAAAGTGATAAATTTTAGTTGTTATCTAATGTTTTAATTTTTCTCCAGACGTTTATGAGAGGCTCATTCAAAAGGGAAAGAAACCTGGTTTCTTTCAGTTGCTGGCTACCCAGACTGTCAGTGCCGTTTGGCACGTGAGTATTACTTTAAGCTTTATGCAGTCGAGAACTTTGCTTATCTATTGATGAATCAAAACCTTAATCATGTATTTGTTACTGCATTCCTTTGCTATTAAACTTTAAGTTATTGGAGGCTTGTAACGTTTCACTGCTTGTCAGTTCTTAAATATTTGTGAGGATTAACCGTAATAGGATTATCAGGCATATTTTCTAACAGATGCTTTTGACTTTTATCTTGACATGGTAAAATAAATGCATTTAATGCACATAAATCTGTCCTTCTACTTCTTTAGTTGGATGGTATGGCAATTTATGTTTTAACTTTATTTTTTTTCTACCAGCAAAGTAGCATAGAAACTGTGAATCATGTGACTAAACATGCATGCTTTGATATTGTTTCTGTGAGTTCATCTGATTTGTGATGGAATTCTGCTGGTATACTGTGCTCGTGATTGTTATAAGAAGGTCTTGGAAGATGATGTATACTTGAACCTGGGTGAAATCCAATGCAATCATACCTATTGTCTTGCTGTTGGTAGTAATAAGATTTATTGTTTCTGCAAATGTTTTCAATCTTTCTTAAACAAAGCCTTGTAATTTTGAGTCTCTATCGGTTCCTTCATTTGGTGTCAGTGTTCCCAAAACTTCATCAAATGGTGATGCGATATTCCAGCAATATGGGTATACACTGATGATGCTATCCCACCATATAAATTAAGCTATCTCAGTTGGATCTAGTTTTTTGATTATCACCCATTGAAGTTTCTCCTTTTGCAGATACTCCTTGGATTTGTCCCTCCTCTCATCTGAATATTAATTATTGTCTTAGATATGCTTATTACCTTGGGGTCACCCTGTGCGCATATTCTGCTTCTATGTTTCATTAATTAATATTTCATCTGAGACGTACATCTGGGTGTTAAGAGTATTTTCTGTCTTCAAAATCTACTTCTTTACTGAGCTAACTTCTTGTTTAAATGGTCTCATCATACATATTACAGGGATTATATCCTGGATATATCATATTCTTTGTGCAGTCAGCGTTGATGATTGCCGGTTCAAAAGGTAACAATCAGACCTCCCTTTTCCTCGTGGTTCTTTTTACAGATGGCTAAGCATTTCTTTGATTGCATTAAATATAATCTCTTTCTGTTTATGAACAGTCATTTATAGATGGCAGCAAGCTATTCCGCCAAATATGGCTCTGATCAAGAAGGCATTAGTGTTTATGAACCTTGCATACACACTTTTGGTGTTGAACTACTCCTGTGTTGGTTTCCTGGTTAGTCTTCGTATTTTTTTTCACCCGAAGAAGTGAAATTCTTTTTGGAAGTTAAATCTTAAACAAAGTTTGACACATCTCTGCCTGTCTGTGACAGGTATTAAGCCTGCATGAAACACTTGCCGCATACGGGAGCGTATATTACATTGGGACCATTGTTCCCATAATAATCATCCTCCTCGGCAGTGTAATCAAACCGCCAAGGTCTGGAAGGTCTAAAGCTCGGAAAGAACAGTGAAGGTAGAAACCACATTTTCTGCTTCTCTTCAGAGTACATGGAATGAGATTAGCAAATTGTCGAACACTACTTTCTGCGGAATCACCGTTTTTTGATGAGTTGTAACATCTGCTCTGATCTTACGATTGTTGAGCCTGTCCACATTTAAATGTGTACATTGAGTTACAAAATTAGAATTAACTGTAACATTTTGAAACACTTAAAAGATAACCTACACTTTTTTTTTTTTTTGCTGGCATTTTTATCCTAAATTGATGTTTTTGCGGAACATTGAATATGATCAAGATAGGGTGCATTGATGACTCAGAGTACGCATGCAGTAAGCTGCCAACTGCACGAACCTTAAGTTCCGACTTTATGGCGAATTTGGGAAAATGCTAGTAGGTATGAGAACAAGAAAACTGGGATTATATATTGGAAGATGAGGCTAAAAACTACTACATGTTCTTCGTTGTGGTCTATTCTGGATTTTACCTTCTGTTGCTCTTAGTGTTTCCTTCCACTAGGAAGGAGTCTAGGGTTCCTAGATTATTGTGTACAGGCAAGAAGTAGAGAACATCCTAATATATAAGGGAAACATTTGATGGTTTCTTTCAGGAATGGAGCCCGCCCTCGTCGAACGCCGATTAACAAACGTTTGGTCAAGTACCAAACGTAACCCTAGTTCACCGGACTGACATGTATAGCAATTGCAAATGGCCATTCAGTTGTTAGCAACGGATATCCAAATTTGTTTCTGTTGAATGTGGCCATTGTTGGGCCTACTTTTGATGTTTAGTTCACTTTGGGCTTACTCTCATGCCCTATTGTGTCTTTGTTCTTGCCCAGCAAGGTGTGTGGGCCTCACTTATTGGGCTCATTGTAATTATGTTTATACTAATACAGTTTTAACCTTTCGAAGAAAAATAAAATAAAAATCATCTCCTGCACCTCTCTCTCTCTCTCTCTCTCTCTCTCTATATATACACATACTCCTATATAAGTCAAGAGCGGAGGGACAGTGTGCACGCCCTCCATGAAAAAACAAAAATTATTTCTATTAGGCGTATTTTTTTTTGAAAGTTCAAATATTCTCCCCTCAAAAAAAAAAAAAAAAAAAAAAAAAAAAATTAATAATATATTGAGGGTGATTCAGTTATTTTACCTATCAAAATATTCAACCATTTGATATGCACGACTGTACTAACTATTTTATACTATAATTGCATCAGCTTTAAGACAATAATAATAATAATAATTAATATTTTGCACTGATTATGTCGTCGATTGAATCACCATAGACATAATTAGTCCGAACTTAGAAGGAGAGATTGAAAGAATTAACCTTTTGCACTGATTTACCCGTAATTTTTATTTTATTTTATTTATACAATTAAGAATCAAAAACCCTAGTTTTTTTTTAAAAGAATTTCACATGATTCACATTTCTTTTAATTTTTATCTTACTTTGATTGTAAATATATATAAAAAAATTACAATTTGTAATATATTGTATGTATATCAGTTGTATGCAGATTTTTTGTGTTGTGTGTGTTAATAAATTGGGTTTGAATTTCAAAATCTATGGTTCCAAAATCTATATTTGGTTCTTATATTTGGCGAGTATTTTAACTGTCCTTTTCAGTTCAACAAATCAACATTGGCATTAAATGATTTTTTTTGTTTGCCTTTCGATTTGAAAAAAAAAAAATTAATAATAAAAAAAATAATAATTCAATTGTTAGTTGGATTTTTTTGATTTGAATCCTGGCTCCGTCCCTGTTAATATAAGCGCTTATGCGGTAAAGATTTCTTGTTCATTGGTGAACATTAAATTTATCAACAGCAAGCATGATCACATAAAACATAACGATTGTTAAATATGATTGTTATCTTTTTTTGATAATTATTTTTTTTAAAGCTTGAATTATATTCAACTGTCATCATGGTTCGTGTGGGGAAATTTCATGTTCAACAGAAGAATTATATTTGCCTCTTTAAGCCGTGAGAACTCCTCTTTACCGCTGACTTGTCCTGATATCTTCTTCTAAGAAGATAATTTAATTTTAGGTGGATTTTGTTGAGACCAAATCTAATTATATAGTTCAATGTTGTCTGAAGGAGATTCACTCACCTCATGGCTCATGCGTTGGGAGGCAAATATAGTTCATTTACGAAGTAACTAATTCTCGTATTAATTGCATAACATATGTTATTAATTGAAATCATTAATTATGAATGCTTCTACAGCCTAAGTGATAGGATTACTCTCTTCCTACTAATCCTTTAACATTCTTACAAACAATAATCAGTTGATTTGAATTTTTTTTATAAAAATTCAGTAATCTCAGCATTCAATGTGATAAACTTCCCAAAAAAAAGACATCAATGTGTTACCAATGGGGCGGTGCAAATAAGGAGGTCCAATGGGGGCGGTGCAGGAATGCCAATGAGTTACTTCCCCTAAAATCATAGATATATATCAAACATCCATTGAAAATTACATTCATGTTATATATATATATATATATGCACGAAACATCCATTGAAAATTACATTCATATTTTTTTATATAAAGTCGATAAGCATTATTTTGTTGTCTATAGCCGACGAAAATAAAGTCTATAGTGTATGTTTCATGTGGTATATGGCGTGTAGCTTTCACACTAGTTAATTGCAAATCAACTCCAAAAATGCCATCTTTTTCACAGTCAAGACAATAGCATGGGGCGTGTGTGTGTGTGTGTTTGTCTTTTTTTGTTTCACCCCATGTATAGAAAAAAGTAAACTAAGGTATATTTAATTAATGGAACTTAAAATGCATGATATGGGCTTGTCAGGTCACTAGTTTAGTAACACAAAATCTGATCCACCACCACTTCATCATAGAGATAGAGATAGCGATTAGAGATTATCTTTAATCATCATAAATTAAGGATATAATGTAATGGAGCAATTGTCTTTTGCCCGTAGTTTTTTTTTTTTTTTTTTTTTTGTAAATAAGCATCGTGATCATTAAATATGATTCAAGTATTAAAAAAATAATTACCAAAAACAAATAACAATCATATTCAACCGATATGATGTTTGGTGTGAATAGTGTAATGTATCTGCATGGTTGTATTGATGTCCTTTTTTTCTTAATTATTTTCTTTTACCTTTCTATTTGATGAAAGTTCACTGAATCAAACTCGAACTCTTTTTTCAGATGGGATGTTAGATAAGTGAGTAAGGGATCATTTCCGCAATGTATCTGCATGATTGAATCGATGCTACTTTTTTTTATTTAATCTTTTTATTTGATGAAATTAAGTTCATTGAATCAAACTCGAACGCTTCTTTTTCAAATGGCATGTCAATACTTAAATCACATGTCAGATGGCTCTGACAAATTGATGTTAAATTGAAAGAAATATTGAATCTGTTTATTAAAATGTGGTAGCATGTATATATATATCCGAGTCCAACCCCCCATCCAATCAGTATTATAGTACAAAATTTGTTCCTTTTTTTTTTCTTCGACTAACATGGGATTATTTTTCAAATTTGAGTAGGTGCATTATTAATGCCACCACAGATGACTTTGTTTGAATATAAATAAATTTAAATTGGGACAAAAAATTTCAGCCTCAACCAACCAAACCTTACTAAACTGACCCTTTTTGCTCATAGTTAGTATTGATGTCTCCAAACAACTGTACATATAACGGTACCATCCTAATATTTAATTTGTGACATACTTTGCCATACAAATCATATTGATCAGATTTAATTTAATTTCTTTATCATGATGGCATGAGTTGAAAATTTTAAGAATATCATAAGCATATAAAAATTAAACTTCTATATATATATACTTGATCAGAAGGGACAAATTGGAGGGTCGGTGAGCCGGCGGGGCACGACCACTAGCCGGCGGTGGTGTCCTTGCTGCACCAACCACTCAGCCGCCCATGCGGCAAGCAGGCCAAGCTGGGTGTATCTGATCCTATACATATATTTATATGTTTTCTGTTTGACTATTTTGTATATTGCATTAGTCCTTGCATTTTAGTCATCTTTCTCTCCATCTCTTTTTTGTTATTTTCTTTTAGTCTTTGATAATTTTATTAACTTTTGTCCATTTATTTGGTACGGCGAGCTTCTCACCCTCTACTTTTTTATTTATTTATAAAGAGTCGTGCTACATTTGTAGATTTGCGGACTTGAACCAACCGCAAAGAGATATTTTATTTCTGAAATCTATCAACTAATAAGTTTTTTCCAATTATAATTGAGAATAGAGTCACGGACGAGACATGAATTACACATTTATTTTTCATCACACGTATTTGTTTGATTATGTGTTACACAGTTATGTACCTCTTTATAAAATTGTTTCAGTACGGAGGCATGTACATATTCTTCAAACATGCACATTTTAAATTTTGGTTATCAATATTCATTTAAGACTGTAAAAAAATCGAGCTGAGTTCAAAAAGTTTAACTCATTTAATAAAATGATCTAAACTCTGATCTCGTGATATTTCATGAATATTACATATTCTTCAAACATGTTTTGAATTGTGGTTATTTATGTTGATTTAGGACTATAGAAATCTAGCCAAGCTCAAAAAAATTACTAATTCAAACTAATTATTATTTTAGTAATCTCACACTAACTATGGGCAAATCGTGTTTTTTTTCAAACTTATTAATCAAGGTAATGAGATTTGGATGGGACCCCAAATTATAAGAATTTATAAAATCAAACTAATCAAAGTCAATTTATTCTTCAAATAATATATGATCAAGTATTGGTTTGTCGGGAAAATGATTAATGAGATAATATTGGAATCTCCCTCGATTGGGCTCGTGCCACAATTAAAATGATGTGCGTATTTTTCTTATAATTGATACTCATGTGTCTTTATGTATGTATATTTATATATTTATAATTATATATACATACACATATCTGCATTTAATATGATAGAATACGACAGGTCAAGTCCATCCTAGACTCGAATAATACCATGACCAAAAGAAAAAAGGTCAACTGTGATATATCCATGAAAGCGAAAAAGAAATAAGGTCAATCAAAAAAAAAAAAAAAAAAAAAAAAAAAAAAAAAAGGGAAAGATAATAATAGTATTTACCAACTACAAAAGCACAATTTGTTTTCTATGTTTGGTACAACTTAACTTAAAAGGGTTGACCAAAATTAAATGAACATTTTACTTCTTAATAAAAAGGGTTTTGAGGGAATTTATATTTGCCGCTAAGCACCAAATGCTTATAATCAACAGTTTAATGCCAAAGGATTGGAAGTCACATGATGTGCGAATCTTCATTTTAATTATGTTTTGGATAATTATTCACCAAGTAGTGCACTAATATGCCAATCTTGGGGATTAATTAACTTTGTGGTGGTTGCAAAACCTTTTTATAGACAATAATTTGCTGTTCTCAAAGATGCAAATACAAAAAATATTCTGAAAATATGTCTGTTTGTAAGCTTCATGAAATTTGTCATAGCCAAAAAAAAAAAAAAAAAAAAAAAAAGGACTTAATTTAGAGCTGTTCTCTTTTAGTTCTATTAAAATTGAATTTTGAGTTGAGAATTCTTGAAAATTATTTTTAGAAATTTAAATAAAAAAGTTTATATTTCTCTGCAAAATAGTAATGATTGACTATTTGATCTTCCATCGTCTTACATGTGAACGCAAGTTGTGTTAATTATGTGATTACTTGTCATTTGTTATTATATTTACTTACATTTGTGTTTCCCCTAGTAAAATATTTGGTATAAGAATTTGGGACTTAACAAGTGATATCAGAAGAGTTTTAATGTGCTAGCATAAAAATGGAAGGTGATGGAGACAATGCAAGTTGGGACATAGATTGGGCAGGGTTTGCAAGTTGAGCTACAACCTTCATTTAAGTGACAAAAGGCATCAACAATGTTGGTTTGCTGATGACCTTTCCATAACCGTGTCAATGCCAAAATCAGGTATGGACCATGGACACTCCCTTCCCCCCCATTTCTAACTATTTTTAGGTTCATTCAGGACGCTGCAGTGTTTGGGGGGATTTGGATATGGGCCTCCTCTCCACACACACGTCCTCCCAACATCCACTCCAAATAAACCCGGCTCCTCTTGGACTCTCCACATGTTTAACCCATTCATCAATAAATGGTTAGATCCGTGTTTTATTGGATTGACCCATATTCGTCTAAACCCGTTCCGTTAGTTGGATATTTTGTCATTTACTTTTAGGTAGAGCCAGAATATCCCGACACTTCACTTGAGAGTGTTGTGGCGATATCAGACATGCGAACACCGTTCGGACCCTTTTCAGACACAGCTAAAAAGTGTTCTGAAATTTAAATTTATAAATAACATGACTAAAAAATATTGTTATATATATATATAATAATAATAATTTATTATATTATTATTTTTGACATATTAATGTACTACTATTTAAATTTGCAGTAAATTTTTTTATATTACCGTGTATCTGTTTTATATCCCTCATGTTGATATTCATACTTTTGAGTGTGTTAAGAAAATCTTAACTTCCACAATTAAATTATAGTAAATCCAAAACCTTTGTCTCAAAATTATAACATACCAGTTACCATTTCAAAGAGCCAAACTGATAATTTTACTAGTAATACAAGAAAGAAAGAAAGAAAAAAATTCATTTGAACTAATAATGGCTCTTTATATTAGTAATTCCACATATAAATCCAATTTACACTTGGATTGGGTTTGAAATTTTGAATTTGTCTGAAATCCTGGTTTTAGTCTAACCCGAACCAGATGGGTCGGAGTTTGAAAGATGGGGGTAGTTTACTCGTTCACGCAGCCGGCAGTACGAAAGGTTGACTGGTCTAGTCAATATACAGGCGATACGTCTCTTAAAGTTAGCAGCCAAAACCAAGCGCATATTAAGCGCGCGTGTACAAATGCATAGAAACTAAATTGTTATAAACCAAAAAATAGTACGAGTATACATTTTTAATTTACATGTGATGTGAATCAAAACAATGAACAAATTAAAACAGAAACAGATAGCTCTAAAATCTCTATCCCCTACATTTCAATCTCATATTTACATACAGGAAAAAAAAAAAAAAAAAATTCAATGAAGATATATTAATTAAATTAAACAAGTGTCTGAGCATCAAGCTTTGTAGTAGTACTTTTGTCATCTAAAAATCTTTGTTCTTCTTTAGTGTCATGGTCACCATTGACAGTGATAGTTCCGGTGAGCACTTCAGCTCTCCGAGCTTGACTCTCCCAATCCGTTCGAGTTAAAACGAACAACATGGTAACAACACACGAGCCCTGCGCCGCCAAAAGGCCTAGCCAGAGTCCTCTGAAATCGAACCCCACATAGAAGCTCAACCACACCGCCACCGGCATGCCCACGAGGTAGAAACACCCTAAATTGATGTTGGCGCCGAGTTTAGGCCTCGCAGTGCCTCTCAAAACGCCACAACCTGTTGTTTGAGGGCAGTTTCCGAGCTCACAGAGCCCAATTATGGGCAAGACCATTGAAGTCAATGCGATAATCTCCGCGTCATTGGTGAACATACTAGCCCAAATGTGTCTAACCGTGGTAGCAAAAAACAGTGCTGAAAACCCTAACACGAAGCTAGAAGAGAGGCCAATGATGGCTGCCAGTTTAGCCCTCTCGGGCCGGTTAGCACCTAGCTCATTTCCAACTCTTGTGGACACTGCGAAGCTCAGAGAGGATGGGAAAATGTAGATTAAAGCTGTGGTTTGGATCAAAATGCCCATTGAAGCCACGGTTGCTCGAGGATTCAGCAACAACCCGCATAACAAAATCATGATTTCGTACCACCACCATTCGAGACATACTGAAATGCAGCTCGGGACAGCTAAGTTGATGAGAGATGACCACCCTTTCAAGCACTCTGAGCTCACTCCTCCCCAAGTCTTCTTATACACACCGGAGATCATAACGTAGACGATCAACGATCCTACGAGATTAAAGTTTGTCCAAACACCACTTATGGCCACGCCTTTGATTCCGAGATTGAGGACTGAAACAAGAAAGTAATTGATGGGAATGTGGAGAAGAATGGAAAAGGTTGCACAATATGTTAAAGGGAGCGTGATGGATTGTGTTCGGAGATAAATGCGTAGAGGGTGGAGAATAGATTGAGCAAAGAGGTCCGGGAGAGAGTAAAGAATGTAGGATTGAGCTTCATTGGCTATGTCATGTTGTTGGCCACAAATTACCAAAATTTTCTTGATGTTGAACCATAGAAAAGCTATGGGGATTGATGTCAAGAGAAGCAAAAGGACTGTTCTTTGGAGGGTGAGGCCGAGAAGCTTGTGTCTTTGAGCTCCGAAAGCTTGGCCACAAATGGGTTCCATTCCCATGGCGAGGCCGGAGAGAATTGAGTAGCCGGTGATGTTGGCGAAGCCAAGCGCGAGGGCACCACCGGCGAGAGAGAGCTCGCCGAGGTGGCCTAAGAAGAGCATGGAGATCATGGAGCGAGAGTAGAGTAAAAGACCTGTTAGGACCATGGGAAGGGCTATGTTGGCTATGCGTTTGGCTTCAGATATGGATAGTGAGAGATGGGTTCTATTGGGGTTTTGGGTTTCTTCTTCTTGTTTGGATTCCGGGATTTGGGGAATCAGAGGAGAGAAAATGTTGGGTTCATGTGGTTTGGTAGAGAGAGGAGAGGAAGATAATTGACACATAGTTATGGGGTCTATAGAGAGAGAAGAGAGGGGAGGGGAGGGGATTTAGAAGTTTTGAGGTTTTGGGTTTCTGGAAGTGGTGATGTTGTGACACATAGATATGGGGGTCTATATATATATATATATATATATATGGGAATGAAGTCGGCCCTTCTGGAAAGTGAAAAAACTAGTAAGAGGAGGTATTTGGTTGACTGGTATATGGTTAATGTTAAGTTTCAAAAGTTTAAATGAAATTCTTTTTTAAGCGTCCTTTTCTGACCGACCACGGATCAGTGTTTTGGCCTGTAGCAGATAATCACACACGCACTTAAAACTCTAAGACACACATTTTTATTCTGAGATATAGGGGGCCGAACTCTGAACAAGCCGACAGAGATAGTGGGACTCGCTTTGGCGGGAGCAAATCATCTGAAGTGACTTGTCCTGTTGTTCCTACAGTGCACGTTTACTGGCTTATATTTGGTAACGTCTTTATTTGTATAAAAGTTATTAAGACCGTGTTTGGATGCGGCAATTAGAAAAAGTAATTTATTCTTTCACTATCACCTTCACTCTCAAAACAGGATATTCATATAGTGTCGAACAAATAATATCACGCATAAATGTAACACAATTCAACATATTTTTATATTGTTATTTCAAATTAAATTTATCACAAAAAAAATAGAGCACCATAAAAATTATTGTCAAATGTTAATTTAAAGAGTTCCATCATAAGGTTAAAGTCATTTCGACTAACTTCAGACAACATACAAAATACTCGATAGAGTCATTGATTTTTTTTTTTTTTTTTTTTTTTTTTCATGTATAAAAAATACGGAGTAATACATTTGGTTATTCTCTAAGAGTGAATCATGAGTTCTTTTATAGAGTTCATGTTACTTTCGCACCAATGTGTAATCGATAAAACTTGGCATAGTTTGGAATTAGTTGTTATTTGCTCTCTCACTATTTTCACCATCAAAACAAGAAATTCACACGATGCCCACTAACTAATACCACATTTCAATGTAATTCAATTCAACGTATTATTATGTTGTTATTTAAAATTAAATTTTACCACAAAAAAATAGAGCATTTTAAAAACACCTTAATTAATTTAAAGAATTTAAACCAAGGTTAAAGTCACTTAGACTAACTTTAGATAACAAATAAAATACTTGATGTTTATAAAAATAATGAAAAGAGCCACATCTTTTTTTTTTTTTTTTTTCTTCCAAATATTAAAAAGCAATTACACAAAAGTGAAGATTGTTGATAGTCAAATACCTCATAATTTCCTTCAAAATCATCTTTAAAATTAACTTGTGACTATGTTTTTTTTTATTTTTTTTATTTTATTTTTAATGATAAAATTTAACTTTTAACTTCAAATAAAACATAAATAATTGTCTAAAGTTACTCCAAGTGACTTTAACGTTGGTTTGAATTATTTATGTGTAATTGTTGCATACATTTAATATTAGTAACAACATAAATAATATATTGAATTGAGTTAAATTTATGTATGACATTATTTAATTAACACTATGTGAATACCTTGTTTTGAGGATGAAAGTGATGGTGAGGGAGTAAGCTACTTTCTGCAATTGTCGCATCCAAACGCAATCTCAATGGCTGTTAAATGAAGAAGGATGTGGCCAAATGGTGATCACTTAAAGCTTACTTTAGAGAATGATAGGGCAACCTCACTGTAGAAGATTTACGCCCTCCACTTTCACATCTGTATCAACCCGCTGGTTGGGAGTTCAAATTTGTGGTAAGATCATAGGATATACAACATATCAAATTTAAGAGGGAATGCAAGCGTTACCGAATTTAAACTCGAGCTATAAGTGCAATTTCATGATGAGCTTGATTATAATTTTTGTTGTCTCACCTAAAGCTCAAATGTCCCTGTTGATGAAGAAGCACTATAAGGCATTATTTCATAGTCCTGGCTAATCATTATTTGGTACACTAGCAAAAGATTGAATAAAAATCACATATTTATTTACGTGTCAGCAAAGGTGGATCCAAAAATTACTAATGGGGCTGGGCTAATAAATTTTTTTTTTTTTTGAGTAGGTTAATACTAAAATAAAAATCACATATTTATTTACGTGTCAGCAAAGGTGGATCCAAAAATTACTAATGGGGCTGGGCTAATAATTTTTTTTTTTTTTTTTTGAGTAGGTTAATACTAAATTACTTATAATAATAATAATAATAATTTTTATTTATTTATTTTTAAACTGGGCTTAAAATTACCTATACTTAAATTTTAACAGCTATAATTTTATTTTATTTTATTTTTTATTTTACTAAAAAAATTAGGTTTATCAGACAAGACCGTAGTTGGTGTTGTGAGTTGTGAGCAACGTGGATATGGGGTAAGAAGTGACGTCTTGAAAGTTTGACAAATTAAAAGGGCATTGGGCGGTTATATAATATTATAGTGGACCCATATGATAATGAGGCACTGAGACTCTAAAAGGCTTAATCCTTGGTCCGTTAAACACCAAATTGACTTGTGATACTCAAGCATAAGATGATCTTAATAGATCTCTTATATGGCTAATCATAATTTGTCACTCTTCTTATACTTCTAAGTTTTAATCATTAAGAAATTAAACTTAGGAAGTTGATAAATCTTTGATCCTTTGTACTAATATAGCGTGATCCACGTTGAATATCAAACATTATCTTCATAAAGTAACTAAAAAGGAAAGGAATAACATTAATGTCTAATCCCATTTTGTGCCTTTACTTACCTTATTCTTATCCAAACAAAACTAGATTTTATCATCTCATCACTTTTAAAATTTCTAACGTACTCATCTAATAATCATTTTGTAAAACCGACCACTTGGACTTAAAAAGAGTCCTGTCATTTGGAGTTACATATGACATGATTTTAATGTGTTTCACAGATCTATGTACTTGAAATGAATCTCATTTATAAATTTGTCTCTCTTTTCAAAAACACTCAAAAAAAAAAAAAAAAAAAACACAATTAAGTAGTGTAACTATGTCCCATCGAGTTATTGAACGGCTCATATAAATAGAATCCAATAAAAAAAACTTTTGTTAGAAATGAATAAGATGGCCATCCTCTTACTGTCACATCAGTCCCTAATTGCTATTTTTTTTTTTCTTAACTTTAATAATTTTATGCATTCACTATATTAACCACACGATAGTTGATTCAACTCGCACCATAATGTTGCTAGTATTGATTGAGTAGGTATAAGATATTATGAAATTTTCTTACGTTAATTTAAGAATTGTGTCATTTCATGCGATTCAGGCTAATCTAACCGTTCACGGAGACTATGTAAGTGATTTGTTAAAAAATATCGTGGTCACTCGCGGAGGCTATTTGAGCAGTTGGTGTAAAGAATTATTTTTAATTTATTACTCCTAAGTATTATTAAGAATGGGGTGAGGTTAATGACTATAAAATTTGTGGGGTTTCACGACTAGTACAGTCCAAATAGTGGCTTAATTAGTCCAAGGGTTCAAGCAAGGGATTGGACGGTGCAAAGGCATGTCAAGCCCTTTGTCTGCACCAACGTCTTCACCTTCAGCTTCATATTCGTCTTAATCTCTTGGAGAGAAAATCGCTAAGACATAACAAAAATTCAACTTTAGAGAGAAAGACTGATATATATATATATATATATAGAGAGAGAGAGAGAGAGAGAGAGAGATAGAGGGACTAACGACCATGATTCAAACAGTTATAGGCGGTTGTTGTATGTGTTAAGGGGAACGCACATACATACTTTCCTAGCAACCCACGTGCCTATCAGAACTTGACTAGTTAAAAGTTCTCATGCTATTAACATTAATTTTATATAACTTAAACTTTTGTGAAATTAAGAAAATCAAATTAAAGTATTTTATGGTTTTAGCTTGTTTGGTTCCTAGCTATAACTAGCTGGTTCTCTCTCTCCCCCTCTCTGTCACTAGACTTTTCTGATGAGGGATAGGTGTCACATGGGTGTATAAAAGAAAATAAAAAAAAAACAATTAAGAACTATTGGTTTTATTATTGTTATTATTATTTATATATTTTTTTCCTGATAAGGTTTGAAACTTTGAACTTGCAATAAACTACTCTCAAGGAAATCTTGTTCCTTTACTAAATTCTCAACCCTAAATATTGTTAATAAATTAATGATTTTCGGTGTTTTAATTATATAATTTTTTTTTTCTTTTAGTACACCAGCCGGCCATTTTTTTTTCAATACATCATAAATATTTTCACATAAATATGCAATTATGATTATAAAGTTGCAATAATGTATAACTTTCATATGTGTTTTATGATAACCCATAATACTACTGTAAAATTAGGGATGTCTATAAAATTCTCATTAATGCGAAAAATATTATATATATATATATATGTAAACATCAAAGACTGTATGTAGTTTATTAATATTTTATCCCCTTCAAAAGTAGAAAGTCGTGGAAGTCCTCGTCAAAATAATTGAGCGTGGGAATCTATTTCTTGTCAAAATAAAAATAAAATCGTTAGCACCGTGACACTTGTAATTAGTCAATAGTACTGAACCCTTCCTGAATAGTTTGGCTTACAAGTAGGGGGGACCCTTAATGACTCAAAAGGTGCGTTATATACAGAGACAAGCGCTTAGTCATATACAAACGAGTAAAGAAAAATCTTAGCAGAATATTTTAAGCATGGTTAGACAAGCAAGCAACATGTCACTTTACTTGACTCTTTGAAAATTGGAATCAAATGGACAACAATAAAAGATGAGATAATTCTATCCAATCCTGTTATAGCCACTCATAAGGTTCAACCATTGACTCCCAAATCACATCGCACACCATCCGTGGGACTGCTATACTATTTTAGATTACCACAATTGGTTATTCTTCTACAAATCAAAATATATGTACAGTACTTGAAATTTCTAAATTTAAATTAAGTCAAATTTGAGTCTAAATTAAATATTTAGAAATCGGTTTTTCAGTACAATTGGTCTCACTCAAAAATTCGAACCGCGGAAAAGAAAAGTCTCTAAATGTATCCTAAAATGTTTCTGTTGGTGGTAAACAAACCTGTCTAGCAATTGGCATTTTGACACATTCAAATCGATTTGACAATGGAATTTTCCAGGGAAAGGGGATTAAAAGCTCATTTTTCATGATTGGAATGGGGATTAATTTGGAGGGAATTGAATGAGTCAAATCATATTTCATGAAAAAAAAAAATGTATTGGAAGATATTTTAGTCCAAACTACTATTTGACTTGTCCATTCAGCACTGGAATTAATGGTGATAGGGAAAAATATAAATCTACCCTACCCTCGATAAGATTGATTATATTTAAGAATAATCCTATCATAATTGGAGGAGGTCAAAAGGATTATTCATATCCCCGACAAATCTGACAACAAATCTCCCATGATCTCGCACAAGCGGAAGATAAGATCAACCATCGACATCGGCGGAACCAATTGGATTCCAATCGACAGTCATAAATAGGGCACCAAACCGTTAAAGAATGTATGAGAAAAAACTCCTAAACAAAAGATACATAATTATTTTGTGATACGATTACAAGTACTAACTTGATCGTCGGAGGGTCCTTGGCTGGCACCCCACCGGTGCCATTCGAAGTGACGTCCCTTTGTTTTGCAGGTAAACGCCGTCGTTCCGAGTCGTGAGGATTTACGCATCAACAGCTGGCGCCGTCTATGGGAAAGATTAGTTCTCTGAAGAAATAATAATCCCGACGCGACTTGGCTCGGACGGCAAAACGAAAGTTTCTGATCATGGAAACCTTCCCAAAGTCATCAGTTGACAACGGGTTTACATGTTCTTATATAAGGACGAGACTCTACATCTTGATTACTCGTCTATCATACTGGGGGCAAAACAGTGAGTTACGTGATGCCACCTTTCAAAATTTGGCACGTCGACCCAGGCAGTCCAATATGGTATTTTCCATCTAGCGATGCTTGGTCCCTTCACTATTGAGGTTTGGTCGTCTAAGACCAGACTCCATCTCATATCGGGCAGCAGCCAATTATCAAGGCCAGATCGTTGAAGACTAAGGTCTGATCTTTCTGTACCTACATAAATGGGTAGGTCTCCACCCATCAAGAAGATCACCACCAACAAGGGTGTCTCTACCTACTAGTAAAGCTTCTACTACTGAAGATATCTCTAGCAACGGAGTTTCACTACTCCGTCCGTTCATAAAATCAGGGTGGCCTTCTACACCCAAGAATGTATCGAGACCTTCAGGTCCAAGGAGGTCCAATGTCCCTCAAGATCCCATGTCCAATGAGATCTGTATTCCCAAGCAGGTTCCTAAGTTAAGGGCGATCATTGGACCCAACGAGGTACTGACCACCAGACCGTCATCTGTCAGCCGTTGGGTACCACGCCTCTATCCACCAGGCATCAAGCCAGTCGCTGGATACTAAGCCTCCACCTACCAGACGACAGTTGTCACCTCTCTTCCTTTACAAGAATGGCCTATCGACTTCAGATTATGCAGAATTTTGGATTGATAATCCATTGCAGGTTAATTTTTAGTAATTACTTCTAACCCAATCCAATATTTTTAGACAACTGTAAATTGTTGCAGCACCAGACACCCCATCCGTTGCATAAACGTCTATAGAATGGGTCATCACCCAAGATCCTAACATGGGGGGCAAAATAGTGGATCATACGATATCAATCGCCGATCTATATATGATGACAAGGTTTAGAAGATTGATCGTACCTTGGTACATCGAGCTAGTCGAGTTTCTAGTCTCTACACGATGGGAAGGGTACAACCCTTGGTTATTATAAATCAAGGCTTGGTTATCCAAAACCAAGGCCTAGTCAACCAAGACTAAGAATTGATTGCCCAGAGTCTACAAAGGCTCGGTCATCCAAGATCAGTGCCCGGTTACCCCAAGTTTGGTCATCAGAGACCAAGACTAGGGCCTAACTGACAAAAGTATGGTCATCAGAGATCAGAACTTAACCTACAAAGGTCAGGTCAAAAAACGATCCTCCCCCTCACGTGTTATACTTATGTGGTAATTAATTTCCTTACTAAAGGGACGAGCTGAGTAAAGCTCGTAAAGTTTATTCCCTTGCTAAAGGGATGGGTTGAATGATTCCCGTAATCAAATATTCCCGTACTATAAGGGATAGTAAATAAGTGTCCTGTATTACAAGGACCCGGGCAGAATGAATCCCGTAATCAATATCCCCGTACTATAAGGGATAGTAAATAAGTATCCTGTACTACAAAGACCTAGGCTGAATGAATCACGTAATCAAATATCCCCGTACTATAAGGGATAGTAAATAAATGTCCTCTACTACAAGGACCCAGGCTGAATAAATCCTGTAATTAACATCCCTGTACTATAAAGGGATAGTCAATAAAAATTCCTTATTAAAAGGGACGAGCTGGGTGAAGCTCGTAAAATTTAATTTCCTTATTAAAGGAGTAACGACCTGAGTGAAGCTCGTACAATTTATTCCCTTACCAAGGGAAAGAGTACCCAAGGGCAGAATACCCGAGGGTACTAAAAATAGTACCCAGGGGCAGAGTACCTAGAGGCGAAGTACCCAAGGGTTCTAGAAATAGTACCCAAGAGAAGAATACCCAAGGGTACTAAAAATAGTACCCGGGGGCCGAATACCTAAGAATACCAAAAATAGTATCCAAAGGAATAGTACCCAGGGTATAAAAAAAAAAATTTCCCGAGTTACTATTCACATGAATAGAACCCGCGGGAATAGTACCCTGTGAATACTGTTCACAAGGGTTGAAAAAAAAAAAAAAAAAAATTTCCCGAGTTACTATTCACATAAATAGTACCCGCGGGTACTGTTCACAGGGGTTGGAAAAAAAAAAAATTTTATTAAATCCTGAGTTACTATTCGCATGAATGGTACCCGCGGGTATTATTCACAGGGGTTGAAAAAAAAAAAAAAAAGTTTTACATTCCCAAAGCTAGACGTGCAAGCTTGGGAATGGGGGGCAACTGATAGGGAAAAATATAAACCTACCCTACCCTCGATAAGATTGATTATATTTCATTATCGTGGTTCAATAGGGTAAGAATAATCCTATCATAATTGGAGGAGGTCAAAAGGATTATTCATATCCCCGACAAATCTGGCAACAAATCTCCTATGATCTCGCACAAGCGGAAGATAAGATCAACTATCGACATCGGCGGAACCAATTGGATTCCATTCGACAGCCATAAATAGGGTACCAAACCGTTAAAGAAGGTATGAGAAAAAACTCCTAGACAAAAGATACATAATTATTATGTGGTACGATTACAAGTACTAACTTGATCGTCGGAGGGTCCTTGGCTGGCACCCCACCGGTACCATTCGAAGTGACGTCCCTTTGTTTTGCAGGTAAACGCCGTCGTTCTGAGTCGTGAAGATTTACGCATCAACAAATGGAATCAATTTTTTTTTTTTTTTTTCTATTTTTTTTAGAATAACGATCAAAAGTCAGTTAAGATATTCTGATGTGATATTGGCATTGCAATTTTGTACTCATTTGATTTTATTTTTTTAAAAATAAAGTTAATAAGAATTTTTTAACATTATTAGCATTCGTGTTATACCCTTATCATAATATATATATAAATATATATGTATAATTAATAATATATATATTTTTAACTGATTAGTGGCTTACATTGATCAACCAAATCATTGATCACTATGTCTATGGATCAACTAGTGACTCGGTGACCATCACTTGATGTTAAGTGGTTCCGAACATATTGGTCCCTTTCACTTTGACGTACACCTTCACATTTAGGTTCACAATTTTCTTCCAACAGTCAATAGTCATGGGAGTGTCCTGCAAATATGTACAACATCAAAATGAATTCCACACTCAACCCTCTCTACCTAAAATGACTTCGTCCATTGGAAAAGCATATCATTGGAGTGCTAGTAATTTTCACACGCTCAACCATCCATCTACCACATCAAGGAAAGTGATTCGAGAATCTTCTCGGGTATGTACATTCTTATACACAACTTTTCGAAAAAGGAAAATTATATATATATATATATATATATATTTATTTATTTAATGCCGAAGAAGCATTTTTTTTTTAACCTGACAAACAAGAAGCCAACATTTCATTACAAGATCAGCCAAGATATAGAACAAGTACACATCATGAACCTAATAGAATCACATTAAAGTCAAAACCAGATAACTCCATATAAACCTAACACTAAGTTAAGACATGACCACCGTCATTAGAGTGCTCAACGCCAACCAACATTCGCAATTTTAATAGCAAAAGATTGGGATGAGTATGAGGTAAATGATTCAATCACTTGCACCTCCACCAGACGAGCGGAATTCGCACCCACTAAACTACTTGGCGGACTCAGAGCAGCCATCTTACTCACTGCATTTCCCCCTGCACCTTTAAACTTTTTATCCCCCGCAAGTCTATTAGCATGAGATCCACCAGAGATTGATTGTCAACGTTTACGGCACTTATGAGCCGGAGAAGAGCCTTGACAATTAGACGTGGCAGAGGAATCAGACTTATTCCCTTGTAAGCAATTGTACAGGATATGTATTATATACACAGGTGTCCAAGTATCGACCAGGGCCACGAAAGAGTAAGCCTGGCATACAAAAGATGGATTGGGCACAAAGGACAAAACAACTATTACGTACATATGCAAAATTTTAAATAAATGACAATAAAAAATATAATTAATACATGAAATTAGCATTTTTATAGTAAATTAAACTCTATATAAAATTGAACTTTAGACATTTGGGAACAATGGACATAACTCAAAAAAGAAAACAGCAGAACAAACAGTGACGGAAAAAAAAAAAAAACACCAGAGCAAACTGTCATTACTGAATTTCAAATTAAGTATCCATCGATGGGAACCCAAGTTATATAATTCTTGAGTACAAAAAACACAAACCTAAAATCACCAAAATTGAAGAACATCAACAAGATCAATCAAATTATTAAGCATTGAAGGAGTTAAGCTAGGAAGGATAATATCAAGTAGAATGCCTTCTATACACATAAAGGAGACAGAATGATCATCAGAGCCATGTCTTTCAATCTCTAAAACTCCCATCCTTTGTAATCTCAGATAACTCTTTAGGTCTAGGAGGAACGAAGCTTTTCCAGTACCAGTGTTTGCTCCACACTCCCGACATCTCTTCAATTGGTATGCCCTTCGTCTCCGGTAAGAAGAAGTAGATGAAAACGGTCATCACCACCAGCCAGAAAGAAAAGAAGATGAACAGACCAAATTTCAAGTGGCATAGCATTATTAAGAAGATTTGAGCTATGAAAAATGTGAAAAGCATGTTCACGGATACAACAATACTCTGTCCAGCAGACCGGATTTCCAGGGGGAAGATTTCACTAGGCACCAACCAGCCAAGAGGTCCCCATGACCACGCGAAAGCCGCTACAAAGATACAGATAAACAACACCAATAGAACAGCATACCAGTTTGGCAACACACCTGGATTACCATCTGTTCCAAACTTGAGAGCAATTGCAACTGTAATAACAATCTGTGCAAAAACAAAGTACAATCCAAACTGTTAAGTACATATATGGAGGGGGCGCGAACACCTGAAGGAGGGTTTGTACCAGCTGAGTTATTGTGCATTTGATAAAAAGAATTATTATCATTGAGTATGGTCTTGACATCCTAAATTAATGTACATTGATAAAAAGGGTCATTATAATCGAGTATGGTCTTCACATAATGAATTAATGTACAATCCAAAATGGATTTTTTTTTTTTTTTTTTAGGGAGTATGGCCTCCACATCCTGAATTAATGTACATTGATAAAAATGGTCATTATCATCGAGTATGGTATCCACATACTGAATTAATGTACAATCCAAAATGATTTTTTTTTTTCTTTCTTAAAAAAAAAAGGGTCATTAGGGTTTTTTTTGAAAAAGAAGGGGGTCATGTTATCATCTAGTCCCCGGATAATGAGTTAATATACATTCCAAAACGGTTTTAAACAAAAAAGGGTCTTTACAGTTTTATAAAAAAGGGATCATTAGGGTTTTATTATAAAAAAAAAAAAAGATCATTATCGTCCGATATAATCTCTAGTTAATATTTTACATTATTTTGCACAAAATGAGTAATAAAAACGGATAAATTAAGAGATCATGTACCTGACAAATGAGCATCTGAATTCCACCCTCAAGGAACAACACTCTTCTTCCATACCTATCTGCGGTGGCGATTGAAACAAAGGTGGCTAGAAAATTCACTACGCCAGTGATCACAGCAGACATGAGTGAAGCACTATCTCCAAAACCAATGGTTTTGAACAAGACAGGCGCGTAAAACACGATGATATTGTTGCCAGTGAGTTGCTGCAACGATGGGATGAGGATGGCAAATACTAACTGAGGTCTATACTTTCTCTGCAGTAGATTAGCCCATGGGTGCTTTATTTTTTTAGACTCTTCACTCGCCGCGACTAAATCATTGTACTCTTCATCAACATTTTCAATGCCACGGATTTTCTGAAGCCTAGATTTGGCTTCATCAGCTTTTCCACGCTCAATCAAAGAGTTGGGTGTGTCCGGAAGAAAAATTGAACCCACAATCAATATTAAGGCAGGAACCACAGCACCCCCCAAGCTCAAACGCCATCCCCAACCACCCTTTATCTGTGCAAAGAAGTAATTCAACACATTGGCAACAACGATACCGACTGTAATTGACAACTGAAATCCCATGTTGAGAGCACCACGGTATCGATATGGAGCCATCTCGGATAGATAAACTGGGACAGACTAATCATAAACAGAAAAAATAAAGTTAATATTAATCATTTCTTCAACTTAACAATTAATACAGCAAACAGTATATGCAGTAGCTAATGTTGGGCTATATGAAATGAATGAATTTGATTCAATCCAACATTATGCCCTGTGTAGCTTGTATTTGTGTATGTTGTCCTTTAATGTGTTTATTTTAAGTTCGTACTTCAATTTTCGTATAAGATTTTGAAAATGGACACATGATGTAAACCAACTAATGGAACTCCAATAATTTACTGAAATTATAGAAGATTAAAAAAAAAAAAAAAAAATGCATTAAAACTGTATATTAGTACAGAATTTGGACTTAAAATATAGGGTCAATACAATCCAACTAATTTTATTACTTGGATCATACTGTAATAAGAAGTATATAAATAAATGATTCATCTGTGTCGCAATAACACAAAGAGGAATACATACATACATCAACATTTTATACCTCCCAAGTCCTAAGTGAGTATTACATCTCTAATCTACTCAAAATACTGACAGAATAATAATAGAGTAGAACACACACACACACATTTATATTTATATACCTGATTGGCAAATCCAATACCCATACCAAGGAGCATCCTTCCAACAATAAGCATTGCGACATTTTTAGCGAAGCCATTGACAATAGCACCAGCACAGAAGAGAAATCCACCAAAGAGCATCGACCACCTTCGTCCCATTTCCCGGGTGACGACGGAGGCAATGGAGGAGGCGATAAGAGCAGCAAAATACAGTGATGATGTAAACATGGTCAATGTTTCGCTGTCGAATTTACAGTACTGATTTGTTCCAGTTTCAAGCTTCTCCTTCCGGTAAACGGATGGGAAGAACTCTTCCAAGAAAGATGGCATGGAAGTCACACCACCTATACAGACAACATTAACAATAGCCTCAAACTCACTAACAAAAATAAAATAAGATATATATATATATATATATATATATATATATATATATATATTTCTCAAGTTGATAGTAACACAAACACGTCTCTTTTAAGATTTGAATCCCTAACTTCTCAAAGGGAAGTAAGAGGCCGATATTGTTAAGCTACTGACATATTGATAATAAGATAAAATTATAAGAACAAAACAGACAAATTAATCTTGTGCATTTGTCTTCATTATAGTTTCAATTGAGAACATTGATGATTGAACTACTAGTACGAAATTTAAATTACAGATATCTGTGTGTGTGTATTTATATATATATAACATATAATATGTACATTCTTAATTAATATAAACAAATCTAAGATATATAAGATCATTTATTAATAACACCCATGAAGTGCATAACAAAAATACATCTAAATAATTTTAAAATAAATATTTATACATCGGAGAAACCAAGTAATAAGATCATTTATTAATAACACCCATGTGTGTGTGTGTGTGTATATATATATATAATATTATAAGGAAGACATGAGAAAAAATGGGTTGAATACTTGACCTGAGATGCCAAGGTCATAGCCGAAGATCAGACCTCCCATGGCTGCAACAATGCAAGTCACTAACACATTCGTTGTCAGGTTGCCCGGATAGGCCTTACTCGAGGCAGCGATTGTTCCTCCACCAGCCATCTTTGCCTTGCTTCGATCACTTTACCGGCAGAGCAAAGCAAAGGACCAGAAAGAGATTTTTAGAAAGCAAACCCACTGATCGATCACTAGAGTGAAATGTATTTCAATTAAACAAACTACGCACACTTCTTATCTTATTTAAAATAACCGTAATTTATCTTCAAATTAAATATTTTATCCTAATCTAACTCTAGTTTGTTAAACTTTAAAATATTTTAACCATTTTATCTTTATCCTTTATACATATATATAGAGAATATTTTGATTTGATTTAATCTAAAATGATTATCTTCTAACGTCTTTAATTGGATATGGATAATTAGCAACAGAATTCAGAAAATTTGGTAAAATATCTTCTTCGTTTGTTGTTTATTAGTAGCTAATATGCAACTAAACTCGTTTTGTGTGCCAAATGGAGAGAGATAAACAGAATATAATTCTTCTACTAGACGCATAGAGCATTTAGAAATACATTTTTTGTTCCATAATATTTATTCATTACCGCAAAACTATATATATACTATGGAATTGAACTTACATGTACCTATGATTAACAGATGCGTTCAAATTGGTTATAAAAAAATATTGGTTTTCAATTTTAGAACTCTTCTGCACACAAAAATTAAAAATTACAACTCTTCCCTATTTTATTTTAGGCAATTATGGATAACTAAAAGAAAAACTGTTACATATCTCAATGCAGCAATGGTTGGGTTTCAATTTTACACAACTTGCTAAAGATAATTAAATGCCAAGATTCTGCTTGGTGGACTTTTATCTATAATTGAAAGAGGCCCAAATTATAAAATCATTTCAACGTGAAAGTTTAACATGGAAAGCACATTTAAGTTAAAATAGTTCCAAAACTATAGAAGAAAATTGGGCAGTACCAACAAATTCGACTAATTCAACTCCCACTCCCACTCACATAAATCAGTCCGAATTGTTCCATATTGCATTATCCTTTGTAATATGAAATTAATCACTCCTTTGGTAAGAATTAATACTGGGCATGAGACGACACAAATGAACAACTGCAAGGGTTTTACATTGTGGCGATACTATATTTCTTATTATAGAATGAAGATAGACAACATCATAATATATATGACTTGGGAACAATGTCATAAGAAAATTTTATTTCATACTACCCAATGTTTCAATAGCCCCTTGAATGCTGATGCTACTTTGGCGAGAAAGTGAAAGTCAGAATGTCCGGATCACATTCAAATTTCAACATGTCCACTTCGTTCAAGCTCACCCATGCTTCAATTCCAGTGCCACATTTGGTATCCAATAAAGAAAACAATTCAAATGGCATATTCACACTACCAAACGTCCTACTTGGCTTCCCCCAACCGAAATCAGCTTCATACACAGGGAACTTGGACATGCTTGTAAATGAACGAACTTCCACATTCTCATCACACATTCCTTCTCGAATTTCATTCACAAACTTGATCACATTCGAGAAAACATCATCACCACTTGTAATTTTTGCAAAATCCGTAAGATTTTTTTGTATCGTATTGCCTACTAGGCCAACCAAATCATGCAACTCCATGTTGCTCGTGTCCGACTTAAATTTGATCGGAACTAACATGTAGAAGTTCCCGAAAGAGCACTCTGGTGTCACCACACCGGTTCTTCCTCGTAACCCTACTGGAATGGACACCACGGAGTCCCTCAATTGGCCGTGTTTTGCACGGGCAACATTGATGAGGACCCTCCATATCAATGCTGTTACAACCTCCAGCTTTGAAGGTTGGCGTACTAGTACTTCAGTACCACCACCACCAACTTCGAGCATGCACTTGGCCTTCAAGTCCGATATTGTTTTGCCTTCAAACACGAAGTTTCTCGTGACAATCTTAGCAGCTGATCCGGTGTTCTTTGGTGGTGGCTGAGGCTTCAGTACTCCTGATAAATCTCTAGCCGGAAAAAGAGCAGCCAAGTCGAAACTAGGCCATTTTAGCACTTTACTGGTATCATCCAGTCCGTTCGTAATGGCCCATTCATGTACAAAAGTACTCATCGTGAAGCCATCAGCGATGATATGTGAAGCGTGTACAGTGAGAACGATACCTGTTACAAATAAAATTTGATTTTAATATTTTGTCTGTTAAGTATTTGGCATACATGAAGCATGCACTATAAAACATGCATTTTGCGCCTGTGGGTAAGAACGTGCATTTTGCGTGTAGGTCTTTACCACTTAGTTTTAAAAAAATAGCATCGCTCTAGAGATACAAATGAATTGAACTTGTTTATATTCAACTTGAGTTTGGATCGTCTAAAACTCAACTCAAGCTTAATTTCTTGGCTCATTTAGCGAACGAGCCTATGTTTAATAGTATTGAGCATGACTTATACATAAGTTTGTACGTATAAGTCCATGAATGAATGTAAGTTTATTAACATATTTATGTATATAAGCTTGTGAGACTCGTGTAACTTCACGAACAAGTCAAAACGATTTTGAACATAAACAATTTTTGTTATTAAAAAGAGTCAAGACTAAACTCAACGTTTTGAGTTTGTCACGATCCGAAGCCGAGCCCGAACAGGCTCAAGCTTGGCTAAGCTCAGTTCATTTGTAGTACTAATAAGAGCAAGGCTAACAATACCTCCGCATTTAAGCAGTGTGACTTGTATACCCACAATGGGGCTAGTGGCTAGAGTCGCTGCCCCAATGTCCCGTGGCACAAAATGATCTACAAGCCGAGTCGGAATCCTTTCTCCAACAATTTCAGAGAGCTCACAGTTCACTTGGGCCTCCAAATATGCAACCCCTTCGTCGTTACAATCGATCAAAAGCTCATCTTTTATATATCTTCCTGCTAGCGGATAAAAGCGAGTCAAGGTCTGGGATAATGATGTTTCCAACTGTTTGTGTATGTTTATATCTTTGGCGGTGTTGGTAGCTGCAGGTGCAGTGTAGAAGAACAAGAATGGCACGTGTGCCAGAGGAGCCAGCTGATCAAAGAAGGATAACTTGTAGGTTCGAAGGTGATCTGGAGTTGGAGATGATGGTTTTATCAACTTCCTGGACAAGATTTGAACCTCCATTGTAGCTTTTCTTAAGCTGAACGATCAGTTTGTGTTTTGATGATTGGAATGTGCAAGTTTGGATGAATGTTTAGACCCAAAGGAAGAGCATGCCAATTTATAATGATGTATATGAATGATGAGACTTAAAAACCAGCCATTCTAATTCATTACTATTAAAAGACGAAGAGAGCATGCACGTATCTGCCATGCTGTATGGTCCCATGAGTTGGAGTTAATAAGATAATGGGCATAAATACCGGAATCAGTTGGGTGAAGGAGGGATGATTTGCTCTCCGTAGTAAATATAATACAAAAATAGCACCTAGTAAATAAATACTCTGTATAGTTTCTCCTCTCATGATTGATGGAAGACACATTTGCAGCTGCATGCCATTCTTTTAGTAAAATGAATTATATAGTCAATTACTCAATTTGGTTTGGTTGTCTCAGATAGTCAATTACTGTCTCCAATCTCCATTCACAATAAAATTTTGGTGTGGCCCATCTTTCAATGTGGCATATTAATTTAATTGTGTATCCAACTGGTAACGAAAGCTATTCATATTTACCTAAAAAAAAAACCTATTCATTTTGAAAGTGTAACTATTATTCTCATCCTGAGCTTGACCTCACTTTTTTTTAATGTAATTATTTCTAAATATAACTAATAGGCAATTAATCAAACAAATTTAAGATTAAAGATTTTGTATGATTTTGTGGTATTTCTTTTATTTTTTAAAGTGAAGAATGTAGATTTGAGTTTTCAAGAGATAAATTAAACGTGTAAGCAGTGTGTGTTCTCTTGTCAATAAAAGAAAAAAATAAAATAAAATAAAAAATTGTCAGTTTTTTGCACAAATCCGATCTCTTCAAATGAATAAATTTCAGCTGTATTGGAACTTAAAAATTACTGGTGCTAAAACTTATTTGAAATTGCTAACAAAAAAAAGAAATTCCACTGTGATTCTGTGAAGATAAGAATAAATGAGTAAATTAAATAAGAAAGAAAATAAAAATAAAAAATAAAAAATAAAAAAACGAAAGGTCAAAGAGAGGCTACATGGCACCACCAGCTTCTAATACCTTGATGACCGGTAGGTTACACTGGCTAGGGGCTACATGCCACTGATCTTACTACCTGCAATCTATATGCCATCATATGAGAGAGCTCCACTAGAACCGGTGGTTGATTATTTTTGTGAGAATATAGTATCATCAAAAACATATTTAATTTGTTGTAAAAGTTGTGGGGTCCACATATTAATGTTGTGCATCAATTATATGAGTTATATGGTTGTGTGTGGGAAGCTATAATTGAAGGCCTAATTGGTCAACAAGAGATAAGGGAAAAAGTACAGAAAAGTTTGACCGAAAAATTTGTGTATGAATATGTGTGTGATGTTTTAGACACATTAAAAAGAAAAGAAATAATAAAAAGCTATTTATCTATTCTTTTGTTCTCATTTCCCGTATTTTATATTTATTACTTTATATTTTTTTTCATTTTTGTAAAACGTAATGACCACGAGACTCTGTCAATTAAAAAGAAAATTTTATTTTATTTTTTCACTTCAAAATGTAAGAAGAATAATTATTTATATTAAACTGTTCTTGTTCGTACTTTATAGATAATTAAAATTGTTGAGCCAGAAGTCTAACAAATACTTATTTATTTATTTATATTATTCTTACGGAAAAATAAATTGTTGAGCCCGAATCTCAAAAATAATAAATTATTTATATTTGATGATTTTTGCAAACCGAAGTTTTGCATATATTAATAAACTCTTTGTGAGTATATATTTGATACTCTTTGCAAACATGAAATTTCGCAAAACTTGTTGGCTGGGCGTGGAGTCCAAATGAACCTGAAGTTCTTTGACATGACGTAAACTGAAGTTTTGCAAAACGAAATATAAATTATATACTATTTTACGAAATACATGCCTTTATTAAATATTTTGTCTTTATATATATATATATATGTTCACATTTTGACTTTTCGTATATTTAAATTTTATTACAATCTTGACTGGCTTTTTGTATGTTTAAAATTTATTGCACTTGTGACTATTCCATGTATAAAAAATTATGGCTTTTCATATATGAAAAATTTTACAACAAGATTCGAATCGTTGGCCATTTAGAGCGCAAGTTGAGTTACCGAGCCACCAAGCCATTTCTTGTGATAAAAAAATTATTTTATCATTTACAGTTCCCTAATAATGTCAAATCTTACCAAGATTGAATTTATTGCCCTTGATATTTCGAACAAAAATTACCTATCATGGATCCTTGATGCCGAGATTCATCTCGATGCCATGAATCTTGGGTATACAATTAAAGCAGATAATGAAGCGTCCTTGCAATCTTTGCCATCATTTGGCTGAGGAATTAAAAACTGAATACCTAACGGTTAAAGACACATTCATCTTATGGAATAATTGAAAACAAGGAGCTCGTTTTGACACATCTGTGATTGCAGAATTTTAAAATCATAAGTGAGTATAATTCAGATCTTTTCAAAATCAGCTCACAATTAATTTTATGTAGAGAAAAAATCACTGATGAATACATGTTAGAAAATGGACATATGATCTTGAAAATGGACATATGATATAAACTGGAACTTCAATAATTGAAGGGGAAAAGGAATCATGCAACACCAATAAGTATATAAGTAATTTACCGAAATTATGGAAGATTAAAAAAAAAATGCATTAATACTGTACTGTGTAAACAGTCTATATATAAGTACAGAATTTGGACTTAAAACATATAGGATCTATACAATCCAACTAATTGTATTATTTGGATCATACTGTAATACGAAGTATATAAATAAATGATTCATCTGTGTCTCTAATCTACACACAATGCTGATAGAATAATAATAGAGTAGAACACACACACACATTTATATTTATATACCTGATTGGCAAATCCAATACCCATACCAAGGAGCATTCTTCCAACAATAAGCATTACGACATTTTTAGCGAAGCCATTGAAATAGCACCAGCACAGAAGAGAAATCCACCAAAGAGCATCGACCACCTTCGTCCGATTTCCCGGGTGACGACGGAGGCAATGGAGGAGGCGATAAGAGAAGCAAAATACAGTGATGATGTAAACATGGTCGGTGTTTCGCTGTCGAATTTACAGTACTGATTTGTTCCAGTTTCAAGCTTCTCCTTCCGGTTAATGGATGGGAAGAACTCTTCAAAGAAAGATGGCATGGACGTCACACCACCTATACATACACCATTAACAATAGCCTCAAACTCACCAACAAAAATAAAATAAGATAAAATTACAATAACAAACCAAACAAATTCTTGTGCTTGTGTCTTCATTATAGTTTCATTTGAGAACATGTATGATTGAACCACTAGTATGAAATTAAAATTATATATATATATACTGTAATATGTATATTCTTAATTAATATAAACAAATCTAAGATATATAAGATCATTTATTAATTGCACCCATGAAGTGCATAACAAAAATACATCTAAATAATTTTAACATATATATATATATATATATTGGATAATGGATAAGCTTGTATATATTAGGATAAAGAATGGACAATGTGATCCCCAAAGAAGGGGATGATTACACCAAAAGAGTACAGCCGACAGCCAACAGTAGTTAACAAACAAGATAAATAACTCTACAATTACTCTACTGCAACTGTGCACATAAATATTTATACAACAGGGAAACCAAGTTTAAAAATATTTATGTTTTGGTTTGTTGGTCTTATAAATCTAAGATATATAAGATCATTATTTTTTTTATATGTACACACATGTATTTATAAAAAAAAATGGGTTGAATAGATATTGACTTGAGGGGCAGAGCCAAGATTCAATGTAATGGGGAGTAGTATTAACAGTTTTACTAATATAATATAATAATATTTTAAGTCAAAAGTACTGTATGATCAATTATAAGCATACAAAAATATATCTAGCCAAAATTTGGCCAATTTGTTTCCAAAAATGCATTTTGCCTGTGGGTAAGAATGTGCATTTTGCTCACAGCTTTGTGTTGAGTCCTGCTTGGGCTTTCGTTATTTCTGTTGCTCCTTGGGGGCTGCCTTTGGGCTTGTATTTTGGTTAGCCTGGGCTAACTATTCTTATGTTCCTTCAAAGTTATTAATAAATATTTATTTACTTTTCAAAAAAAAAAAAAAAAAAAAGAATGTGCATTTTGCGTGTAGGTCTTGTCCACTTAGTTTTAATAAAATTGCATGAGAGAGGTAGGGATACAAATGATCGAATCGAGTTTGTTCATCTAAAACTCAACTCAGGCTTAATTTCTTGGCTCATTTAGCGAACGAGTCGATCTTGAATAGTATTGAGCCTGACTTATACATAAGTTTGTGTAAGTCCTTGAATGAATATATACAAGGTTATAAACATATTTATGTGCATACAATTGTAAGACTCGTATAGCTTCATGAACAAGTCACAACGATTTTGAACACGAATTTGAATAACTCTTGTTATTAATCGAAATCGAGACCATACTCAACTTTTCAAGTTTGTCACGATCCCAAGTTGAGCCTAAACAGGCTCAAGCTTGGCTAAACTCAATTCATTTGTAGTACTAATAAAAGCAAGGCTAACAATTATACCTCCGCATTTAAGCCGTGTGACTTGTATACCTACAATCGGGCTAGTGACTAGAGTCGCTGCCCCAATGTCCCGTGGCACAGAATGATCTGCAAGATGAATCGGAAGCCTTTCGCCAACAATTTCAGAGAGCTCACAGTTCGCATGGGCCTCCAAATATGCAACCCCTTCGTCGTTACAATCGATCAAAAGCTCATCTTTTATATATCTTCCTGCTAGCGGATAAAAGCGAGTCAAGGTCTGGGATAATGATGTTTCCAACTGTTTGTGTATGTTTATATCTTTGGCGGTGTTGGTAGCTGCACGTGCAGAGTAGAAGAAAAAGAATGGCACGTGTGCCGGAGGAGCCAGCTGATCAAAGAAGGATAACTTGTAGGTTCTAAGGTGATCTGGAGTTGGAGATGATGGTTTTATCAACTTCCTGGACAAGATTTGAACCTCCATTGTAGCTTTTCTTAAGCTGATCGATCAGTTTGTGTTTTGTGTTTTGATGGTTGGAATGTGCAAGTTTGGATGAATGTTTAGACCCAAAGAAAGAGAATGCCAATTTATAATGATGTATATGAATGATGAGACTTAAGCCAACCATTCTAATTCATTAGTATTAAAAGAAAGAATGCACGTATCTGCCATGCACTGTGGGGTCCTATGGGTTGGAGTTAATAAGATAATGGGCATGGTCCTATGCCTTGGCTCTCCGTAGTAAATATATAAAATAAAAAAGTTATTGCATAAATAATGTAAAGTAGTTAATATTACATAATCGATCTATAATTATTACATAAATAATTTAATACTATAAGAGTAGCAATACTTGGCCGAACTCTCACAATGAATATGTCCTACAAATTTTGGTTGGTGTCTTTATCCAATAGAAATAAGTAGATTCATGCTATATTCAAGGGGTCAATTGCACCCCTATTTTTTTTTTTTTTACTAATATATTCCACTATTTTTGTCATTTTGATATATATACTTACAAAATAGTACCATTGCTCCTCTTAAAATTATTTAAAAATTCATTATTATCTTCTCCTCGCATGAATTTCTAAAACCATCGTACTTATACGTCAAGAATTCACTTTAAATAATCGATTGAGAATCATCTTCCAGTACTATAATACAAAAATAGCACCTAGTAAATAAATACTCGGTAATGTTTCTCCTCTCATGATTGATGGAAGGCACATTGCAGCTACCATTCTTTTAGTCAAACGAATTATATATGTATCACTTAATTTGGTTTGGTTGTCTAAGATTTTATCAGGTAGTCAATTACTGTCTCCGATCTCCATTCACAACAAAATTTTGGTGTGGACCATCTTTCAATGTGGCATATTTAATTGTGTATCCATTTTAAAAGTTAAATTTCATTCGCTTTGTTTTGTGCGACTGTTATTCTCATCCTGAGCTTGACGTCACAATTTTTTAATGTAATTATTTCTAAATATAAGTAATAGGTAATTAATCGAACAAATTTAAGATTGTATGACTTGGTGGTTACTCCTTTGTCTTTTACTGTAGATGACGAGGGTTTAAGTCTTCAAAAATATAAATTAAACATGTAAATTATGTGTGTTTTCTTGTTAATGAAAAAATAAAAATTTGTCAGTTTTATCCACAAATCCGATCCCCTCAAATGAATAAATTTCGGCTGTATTGGAACTTGAAAATTTCTGGTGCTAAAACTTATTTGAAATTGCTAATCAAAAAAGAAATTCCACTGTGATTATGTGAAGATAAGAATAAATGAGTAAATTAAATAAGAAAGAAAATAGTTTTTTTTTTTTTAAAAAAAAAAAAACACAAAAGGCCAAGGAGAGGCTACATGGCACCACGAGCATCTAATACCTTGATGACCAGTAGGTTTCAGCGGCTAGTGGCTACATGCCACTGACCTTACTACCTGCAATCTATATGCCATCATATGAGAGAGCTCCACTGGACCGGTAGTTTATTTTTGTGAGAATATAGTATCATCGAAAAATATTTAATTGTTATTTCTTGTTATCAAGAAAAATAGTGAATAAGAAAAGTCGCATCAATGATTGATGTTTGATATCACTAAATAGATTAGATGATGGAAAAATTACTAATGAAGTTTAGGAAAGGTTACACTACGAATCCATATCTAATATAACAATACAAATTTTTCCTAGAGGAAGACTTAATAATTCTACTTGGTCTATCTCATTATAGACTTTTCTTCAACAATTCTGCTTCAATACTTGATTGACTTAGGGAACAATGTTATAAATGAGATCACCAACACTAATATCAAATGCCTAATGGATACTAGCTCATGTAATTAAAACCAAACTTAAAATTGTGAAACTCACAATAAAATAATGTTTCAACAACATCCACATATATATATATACGAAAATGATCTCTTGGGTGAGTAAGAAATTTTCATACCAAACATGGTGCATGTGATTGTTGGATATGTATAAGCATATGTTAATTAGGAGTGTACAAAAAAATTGTAAAATCGAACCAAACCGAATATTATAATGCACTTGATTATCTTATGACACTCATTTTTGTTTGATTGTCCAAGATAGTAAATTTGTGTAGCATGAGTTCTACTTAGAAATGAGTACTTATCGTAATAATCTCTCTTTGCCCTACTGAAATGATATGTTCTTTGTGGCCATCAATTTCAAATAATACTTTCACCAACCCTACTAAATGTCATGTGCGCCCATCAATTTCAATTCACTTAAAGCCCACTTTATTCGCTCAGAGATGTTGGAGATACGTGTTGCAATGACATAGGTCCCAAGATGAATTCTTCTTTTTTTTTTCCTTTTTTTTTTTATTATTATTATACGTAGGTCCCAAGATCCACGATCCATCTAAAAAGTTTCTCTCTTTCTAGCTTTCCTTGTGCTATGTTCGAATTAGAAGAGAGGAAGAAGGACAAATGAAAAAAAGAAGAAGGAAATAACAAACTTTCTAAAGTATTGTTTGATAATTAAATTCAAAATTAAATAGTTAATTCATAATAGATTAAATGTATATTCAATAAAATACTTTTCATAATGCATTTTAAATATTACTCCTTAAAAAGTAAGAGTCATTAAAAATAAGGTGACAACAATTTCATTTCTGAGTGCGTGCTGCGTCATTTTAAATAGCACTTAATTAAATAAAAAAATATATATAAATAAAAATTCTAAATATTCAATTAACATTTAAAACCTCAGAACTTTTTAATTTTGTCAAACACCACCTAAGTTAATGGTATAAGAATTGACCTAATTCTGTTTTGAGCAACATACTACTAGTGAATGAATACACATTAATGGGCTCTTCCAAAAGTCCATGTGGCCTATGTAATTGGTTTAGTTTTAGTTTACCTAATTCGGCTGGTCCAGTTTTGGTTGTACACTTGGCCTACCAATAAATTCAATAATACCTCACTAACCCCTTGAAATGCCATTATTATATCCTCCCAAAATTGAGAGGTAACGGAGGGAAAAAAAAAATAAGAGCTTATTAGCTCTCCTCCTTTTTAAAGAGATTGAATGTTCGAATCTTGATAGGGGTACAATTTATTGGCTATATATTTATTTGAACTTTCGAAAAAAAGAAATAAATAAGATACTTAATTCAAGTTACCCATTTTATCCCCATATTTATAATAGAATTGATTTCTCTTGAACCTTTCTGCTGATAATTGCATTTCCAGAAGGAAGACCACTTTTTTTATTTTATTAATTTATTGTCTTTATTTATTCATTTATTTTGCCTCTTATCGGGGCTGATGATTAGGCAGTCCAGAAGCAAGACAAAGAAAGTCAAAATATCAGGGTTGCTTAGAAGGCCCAACCCAAATTCAGATTCCATTTATGAGCCTTTGAGAATGCCCCAAATCTATTGTCAATGTTTGTTTGAAGGCCTGAGTTACTTCCCACAATGGCACAAACCAATAATGAACTCTGTCCCCATTTCATCAAACATTCTAATTTATGCTATCACTGCCTTATTTATTCATATTTTAATTTTATTACAAATCTTGATGAAAAATCAACAATACAAAAACAACATGTATCTGAAGAATTCCCCAAAATGAAACCTTCGGTCAAGCAATGGATAATAATTGAGTAACGATACTTATACCGATTTGTTGCATAGTACATGTAATTGGAGTATATGTAATGATACTTGCACTGATTTTTTTATTACTTATTTATGCATAGTACATGTAATTAGAGGGTCCACTTCTTTATTTATGTGATTTGTTGTAATGAATTGTTAGACCTATTTCTTTTAATCGATCCATTTATGCATAAATAAAAAAGTGAGACCCTCTATTTATATGTACCATGCATAAATAACCAATCAGAAACATTCGGTGCAATAATTCGGTGCAATAGGGATACCATTTTCATTAGCAACTAATAATAGGGAGTCCAATACCATAAATTGGACTAATTTAATGCGAGTAAAAATTGATGTCATCGTGGCATTAAAAATATTAATGACATCATAATAATATTAGCCACCACTCACATAAATTAATTAGAATTACTTGAAATTTCGAATTTTAAATCATTATTTTCATTCATCAGCCATTTAAAAAAAAAAACCATTAATTTAAAAATAAATTAAATTAAAACTATAATGGATTTAGTTTAATCCTTTTAACTTTTTGAACAAATGACTAATTTAATGAGTTAAATTTTTATGACGTAATCGATCAAACGTCAGTAAATTGGTCGGCCTCCTCCAAACACAACAAAAACACATTCGTCACAAAGCACAAAAACCACCACCTGGACCTTTTAAACAAATCCGAATGGAGCAGTCCCGTGTCCCGTGCGATTGCCACGTCATCACAAACCAACGTGTTAAAATACGAAGTCCAAAACTTAGTTGCCAGCCAGGTAGGAGACAAAGTCAAACATGTCACAATACTTCCTAGTTAAGTATTAGTGTGAACGGCGGAATGCCAGCTGGACAACTCATCACACATCAACTTCCGTTTTTGCGCGTCCGTATCGTATATTGTATTCGCTTCACCTTCACGTGTGGCATCACATTTTCTATAAAAGCACACACTTCACTTCAATTCTTTATTTTCAACTGCTAAGTAGAGAGCCACACAAAATCAAACACGGAAGCCTGACTTGTGTGTGAACCCAAACTTAATACATAAGATATAGAAAGTCAAACCATACACTACTACTGACACACTTTCAACTCAATGGATCATGCCTCCAGTGACTCCGACCCACATCCGTTCTGGTCGAATTCCCGGCCATCCGTCGTCCCGGATACACCATCGACGTCCAATTCCGACACCCGACGTGCCACCCATTCCGATGAAGAGGTTATACTGGCGTCAAGTCGACCTAAAAAGCGCGCAGGCAGAAAAAAGTTCAAGGAGACTAGGCATCCAGTGTACAGGGGAGTCAGGCAGAGAAATACGAATAGGTGGGTTTGTGAGCTAAGAGAACCGAATAGGCAAACCCGGATTTGGCTAGGGACGTACCCTACAGCTGAGATGGCTGCTCGGGCTCATGACGTGGCTGCATTGGCGCTTAAGGGCCACGGGGCGTGTCTCAATTTCGCTGACTCCGTGTGGTGCTTGCCCCTCCCGAGTTCGAAGGATGCTAAGGACATTAGGAAGGCGGCGGCTGAGGCGGCGGAAGAATTCCGGCCAAGGGATCGGTGTGACAACACTAGTGGAGGTGAGGCAAGGCAGGAGGCTTCTGATGGAGCTTCTAGCAGTAAAGAGGTGACAGGAAATGTGAAGACTTTCCCGGAAAATGAAAAGACTTTGCGGGAAAATGTGTCGTATGTGGATGAGGAAGCTATGTTTGACATGCCGGGATTGCTTGTCAACATGGCAGAAGGCCTCTTAATCTCCCCGCCTTCTTCTTTAGGGCAAAATTTCAGTGGCGGTGACATGGAAAGTGATGTTGATGTGCCATTGTGGAGTTACTCAATTTGATAGATTGGACTTGAGGTTAGGCCATTTTTTCGTTCTTTTTAATTGTGTGCGGTACGTGTAGTACCAAAACAGAGATTTTTTTTTTTTTTTTTTCGGAAGTTAGTACCAAAGCAGAGTTGCAAGCATAACTTATTAAAAACTATGTATAGTTTGACAGGTTATGGTGTAATACAAATTTGTTCGGTATTCAGGGTATTATTCTTTTTGTTTGTCCATGGAAAGAACAAATCTTAAATTGTGAAACTTTATTAATTTTACACTGGGAAGCTTAAAAACAATGAATTTATATATATATATATATATATATATATATATATATATATATAAGATAGAGAACAGAGCATAATTAATTGAGTTTGTGACACTTCAACGAATTAACCTTGAGGAATATGCTTAGTCAAGCATGAGCAAGTGCCCTTCTATTTTATGGTGTTAAATATGCTTAGTCAAGCATGAGCAAGTGCCCTTCTATTTTATGGTGTTAAATTGTGCTTCAAAATTAATTTCACAATATATATATATATATATATATATATATATAATTAGCTTTTCAAGTACGAAAGTAATACAATCTTATTTACAAACATGAATGTATCTTAAATAAATGCATTTGCACATGGTCATACTTGGCTTTTAAAATTCTCCATGAATTTTATAAATATGATTTAATTTGAATTATGTAAAGCCTACTATTTGTTAGTGTGATCCATAGGTGCATAAACATGATAAAAGTTTCAAATCGATATAATTACCGACTTTATTATTGATTTGAATACTTAAAAAGGAAAGAGATCAGTCATTGTCCATCATTAATTAAGAGTTTAAGGTTGAAATAGCGAGAACAAAAATTCTATCGTCAATACAACAGTACTCAACTTATTAATTAATGAATTTAAAAAATAACACACATATATGAAGCATTCATAAGATGTCTATAAAAGGACCACACCTTGCTCACTTGAAATCATCAACTAAACTCAAGTTTATGTTTGTATTTGTAACAATTCTCACATTTTTCGGACATAATATTATCGAGTAGAGACTTCCCATGAAGTTACCCATCTTGGTACTGATTCAAGGTAAGCACCCTTAATTTTAGAATTTTAAAGACTCCACAGTTATAATAATTTTAGAACGCATTTCACCTTTTTTAAATAATATAAAATCATGATAACTTGTAACCAATCAATGTAATAACTGGTTCAATGTATCACACCCGCCGCAGAAATCACACACGGTATGCGAGAAGCAATTACACCACTTGTGTGTTGTTTTATCTAATTTTTGTCATTTTTGTAGGTTCAAGTTACCATTTTGCCAACACATGATCCACACAACCCTTTGTTGAAATTGTTGTGGTTGCAAATCCACCAACACCCTTGTCTTGTTGGAATTGGAAGTTGTCAAAGGGAAACAATTTAATGCTTCATCGGCAGAAGTGGTGTGATCGTGACCAGCTATATTTTTCTGAGAATGACAACAGTACATGAACTGAAAACTTTGCTACGACTACATAATCAAATTGCAGGTTCAATTAAATGCAATATTTCGTATATAAATACAAATACAAATAGAGAATATGTCAGAGAAGTGTGGGCCCAATCACAAATGACATTATGTTATGGTTTCACACAATATTCACTGGACATTTTCAAATTTAAAAAATATATTATTTGTTAATTACAAAATAAATTACTCGAAAGGGAACACCTCCCCAATCAAAAGATATTTAATGCATCAGATATAATATGTCATCGGTATGCAAATATAATTTTATATAAAATTAGTCCTACTTATTTTTTAAAAACTACTTTAAACTAATTGTTATATTGATTTTTTTTACGGGATATACCATGTCACCTCCACAACCTAGTAATTTACAATAAAAAGTATCATTGTATTTGTCTTTATTCCATTTAAATGGAATGGAGCACATGGATTCAATTTTTTATTTTTTTTTATTCTTCCCTATTATATACCATGTGTACTTTTAAATTTAATTTTTTACAATCAATTTTTATTACTTCGTCCCAATTATCTTTTGATCAATCCTTATATTAATTATCTTCAAGGCTAACAACTCTTCCTCTTCTAACGGCGCACTATTAGATCTACATTGAGTATTACCATACTACCTAAATTTACTTTGTAACATTCTTATTTTTGCTACATCAATACATTGTTCTTGTGTTTTTTTCAACATTACGTTATGTTTCATATAATATAACAGACCTAATAACCATTTTATAATAAGAAAAAAAAAAAAAAAATTATTTGATATTCATTTGTCACAAAGAACAAAACTAATTTGCCTCCATTTCGTGGGACTCGGCGCCAACCCACTTGCATCACCATCGCAGCTAAGTTGCCTCAATGGAAGTGTGGTCCAGAGATACCAAGATCACACTTCCATGTGTATACTTGGCCCTTCAACAATTCTAAAAAGATTGCTACTAGTAAGAGTGGAATTCAATCCTTACACTTGATAACAACAATAGAAGCAATCGAATGTAGTTATTATTATTAAGCTTTTGAGTTTATAGAAAATCATGACTAGAACTAAGTAGCAGTGGAGCACGTATGCTTCTGTACATAAGGGAACATGTTTGTATCATGTCTGACATGCTAATGTGCAATACTAGCAATGTGGAGAGAGAGAGAGAGTGTGTGTTTTATCGAGAATATGAAAGCGACAAAATTTAAATCATAAGAACGAGAGTGAAAAGTTTTTTTTTTTTCACCTAACAAGGAGAGTGAGAAAAAGGATGGAGTGAGTCAAACCTGAGGTCCCACACAATTCAGGAGAATATCTCTACCAACTCAGCTACCCAACTCATCCCAATTATTTTCTTCATACTAAAACAGAGCTACAAATATTGATTAATTCAAAAATATGTATAGTTTGACAAGTTAAGGTGTAATATAAATTTGTTTTGTATTCAGGGTATAATTCTATTGGTTTGTTGTTGTAAAGAACAAATCTTAGATGGGTAAAAACTTCTTCAATTCTACATGGGAAACTTAATAACCATTGAAAAATTATAATTCGTAGAAATGGAAACAGAGCAAACATAATTGACTGTCAATTAACCAATAACCTTGAGGACTCAAATCTTTAAGGAATCAGATTTTATTTTTTGAAATGATAAAGCGCACACACTTTTGCTTACGCTAGATCTTGAACTCCTCACCTTCTCTTTGAGAATGAAAAAATTATACCATTAACCAAAGTCAAACATAAACAATTAATCTTTTAATTCATGGTTCAAAGGAAGAGGTTAAAGGGGAACAATTTAACGCCTTGTGAGCAAATTTTTTGTGAACTTGCTATAAATAATGATTTCCAGACTCAATATTTTGTTGAATAATGATTCTCTGACTTAATAGTCTAGCGGATTAAAATTTTGAGTTAGACTATTAGATTTGAACAGAATTGTCCCTGCTCACACCATTTGATATTACACAATAAAATAACCATACAATATAATAAATGTATTATAGTCATTTCATAGAAAATGTGGGAAGTATAATTATTCAGGACCACACCTCTATGCATACTTGGCCCATTAGTTTATTTACTCCAAAAACCATACAAATTAATGGAGCGGATCACTTTTGATGTGGGACTCACTTCAACAATGGATAAGGAATTACAGTCCCACGGACAAGAAGATTGCTGCTACAGTGGAGTACAAGCAATCCAATGCAGTTAAGCTTCACTAGTGTGCAAATTAAGATATATTCATATATCTACATCATGGAGTGATTTGGATTATGATTTTATCATATGAATACTTTATCTCCACTTGCGCCATTCTTTTCAAGAATGCTTCGCTTGTCTTGACCAAGTCTTCTTTCAATTGGTAATGGTGCACTAAGGTTTATGTTTGAATTTTGAATAATGATTCGAGTTTTAAAGGACCCCACACTAATCCAAACTAAGACTAAATGATATCAACCAAATTTTTTTTTTTTTTTTTTTTTTTTTTTTTAATAGTAAAAATGTTAATAGTTAGTGGTTAAAGGAGAGAAGAAGGGTGTCAGGTTTGAACTTAGGTTCTCAAACATTGAGAATAACCTAACCAGTTAACATAGCAGTAATTAAGCCTAACTTAATTGAAATGACGCAAGGTTGATAGATCATTTTATAATTTGAAGTTTTTTTTTTTTGGAACACCTAAGACAAATCCATAATATTGGGGCGGCGGGGTTTTTTTAATACTCTTAGGGTGTAATGATAAAATTTCAAAGGTATATAATTGAAAATAAGAAAAATTAAAATTACTTAATGTTATGGCCCATTTATCGCAACGCCCTTGGACTAACCCAGACGCCTTTAGGGTCAGGCGCTTGGCTTGACTTGACACCGGATCAAGGATTGAATTTGAGTCTGATATTAACTATAACGGATGAACGTTTGTCCATTTATTCAAAAGTTTAAGTTATAGGGTAGTGTTGTATACCCACTTATTTATATACACTTTAATCCTATCAAAATTCAATGTTAGACAAATATTCCATTGTTATCTCAATTTTTAGGATGCGAGGCGAAAAATAAATACAAATTTGTTGCTAAAGATCGAATGAATTTTTGAAAAACCAAATATGAAAGTCAACAAAGTGAAATGACTTTATTAAGACTGATCCAATTTAGATAAAGATAATATAAAAAGCTTTTTCAAATGCCCGAGTGGTTTGAGGATTAGATATGATGTCGGGTGAGTCGGTTATAGCTCATGAATTACATATGTGGTGTACGCGTGATGTAGATTGCTGGTTGGAGACACCCTAAAATAACGAAACAATAAATAACGAGTGGTTTGAGAATTGATTAGCTATGATGTCGGGTGAGTAGGTCATAGCTTTTTCAAATAACGAAACAATAAACAATAAAGCTTTTTCAAATGCCCGAGTGGTTTGAGGATTGATTGGATATGATGTCGGTTGAGTCGGTTATAGATTTTGAATTACATATGTGGTGTAGTAGATTGCTGGTTGGAGACACCCTAAAATAACGATGGAAAAAGGATAAGACTAAACATTAACAAAACAATAAAGCAGTTCTTTGTTAGTCTTGGGCTGGTCCTTGGGCTTAGTTGGGTTTGGTTGTCCTTTTGGACTTGTTCCCCCTCATGGGGTTGTTTCGGCCGAAGGCCCTCCTTATAATCTTTATATATATATATATATATGTCAGTTGCTTTATTTTCGCCCAAAAAAAAAAAAACAATAAAGCAGTTTTGTTTAAGAAAGTAGTAGATTGATATTTGACCATATTGTGAAATATAAGACTATTTGAAAATATCATGATAACAGTACATTTTTATATTATCTCCATTTTTATCATGATAATAATTTAGTGTTAAACATAAACTTTTCTATCTTTTATATACAACCAAGTACATTTTTCGTAATAAAATATCTCCAATTCTACTTTTCATGCGTTGATAATTTTTTCATTGATTAAACTAGATTATAAAAAAAAATAAAAAATGAAGAAGATCAATTTGAACTGATCAAGTTTAAGTTTAATCCGATCAACTTGTGTCTAGATAAAAAAATAATAAATAAATAAATTTGACCTTTTAAGTTGGAGGTCGAGTTACACACGGATTTTATAGTTTTTTTGAAAATAATTTTCAAGAATTAAAAAAATAAAAACTGTTTTTAAGAGAATAATTATAAAAGATTGTTATTTAAAACAATTCTATTTTAGTTGAGTTTTTTTATAAAAAAAGAAACCTATTTTTTTAAAAAGTCAACCATATAAACTTTTGTATTGTTTTGTTATTTTACATTCTATAAAAATAAAGGATAAAATACATTGACAACTTTCGAGATTTGCCATAAGCACAGACATATACAAATTGGCTGTTTTTCAAACAATGACACCCCTTTAAGAAATTTGACAAAGATACCCCTGTAGCCAATATAATACATTGAGAATTGACCAACTTACCATTTGACTGTTTAGTAGACCTTTTTAACTTTACAACTTAATGAATTGGACCAATCTACCCATCATTAATATTTGATGCAAAAAAGTGGAAAGAAAAAATATTAGAGGTGGCAAAAGTTAACACGACCCACCAACTCGACTCGAAAACGACACGAATTAAATGGGTTTTGATTGATCTTAAATGGATTCGGATCATAAATGGGTCGACACGATTAACCCGTTTAGTTAATCGTGTCGTGTTTTGGTTAAGGGGTTCAACCCAACTATATAAACTTGTGTCTTATAATTTAATATTTTGTAAATTAAAAATTATTTAGTAATTTGATTGATTAAAACTTATATTTTTTTTAGTATTTATTATTTTATTGAGCATTATTAATAATTTTAATAATATATATATATATATATATATATATATTGTAAATAGATTATTAAACGGGTTACACGTATAATCCATTTAATAAACAGGTCGGGTTAGTGTTGAGAGTTCCGAATACGATTATTAAACGAGTCATGTTCGGATTAAGTTATTTAGTATAATACTCTTAAGTTAACACAATACGATTACGACCCGCGAATACGAATTGTTACCCTTAAAAATATGTACAATAGTGAATAAAAAAATTATAAAAAATTCATTGAAATCAAAATGAAGCAAACGAAAATGTTTTGAAAAATAGACGTATGAAAGTATAAAATTGAATATTTTGGTAATGATCAATGTTCAAAAGGGTGTCAAATAAATAAATTAAAAACCTAATTTCAAAGAGAGAAAAATTCTAGACAGCAACTGTTTTTGGATTTTTTTATAAAAATATCTGTTTGGCCAAAAATTATGTAAAATTTAAAAGTAACTGGACATGCATAGAAATATTTGGTAAAAGTTTCATATCAATCGGAATATTATAATATCTTAGAGAAAATAATGAATTTCAACACAATAAATTAGTGCCATTTTGTGACTCATATTTACTAAAGGGTAATTTCGATATTTCAACATGTTTGATATTTTATAATAGAACTGATTTTATTATTAAGGGGCAATTTATCTTTTTGAATCAATTAAAACCTTACTTGGAAGATAATTTTGACAGTAGGTGTCATTGTCTTAAAAAAAACAAGTAACTAATTTGCATATATATGTCCTTATGGTAAACTTGGGTGTCATTCTAGTTTACCCAAAAATAAAAAACAAATTTAGTTAAAAAAAAGTGTATGTAATTTTGATTGGACTCACCAATAGGCTCGGGCCTAAATAAAATAAGTTTTTTTCTTTGCTATTTCAGAAGATGAGAGTGTTCTAGCTTAGTAGGAACAAAAATATACCTTGAATAGGAATTTAAATATACCTTGAATGAGAATTTACTTGAATTTTCGGAGGAAAAATTAACTTTAATTAGACTCAAATTGACCTCTCAAACTACTTTAATGTTAATTTGGCATTTTTTAATGAAAACTACCTAGCCTATTAAATAAATATAATTTATACAAATTTCTTGTTTGTTAAAAAATAAAAATAAAAATTACAAAATTCTTGTAGAAGAAATGAACCCATTAATGTGAAGCTCCTAAAACCCTCCTACTTTTACGCCTCAAAGGCTGAAAAAACAGAGGTTCCAGGAGAGAGAAAATGAACAATCTCTCTCTATCACTCACTCTCTCCCTCCCTCTCTCTCTCTCTCCATTCATAGAAATGAATATGTCTATACATTACTTGTATCAAATTCATACAGAGTAAGCAAGAAGTTTTACTCCATTTCTGATACTTTTCTTGTTCATCTAACAAAGATAGATTGCTTTTTCACCATGCAACGCTAGCCCAGCATATCAATCTCGATAAGCCGTCTGATTCCACCTGTGTTCTCTCTCAATTCCACTCGATTTGAATATCAGGGTTTTGTATAGATGAAGAACGAAGACCAAGCAAGGTCTCTGTTTGGTATTTCGCTATCTGATCAACCCAAATGGCAACAATTCCTCATTTGCTCTTCTGGGTTCTTCTTTGGTTACCTCGTTAATGGCATTTGTGAGGTTTGTTCAATTTCTAATTTTTGTCGTCTAACTATATTTATTTCCCATTTTTATAGCTATAAACACACACACACACACACACACACATATATATATATATATATTTATTTATTTATTCATGATTTTCTTAGTGGATTGTGTTGATAATACTTACTTTGGATTGTTGATACTTGGTCTGTTAAATTGTCGTTTCTTATTTAATTGGTATTCTAACTGGTTTGGTTGCTTAGAAAATGTAAGAAAAGGGATTAATATTTGGATTTCTATTTGCAGTTGGGGTTGATTCGCCATTGTAAAATTCAGGCCTTCTTTTATGTTCCTACTATTTCTCAATAATCAAATTAGTCCATCTCAAATCACCTGTTAAGTTCATTTTATGGAAGGAAAAAAAAACAAAACAAAAAGGGTTTCTCATGATTCATGAATTTTTGAAAAAAAAGAAAAGGACAAAGGTTACTAACCGTGCAATAAATTTTATCATTGCAGGAGTATGTGTATAATCGGCTTCATTTCAGGTTTGTTAAAGTTGCTTTTGTGACAAACCTTAATTTTTTTTCCATAAGTTTTTGTTAATAATATTAATTGTAGATTTTGGCTTGCATTTTTTTATTAAGTGTATACAAATTATGTTTATTTTTCAGCTATGGATGGTACTTTACTTTTGTACAAGGATTTGTATATCTGGCACTCATATACTTACAGGGTTTCACTGTCAAGCAAATGGTGAACCCTTGGAAAACATACGTGAATCTCTCAGCAGTTCTTATGGGTTCTCATGGACTAACTAAAGGATCCTTGGCTTTTCTCAACTACCCAGCACAGATCATGTTCAAATCCACAAAGGTCTCTTAACTGATAACATGTTACGTTTCAGTTTTTGTCTTTATTTCACTATTACATGTTAAAATTAGACTAATGTTCGTTACTTTATTCAAGTTTTCTAGATGTTTTGTTCAATTACTTGAATTCTCAATTTTGGCACTGGTCATGGCGTCATGCGTGAATTTTTTCCTCTTCATACTATTATGAGCTCCTAAAATTCGATAATGCAGGTACTGCCTGTTATGGTCATGGGTGCCTTCATTCCTGGCTTGAGAAGGAAATACTCTGCTAACGAATACGTTTCCGCACTTCTTCTAGTAGTTGGCCTTATCTTTTTCACCTTAGCAGATGCGCACACCTCTCCAAATTTCAGCATCATTGGTGTTTTGATGATCTCGGGTGCTCTAATCATGGATGCATTTCTGGGTAATTTGCAGGAAGCGATTTTTAAAATGAATCCGGAAACCACACAGGTGATTATTGTTTCCTGTTAATGCTTATAGGGTGTGTGACTATGAGAAGGATGCACTGCAAAATTGCATTTCGTTCTGTGTTAATTTTTTTGTGATCCTTATCTTTGCAGATGGAGATGTTATTCTGCTCCACGGTGGTTGGGTTGCCTTTCCTGATTCCACCCATGGTTTTTACCGGAGAACTGTTCAAAGCGTGGAATTCGTGTGCTGAGGTGAATAGCAAGTATTCTTATTAAACTTTTACCCGCCCATCCTTCTTTTACCCTTGTTCATTTTCAAAACGATAAATCTTCATGTGGAATTTCGGTGGGATTAGTGTTGATGTTAGTCATGCGTAATGTGCCCACTACATTCAGTTCTAAGAATTTTCAAGGAGAAATTAATTGTTTTGTAGTTGGCCATCCACTTCATTGGTTTATATTAGAAAATAAAGTGGAAGGAAGTAACTGCTAGCTATATTATCCATTTGCTTTGTTACTAAAGTAAGAATTAATGAACGGGAACATTATATTAATGTTTCATGGTTTTGTTATAATCAAAAGATAAAGCTAAAGAGGCAGTACTTATTGAGACAGTATTGATCCAAATGTTTCCCTTCTTTAGGGTTTTTTTTTTAAAAGAAAAAAAGAAAAGAAAAAGAAAGACTGTTTCATCAGTGTTGTGTTGACTGTGTTGTTCATTACTTTATTTCTAGTTTTTCTCTTCAAGTTCTATTGAAGATGTGATGTCTATTGTTTTGCATTTGCAGCACCCTTACGTGTACGGAGTGTTGGTGTTTGAAGCCATGGCGACATTCGTTGGTCAAGTCTCTGTTTTGTCTCTCATTGCTATTTTTGGGGCTGCCACCACTGCCATGGTAATTGCATTGTCTTCTTAATTTCTGTTTATTTTGTTAAAGTTATGTACACACTAGGAATTCATATTAATATGTTTAATTATTTATGAATGCCATAGGTTGATGAGTTTTTTAATTGTCGTGCAGATAACAACTGCAAGAAAGGCTGTCACTCTGCTGTTGTCCTACCTGATATTTACAAAGCCACTCACCGAACAGCATGTCACGGGGCTGCTGCTCATTACCATGGGAATCCTAATGAAACTGTTGCCTGAAAATAAAGCCCCTACTCGAATTCTAGTCTCGAATGTTGTTGCCAAGCATGGGAAGTCTTCCATTAAAGAAGTAAAGAAGTTAATCGATATTGGAAAGGATGAAGACCACGAAGAGAAAAGGCCATTAGTCTAAATCTAGTTTGCTGCCGGTTGCTGTTTTGTTTCTCCTTTCCCTTGCAACACCAGGGGATCGAGGTGTGAAATAAAAGAAGATAGAGTCTGTAGCTTTTTCCGTATTGAATCTGTTTCCTTGCTTAGACATTTCTTAAGATTTTTCTCTGTAATGTGAATAGAAAATGAAATTTTCATGGGATTGAATCATGGTTAGAGGATTGTTTAGGTTTTTGATTACAAAACCCCAATGGGTTCATATCTTCTTCAATAATCAACCCTGTATTTGCTTCTAAGTCTTGTACCTTGTGCACAGAAATATAAAAAACTATTCTTCATTTCAGATATAGATTGTCTCATCAGTTTTAAGTAAAGTTTGTTCACAGAAGATATACAGAATTATTAGGATTCTTGAAATGCAAGCTATATTGTGTATGACTGCCTCTTGTAGTAAGGAAAAGAAAAGAAAGGAAAGAAAGACCGTTAGTTAGGAGAGATTGGAAACGAAAGAAAAGAAAAGTGCTAAACCTTTTTTAAATATGAAAAATGGTTAGTTTGTAAAAAAAAAAAACTAATGCCAACTTCCCACAACCCATTTTAATCAATGTAATAGAAAGCAAAGATTAGTCCATGCATATGTCAACGTCATTTTGTACCTTAGATTGTTAAATATTTCTAAAAATTATTATTACCATTCATTACTTTATTATTTTTTAAAAAGTATTTACCATTCATTACTTCACATATGCAGTGTGCAGTAGCATCTCCCTTTGCTTTTCTGAGAAGAATGGATCAAGGGCATATTTTCATTGCTTTGGATGGAAATGTGCTTTTAGCTTTTTGTATCTTGGCATCAATGAGGCCATCAACTAGTGATTCTCGGCATGTGCATATATATATATATATATATATTCCATTTCTTGTTAAAATTTACATAAAAACATATCGCATTTCAAATCAACAATAAGGGTCTTACTGGCACCTAAAACAATGCATGGTCTAAAGGGTCAGGTTGTTGTGTTTGCAATTGGATAAAAGGTTTCTATATAATAATTCAGCAATGGAAAAGAAGGAATTCTCCAACAAGCTAATATGGCACTATGAAATATTGCAAGAATTTCCCAGTTCACAACATGATTGCAAGTAACCATTACAACTAACTGTTAAAAGACATTCCTTGTATTAATAAATTAATGACCTTCCAAATCAGAAAAGCATCATCACTCGACACAACACACAAACAAGCCATGCAAGCCTAGACAGCAGAGTTCAGCTCCTCGGATTTACCAAATACTGTATCAAGCCCCTATGAGTGCAGTTTCTTGGTTCATTCGGTACCCTTTTCAACTCTTCTAGCAAACAAGGGATGATCTAAGAGATGGAGCACTGGGAGTATGAGTGCAAGATGCCCAACGGATAACTGACTCGGACACTATGAGATCAAGCTGATCAAGCTCACCAAGTCCAATTGTATGATTCCTTCTGTTGTGGATGCATGAAACCTTAGAACCACTTGTCTCTCCTCTCTGAAGTTCTGTCCTCTGCTCCATTTCTCTTAATTGGTGTTCAATGGGTAGTGTAGGATCTGATAAGACAAATGCCTTTCCCAAGCTTGAATCTGCATGATCCAAGAGGAGAACAGTTCAGCTCAAGTATTTTAGATAAAAAAATGCATTAAATTGGTAGCTGTGTGGTAGTACAGATTAGTGAGTGGTAAAAAGTGTCAAAAACTCGGTCTTCCAACATGTAGAGCAATAAAAATTTGATTCTAGCTTGAAACAAGCTCCAGTATCTCTCAGTGAAGTAAAATATTTTTGTTTTTGATAGATCACAATGTAGTAATATCTCTTATTCGTGGGAACTGTGAACTAATTCTTATAACTCAATCATCTGAGTGTGAACCACTTGAGCAGTTATAAAGAACCATCACTATAGCAACTTAAAGCAACCACCAAATGAATTAAAATGTTATTTTTCTCACACTTCCATCAAAACACAATGGCCTGTTATACAGGAAACAAAATATACCTTCATGCCTTGCATCCCGTGTTGATATTTTGGCTTCAAAACCCAATGATTCATTGCCATGCTTAAATGCAGAACATGGACTGAAGAATGTAAAGCTTGGCATCGAGGGAACTGGAGATGAGAATTCTGTTGCATTTGATTCGCAGCAGCTGCTGAAGGAAAAACCTACAGATATTGAACAAGGTGTGGTATTGTCAACTGGGAAAGACGTAAATGATGTTCTGCAGGTGAATGCAGGTGAGTTTCCCTCTTTGCTACAAGTGGTTGCAGGCAATCCATCACTGAAGATATAGTCCCGAGTTTTGGCGATGAAGGGGGTAGAGAAAGAACCACCACCCACTTCCATTTGCCCGAAATCTGAGCAATCATGCTTGCTTGGTCCTTGAGTTCCCTGTGCACAATCCTTCATCCATGAGTGAGCTGCAAATGACAGTAGATCCTGTTACAAAATGAAACTTGGGGAACATAAAGGCCTTTTTTGGCATCTGAAACCAAATTTCAATTTTGAGCATAATTGAAAGCGTGATTTTTTTCCTTTGATCAGTCAGTCACATGCTGAGGAAAATGACTTTTGGCATTATCAGTCACACACAATTTAATTGGTACCATACCAACAAATTGCAATCAAAATAGAAAAAAATACAAGAGATAAAATTCTAGGCCGATTATCCCCCAACAAATTAATTCTATTCCTTCCCAAAATGATTACGAATTTACTAAAAAGCAAATTGAAAACCTACTTTCCTAGACAAAAGGAAAATAAAAAAGAAAAAGTCTCATAAAAGTAAATAAATCTAAGTAAGCCTTCTAACAAAAATTTTAAATAAGATTAACATAAAAATTTGGAGTTGTAACAATCGCACCACAGCATTAACCTATGTCTTGAAGGATCAGATCACTGCACACCTCATCTTTGAACCTTCTAGTACTACCAAGCCTTTGTTGCTTTTAATCAATTTTGAATCATAAAGAAGTCATCTTTATGTTCCCCAAGTTTTTGAAATTCACCAAAAAGAAAAGAAGAATCAGGAGCCCCAGGAGTGCAAGCATGCTATTTTCTAGAAGCTAAAATCTTGTTTGACAATCACATACCAACCCTCTAACCCAGATTGTTGTTATCTGGAAAGTACTCCTCCTGGATTAGCGAAGTTAAAGGTTCCAAATCTAGCAGAAAGTGCACTTGTAGAGTAGGGCGATGCATCTTAACGAAAGACCGTTTTATATCCAATCCAATTGATTTATTCCTTCAAATTTAAACATTAAATCCTAATTGTTTTAACTTGAACTGCCACCCACCCTTGACCTGGATCCACTAATAAGCTCTCGTTCAACCTGATTGAGTTGATTCACCAACATTCCGCTAAGGACTTGGAATTAGTTTTTCATAATTTAATACCTCCATCATGTAACTAACTGGAAACTCCTCGTCATTTATTTCCCTTGTTGTCAACCATGCAACAATCTTTGATCATGAAGAACCGTCCTTCTGCAAGTTTCTTGGTCATCAATCAAAGTTAATATATTTCTTTCTCTGTTATCTATAACTTCATTTACTTTGAACTGCTTTATAGATCCTTTCAAATTTTAGGCATAGTTAAAGGTTAAATTCTGACTCAGAAAATCCCGGCCGATTATAATCTTAGTAAAGAAGTGATTACAATTCTTTATATAGACTCCTCCTAACACTTTTTTAAAGCAACAAACTAAATTACCAAATCTTAAAATAAATAAAATTAAATAAACCTAGTAATACTTATTTCTATGACAAACTAAAATAAGATTGGTAATAAACTTGAGTTGTAACATCAACTCTTCTCAACCTACAACCTTAAATTCTACATTAATTGAAGGAGATAAAAGGTACTGCTCATATACAAAACAATGTAGTTTTTATGCACCCTCAAGTAATGAGTTTGATTACCAAATCTAGATGCCATTTGGCAAGCCTGTATAAAACATAACATGTTCACACAAAACTGGGTTCTCAAGTCTTGACAACTTGTCATGGATCCAATCTTCTTCTACCGTTACTATCATTTATTAACGAAAATTTCGAATGTTTAAAACAAAAACTTGATCAACCACACTCGAACACAATTTGAGCATCTTAGCCCCAAAGCAGGGATTTAGAATCATCATAGAGACAACAATATAAGAAATGGTAATGCCATACATACCTAGGACCTCTTTAGCAGTGAGCCTCTTAGAAGGATCTACACCTAGCATTCTTGTGATCAAGTCCTTGGCAGTTGCTGAAATATGATCCCAAGGTTCAGAAGGGAACTGTAAATCTGCAACCCTAACAGCATCAAAGATTTTTGATTTCGTCTTCCCCCAAAAAGGAGGCATCCCACTGAGAAGAATGTAAAGAATAACCCCAGCACTCCACACATCAGCAGATTGGTCATAACTGCCTGCCAGCACCTCAGGAGCTATATAAAATGGACTCCCAACAGTACCATTCAAATTCTGCCCTGTTGATACCAAAAGACCAAAACCCTTATGCTTAGAAGGGCAAAAGAATGTGTTGACAACATTTAAAGTTGTTGGAAAATAGAAATGAAAGAAAGAAAATATTATGTCTGTGTGTATACGTATGTACCTGGTTTGATATAGGTTGCAAGACCAAAGTCTGCCAACTTAATGGGTGAGGAGAACGATTTTGTTGCCAAGAGAATGTTCTCGGGCTTCAAATCTCTATGAACAATACCTTTGTCATGACAATACATAACCACTTGCATCAGTTGCTTAAAAAGATCTCTAGCCTCACACTCAAAGAACCTCCCGTGCTTCTCAAGGCGATGGAAAACTTCTCCACCTGCACAAAGCTCCATCACAAGATGCACGTAGTCCTCATCCTCATAAACTGCCTTGAGATCCACAACATTTGGATGTCCAGATAACCTAGTCATAATCTCAATCTCAAGCTTGACGCTGCGCACGTCATCCAGTGTTACCAACCTATCTTTAGCAATAGACTTGCAAGCCAACACCTCACCAGTCAACTTATCCAAGCATGCCCTAATTATGCCAAATTGCCCCCATCCTAATTGCTCCTCAAGAATATATCGGTCCTTAAAATTTGAAGTCTGAGTTGAGTCCAAAATTGTTTCAGTCAAGATCGAAGCTGAGTAACATTTGCAGGGTCTAGTTGAAGGCTCCCAAATGCTATCACTCTTGGCTATGTCCATACCAAATTCTCACAACTCTAATAATAAGAAAACACCAATTGAAACCCGAATTCCATTTCATATTGTTGAATCACCATCTCATAAGTTCATCATTTCCTCACAAAAAGGTAATCAATATCACTTCCCACTCACAAAAATACACTCAAAAGTCAAAAACCAAAATAGCTTCTTACTTCAAGTAGTTGAACTCTTGTGACAGACAAGATGGTGAACCCCACAGTTTGAGACAGGCTTTTGGACCTATGGCGAACCAGTATCGTACTCTAGGACAGTCTAGAGAGAGCAAATGATCAAGCAAGAATGCGCCCCATAATTCAAAGCCTTAAACTTTATTTTGTCCTACCAAAAACCTATGCTGGAATACAGAAAATAGAGTATTCAAATTTCAGAAAATTTGCCTAAATCACACACAAACACACACTCAGAGTGTTCGTTGAAGTACAGCAAAGACCAAGAATAACCCATCAATCAAATTAGTCTTTGGAAATTTAGAATAGAATTCAAAATCAATGGAGAAAAAAAAATTCATCGCAAACCAGGTTTCAACCTCAGCCCATTACATAAGAACTCACCTTCAGACAAAAAATTCTTATAATTTCAGGAGTACCCAATAGCCAATATACAGAATTGGAAACAAATTGAAAATTTTAGTACACAAATACTAGAAAAACACATTTTTCATTACTCAATGAGAATCAGATTTATTCACCAACTAGATCATGTAACACAACAAAGACCCACATTCTACAACTATATCTACATACATAGTTACATACATATATACATATTTATGGAGAGAGAAGGAGAAACCTGTTGCTAGAAGCACTGGAGAAGAAGCCCGTTATAGCACGCACAGCCTCCCGAGTCTGAAGCAACAGTATCATCTTCTCTCAGTTCAAAAGCTCTGTCTCGAACAGGAAACCGGGACAACCGGTTCCTTCCTACTGCGTAATATAAAGTCCTATACTAGTGCTCTCTCAACCACTTTTTTTTTTTTTTATTTTTATTTTTATTTTTTTTTATTTTTATTTTTCAGATCCCAATCACAAATGGAAAAGGTGTCGATGCTACTTTAAGTGCTATCAAATCACTAGATTCAGGTTGTATAATACTAATAAAAATCATAAATGTACCCACATGATATATGTGTGTATAAAAAAAAAAAAAAAAAAAATTGTTTCATTTATTGTGTATAAATTTTATATTGAAATGAATTTATATAGTTATCCTTTGTAACATTTAATTTCAACACATTTTAAATTTTAAGATATGTTCTATGTATTTAAATATAAAATAAATGTGTTGAAAATAAATTGAAGTGTATTAAAATTATTATTTTTAATATCATTATATTTAGTTTTAAGACATATAAGTTGATTAGAGATTAAAGAATTTTTAATCTAAAGGTATAACTTTTCTATTTTTATAAAGGATTTGGAATCTGAACCTATGCAGAAAGAGTGTGTGTTTGCCTCAAAATAAAAATAAAAATAAAAATAAAACTAATTAGACTATTAGACTCACTTTTATTCCATACTACTTTTTTATATTCAAAGGAAACTTCTCCGATTAAATCTTGTAAGAAATTGTTATTCTTTATATATACATACTAATAGAGTATTTAAGTGGTAGAGGACATATAGAGAGATGTGGGTGGGTGGGTGGGTGGGTGGGTGGGTATTTAACTATTTATGTATGGTCCGTCAGAACCCAACACAGGAAGTGACGAGGGTTTGATGGGAATGATTGTATCACAATAAATCTCATTTACTTTTGATAGGTGTGTCTACAACTTTTGGTTTGCACACGTGGTGTGATACGAGTGGCTGTGGAGCGTCCTTGATGTGTACCTGCCTGTATGATAAATTAGATTGTCATTTTTTTTTTTGCTTTGATTTGGAATTTACGTTGGTGGGCAAATACCAGCTGTCATTCATGTTTCACTTAGCTGTACGCAGTACATGTATTCTAATTTTGTACTCCGTATTAAATTACTAGTGGACTTGTTAAGGTTTTGATAATATGGGCTGCAATCCACTATAAGGATCTGTGGGACCCCCATTTTTTTAACACTAATTTGTGGACCATGATTTTAAAGTCTAAGTGTAAAAACGAAATGAGGAATCCAACAACTTTTCACCTGTTAAATGTGTTCGAGGGCTTCAGCTAGGTCATGTAAGTTTCAATTGAACGATCCCAATTAAACATATTTAATGAACAACTCGTCATTTCATTTCAACTAAACAATTATAATATCATTGAAAAATGCAAAAATACCCAACATTCGAGTCTCGATTGTGTTGAGGGTCGGGTAAAGTATTATTATATTAGGCTAGTTTAACAAATCTCTTTGTTGACACTTTAGACTCTTCAAAAAGACTTAAACTTATTTAAGGCTGTACGTGAATTTAGATAGTTGACAATTTGCTATTTTGAATCTGCATTACCTAATCCTTAGGTATATCTTTTTTGGACAGAATTTTTTTTTAAGCTAATCTTATAGTATGAGTTAAAGGGTTATATGGGCATTTTTGGAAAATGGACAAACTAAGAAATTTGAATCATGTTACAAAAAAACTATTAGTGTATGCATACAAATGAATTATAATCGTTGATGCACTGCACTCCATTCTTGTGACATTAGCTCCATTAATAAATATGATCCAAGTTGTTGGATCCCAACATGGCATCATAAAGTGGGCTTTTATTCAAATTTAAAAATGGAACCTACTGGATAACCTCTTTACAAGGCATTATAGTAGTGGTCACTTGTCCATCACAGAAATAGATTGTGCATTGAGTTCTTTTGCTTCGCCAAAATTGTACACACACACACACACACACATATAGCCAGCCAAACAGGGCACAAGAGCAACTAGATGAAGGAAATAATTGGGCTACCCCAATCAAGACCTAACCAGAACCAAAACAAAACCTAAACAGGCCCAAAACAATCATGAAGAAGCAGAGTCCGTTCGTAGGTGTCACTGTAACATGATCCATGGTTCTTCAAAAATAGATGGAAATGCCTTGTATTGTTTTATTCAAGGCTTAAGATGTAGTAATGTTCAAATTATTTTTGTCCTTCAAAAATAGATGGAAATTATTTTTATTGTATTCAAGGCATAAGTTGTGGTAATGTTCAAATTATTTTTGTTTCAAAATCAAATACACTCATTAGATGTTGACTCGACATGCTTCCACAGTGTCATTCCTTATATACACTCTTTGTTATAATTATGTATCATATAAATTACCAAATAAACATTTTTTTAGTCAATGTAGGCTCGGGAGTTAGGACCAACCGAACAGGGGGTTGCCTGCCTGCCTGAGCCTACATTGGCTCCGTCGTTGATCCCAAGTAGTTCGCAAAAAGACATTGTATTAGACCTATAAATATATATTTTTAATGAATAATGTACAGATGAAAAGAGAATACAATGGGCTGTCTACTTAGAGCCTAGAGAGTAGAGAGCAATCCCAAAAGACAAACCAGAGAGACAGTTAAAGAAATGCATGTACCTATTTTTTTGGCCCAAGCCCACGACGACAAAAATACCAATTATAGTGGGTTTGTGAAGCTAGAGAAGCTAAACAGATGAATTGGGATTTTGAGTCAGCTATTCTTTTTTTGTGCTTGCTGACGAGCTTAATGGAAATGGAAATCACTTTCTTCCCGTGGGAAAAATTAAATAAATAATTAACATTAAAATTCTAATTTGTAGATCACGTAAATTGTGACATGTGTCATTAAACTATCATTTTCTTATTTTTACTCCACTGTGCAAATATGAAAATCATGAAGGATTATTTTCAAAACGCGTCAGATGAACACACATACAAGTGTCGCAAGCTTCTCCCTCTCGTTTGATTTGGGGCATTATAGCTATGGAGGTTCTCTCCAAGCCCAAGCCCAATCCTTGGGCTTAAGAGATGGGTATACCAGCCCTTCTCATAATAGCTTCAACATTGCAAAATGAAATGGCATGCTGTCACGCTTTGCACGAGTTTTCACTATCACCCTCATTGTTGTGTGGATAGTTTTGATATCTCAAATATTTCTTGTGGGGTGAGAATAGACCACGGATTTTCTTTAATGTTCTCCAGTGAACAAAATCACCTTTAAAATTGCTTAATAATATCAAATTATTGAGTATAAATTATGCTTAATTGATGAACACGTTTTTTCCATTTACTTCATTATGATGTCCGTGACAATTAAGTGTCTAAAAGGAAAAATTAATCTAGAGGTTGATTGATGAATTTAATATAAATAGTTATCTAAGCTAAGTAGGACAACTGCACAAGTTAGCTAAAAAGTAATATAACTTATCTTCATTGTTGACCCTATGATGTAATAGGATGAAATCAATTCCTCAATAATCACAAGTAATCTCAAAATATCAATTGTTTATTTGGCAGTAGTTGACTTAATTTGTCAAGATTTGCATGAATTAGAAATTTGCTAAAGCCTCAAGTAGGATTTGTCTCAAAAAATTTTGATAGCAATGATTTTGTAAAATTTATTTTGAAAGGTCGTTGAAGAAGTTCCGTGTAACCTTCTGCAATGAATTGTGATCAAATATTTTCAGTTATGTCCAAAAAAAAAACTTGACATTGTGGGTGATGTTGAATTTGATGGACTATACTATAGGATACATTATCATCACACATTATCATCACAATGTGTCTAAGACCATGTCAATGTAAAATGCCATTTATGTATACCAAATTAATATTTTTAAAGAAGTTACAGTGTCAAAATGTTGTATTTTAACAAATCTACTTCAATAATGTATTTCATCCAAAATGTTAATTTTTTTTTATACAACCACCATTATTTTTCAACTACCATTCCCAACTATTAATTTTCAACAACCAAATTTTTTATTTATTTTTTATTTTTTTTTATTTTTTTTCTTCGAGTGTTTGTATTTTATTTAACTTATTTGCCTTATTAAAAATAAATAATAAAAAAATAATCATCAAATCCAACTGAGTCTATACACACATATATACCAACAGTGACATATATATATATATATATACAGACAAGCACAACACCAAACTACAAAATTTACAAGAATCAAAAGTTCAAAACCCATATATTTCAGTTTGGCAAAAGCAATAGCAATAGCAATAGCTATAGTTTGTGCTATATTTGGCACAAAATTTGACAAAGTTATATTTTAGCAGCCTATTTGAGAGCCCATGTTAAACTCACCTGCTAACATCCTATTTTGCAGCCCATTAAAGTTGCTCTAAGGTGTCATTACCCTTCCAATATTAGAAAATAGATTTGAGAAAACAAACACAAAAACTCAAAAAAACAAAAATGATTTGCAACACCAGAGTAGTGTCAACCAAACTAAAAAGGTGGGTGGACCAATTGATACCCAAAAAAAAAAATGACTAATACTATAAATATTGATGTGGGTTCATGTCATATTTTTATGTCCAATTTACAATGTCGTTTGAAATAAGAGAACCAAGTCCAATAATCAAATTGAAAGAAAATTTACTTATATATTAATAAAAATATATATACCATTCACGATTCACATAAATATATCTATTAATTATATATATATTTTTTACAATATTTTCGTACTCTTTGCAAGTAAAAAAGGAAAATTTAACAGCATAATTCATATACAGATTTCTCTATTGTCTCTCGTGTGTGCCTCCTCTCCACATATAGATTGCTTACATTATGAGGAAAGGGAATGGGGTTATCATACAATTTTCAATGATTGGTCAGTTGGTCACTATATAATTAAATACTCAATTGGATTCGACCCATTTCTGGTCACTATCAGTTGAATTGGATCAAGTGGGCAATTTTAATGATGCCGAATTTGAATGGATTTTCACAAAGTGGGCTGATGACCATCAGGTGTATGAATGTTAGGTTTGAAATTGCAGAGCAGCCACATGTGTCTTTGTTTTTTTGATGGCCCACACAACACATGTTTTTTGTTCTCACCCACTTTGGACTAATGCCATAAAAGTTACTCTCTTATAATGTGGTTCTATTGGTTCTGAAAGTTTTGATCATCAATGCTATTGATGGACTCTTGTTGGGTAAAAAGGTTACCTATTAATTACCCTGACGTACTTGTGTTAAAGTAAAAAGGTTATCAATAACTTTAATGGACTTCCTTTTTTTTTTTTCCTTTTTTTTTTTTTTTTACTTATATAAAATATATTAGGTGAATCACCTAATAATATTATTAAAAGTGTAAGGAATTTTAGTATTAATATAAAAAATATTTTTTTAACTAATATAAAAATATTTTTAAAAAAATTCTAACACAAATTACTTATAACTAATTAATTTTAATTACTATTTAAAAATAATTATTTAAAATTAAATTTTACTCATGTGTAGAGCACGTAGGTTTTACTAGTATATTACAAGTAGATGGAGTCTTGAAATATTTTTTAATTTTTAAAATAAATTATTATTTTATTTAATTCTCAAACATATATATGTCCATATATATTTTTTTATATAAATAGCTATACGGCCATAAGGAGTGGGGAGGTGGTGTGTGTTGGAGAAAATTTAACTCCCTCTCACACACTCAACAGCTGACTGTTATTGAGAGTTAAATTTCTCTTTTATCACATATAGCAAAACTATCATCACATTACATCACATCAACACAAGTATATATGAAAATAACAATTACACACATTCACGTACAATACAAATATTTTACATGATTCACCTAACTCTAGGTTTAGGTCCGTGAGATAAAGAGATTTCACTATTATGAATTGAGAAAAAGAATATACAATTACATGTCAGAACCCTACTCACTCACTTATCATCTCTTATGAGACTACATGTATACACTTGATAATTACATATATTCACTCATCTCCTCACAACAGTCCCTTTTACCTCTCTCTCTCTCAACCTCTCCTACCCATCTTTATTTACAGTGTCTTCAAACCCAATTCCTTGTTGGACAGAATAAGGATCTATTCATAACTTCACCTCAAGCTCTTTATAACTCCACCTCAACTAAAGATTTATTCACCTCAAATAAAAGCACTATGATGAACTTGATAAACACTCTAACAGTGTCGCATCTCAATGATTTCGTAACTTTCATTTTTATCTCAACATTTACCAATTGTTTGGGACTCATATTATCAACTCGATTCTCCACATTTGAAGAACGGTACAAGTAATTCGTGTTGGAATTTGCCACAAAGTGGAGATGCCTGCATCAATCACTTGTACTCTCCACTTAAAGTAGTATTATTCAAAATGGTATGCATATCTGCCCTTATATATATATATATATATATATATATATATATAATTCTACATACATACATTAATACAGGAATAGGAAGTGTTTCTAAACATTTTTGTAAATTGTTTTATCATAAATATATTATATTATAACTTCTATAATATGTATTAAAAGTCTCTTTGAATAAAACAATTGTGAATTATATTAACACTTTGCTCTTGCTTATACACACATCAGGAAGCCGAAGTGTTCTATGAAGAAAAAATGATGAAATTTAGAACTATTTATATTTAAAAAAAAAAAAAAATTAGTCACAAGCAAAATGACCTTTAAATTTACCAAAAAATAAAAAAAATAAAATAAAATAAAAATATTAATAAGTCCCAAGTCACGAAATTAGAGAACTCACCAAAAATCAAAAAAATTCATGAAATTAAGAAATGATCGACTAAAATTAACTGACTATATCAAGAGACTAGGTTTTGACTTTTGTGTTCAAAGCCCTGTAATTAGAAGTTTTCAACCTTTGAAAATTGGGCTAATTTTCTACCGTTTTCGATTTTGCTTTTAATGACCTAATCGGTACCCATTTAACAACAAATATACATGAGATAGAGAGAAACAATATTAATTTTTCAATGAATTTTCAAGTACACTTCACATGAAACTTCAAACCTTCAACAATAATTTGGGAGACAAAAAGAAATATTATTAATTCTAATGCTTGGTGGTACTTTTTTTTTTTTTGTTTTTTATTTGATGGTTTAAATTATATCTTAATCAAGCACATCTATGATCTAACCCTAGTCTACAGAACTTATAACCTAAATGTTAAGTTTATTACGTAAATGATTAGACACGGTTCATTTATTTAACATATCTTCTCAAATTGCACGTGATATTGTGTTGCGAAAGAGATTATAAAACGCCATACTGTTCCAACTCACGCACAGAGGTATGTGGACCATGTCACCTACACATGTTGATTGGGAGGCAAGTGTAGATGACATGGGACACATGTTTAACATTTTTATATTAGTATCAATTTGCAGGAAAAGCTACAGCTGGAAAGAAGCTATGCTGACGTTGCTGATTCGGAGTACAGCGTGTCACTTGCCTCCCAATCAACATGTATAAATAAATATAAAAGTGCAAAAAGACAGAATAGCTTATTTATAAACATGTAAAAATGAATTCTGTTGCCATTTTTAAAAATTTTGAAAATCATAACAAAAAACAAAAACTAAAAATGTTACCAAACATGACCTTAGTGGTCGAGCCAATTCCGAAATATCTCATTAAAAAAAGTGAATATACAAGAATGTACCCCCTCTTATGTTAGTAGTCATCTTTTTCTTTTTATCTTTTTTATTTTATGTTGAGATATTTCATATTACTTGTCTTATTTAAAATTTAAAACAATATAAGACTATCTTTTTATAATTTAGGCTTGTTTGGAGTTGCTGTTGGAATAAAAAAAATACTTTTATAGGTAGAGCTGTAAAAAAAATACGGTCAATAATAAACATGTTAGGTGTTTGATGACACAATATAATAAATACTTTTCACAATTAAATTATATTTTTAATTTGTTTGATAACAAATGTTTTTTAAGCCCCAAATTCAAACACTTTACTAAACTAAATTCAGTAACAATTCAAAGCACTTATAATTGTTACTAAACACATTAAAACGCAATTTTGCAAAATAAAAGCATTTTTAAGCCGTAGAGAAGCAATCCAAACGGGCTCTTACTTTATGAGTTTTCAAAAATTTCAAAACCCAATAGCATGCCTGCTTAAACTTGGAAGGACAACTGCATAATTTTAAAAAGGAACCATGCATTCATTGCATGTCTATTTAAAAAGTCCAAATATTTAAAGTGGGTAATTAATATGGGATGAAAGTAATAATAAACGGTCATAGGATTCAACACCATTTTCGAAATAGATAATACTTACACCATCATGTTGATATGGTCAATAATAAATGAATATGTAAAGGTACATAGATACCCCAAATTATAAATGATAGGATCAGTTTAAATATACTCCACCATTTTAAATTTAATAATTATATCTATTTATTATTAATTAACGTCTCACCTTTGTTATATCTAATCAATCACTTGTAAGTAAAAATTGAATAAAATTGATACAAATAATTTCTCTAATTATATGAGTGACTCAGAAAGGACAATTATTTAATTACTGAAATTAATTAGGATGCATAAATAGAAACTTGAGTGGCATATGATTTTTGAAAGACAAAGAAAAAGAAGAAAAGAAAAAAAAAAAAAAAACGGATATTAGAGAAAGGAATAAAATTAACAAGCAAAAAGGGTCCCATACAAGGTCCAAACAAACGGAATCCGCAGGAACTCTTCGAGCATATCAGAACTCGCGCCCTCCATACCCCTCTCTCTCTCTCTCTCTATATATATGTATATCTATATATATAAACGTATATGTATATAAACCACATAAATTGTACATGTATACGCACCAACCAAATCAATCAAAGTCGAGAGTGAAGGATAACTTATCGTTTTTGTTACTTTGAACGGTGAATTTCATATATTTGTTTCGGAGATCCAATTTCTTTATTCAGACAATTCCGGCTTATGTAGATTCATATACGGTAACTCAAATTACAGCTCAATTATTTGAATCCGAATCTTTCTTTTTTGCATACTCTACTCTCTCTCCCCTCGAATCTTACACTAATTCTCCAACTTTGCTGTTTCGCAGAACACAATTCTCTGTTGTTGATTGTTATATTGATACAAGCCTCAGAACAAATAGAGAATTCGGAATCTCCACTTCGGTAATGCTTTTTTTTTTCTTTTTTTTGGTATGTTTTGCGTAATCTGTACATGTATTTTCTGTACTTCACTAAAATATCATCATTGCCTTTTGATTTTGATTTTGTGCTTATATTCTTCTGTACTCGTCTCTTTCTTTTTCTTTTTTTTTTTTTTTTTTTTTTCTTGATTTTTATTAATTTTTATAACTATGCCTATTGTAAGAATAGTGATACAATTGTCGTGTAACCAATGGCATTGATTTTGTGGTTGTATTTCGATTTGAAAAGTATGTAGTTTGTGTTTAGGAAAAATTTGGTCTTTGACAAGACTTCACAATATATATTGTGACATGGAGGTGGGTTCGAGATGAGAAACAGTCTCTCTGCATGTGTGGAGGTAAGGCTGTGCAATTCGGGAGCCTCGTGCAGTGACCTATTCTTTTGATGAGATTTATAATATGGGAGTCACCACAAAATTAGAAGAGATTTTAATTTCCATTTAGTTCTCCTAAAATGCACAAGCCATACATATGCATAAATATCCAAAGTTGGGTAACATTTTGTACTTTTGTTCAATACACACTTAAAATTATATCTGTAGTGTTTTATTAAACATTGTTGATCCAAATTTTTTGTTGTTGTTGTTGTTGTTGTCGTGTTTTTTTTTTTTTTCCTAGTTAAATTTGTTGGTTTTTTGTTTCATTTCCTTTCAGTAGGAAGTTCTTAATTTTCTTGTTTGAAAATAAAAAATAAGAATCTGCCGGGAAGAAGTTTCTGTATGGTCATTAGTAGAAATGAAGAGAAGATATGTGGTGATTGCAATTCTCTGGCTATTAAACATGGTTACTTACTTAGTTTGTCTTGTTTATTTATTATATATATATATATATATATATATATATATATATATATATAGTTTTGTTTATTTATTACTTAGTTTGTTTTGTTTATTTATTCTAAACATATATAATAAAGATGTAGTTTTGTTTCCATTAATTTGGCTCTACTTTTAACTTGTTAATGAGGATATGACTCGTCAACCTCAAAATATTGAAATAAATCTTTTGTTTTCACTCAGAAATTACTATATGCATTTTCAAAGTAGCACATTTTTAGGGGTTGCCTTCTCTCTCTCTGACAAGCAAAGTGGCAAATGATTTAAAAATAGAAGTTGTCAATATTATCTTGTACAGTGAAACAAATGTGATAAACTGCACAATTTGCCATAGGAAGGTTGTTGTGGCATCTTCATTTTCTTTTACTGATATTCTCTCTTTTATATTGTTATTTGTTTTTAGTTTACTCAGGAAAGATGGTTGCCTTTGGGAAAAAGTTGAAGGACAGACAAATTCAAGAATGGCAAGGGTATGTCTACATGCATTATGATTCAATCTAGTTTGTGTTCCTTAGTATTTGTTATGCATTTTTATTGGCATGGTGAAAAAGTTCCGTTGAAAAATCATGTTACACGGACACTTCAAATGCATGAAGTACCCGTTTAATACACATGATGCCTGAGTGTGGTTGTTATTATGAAAACATTCCATTGGAAAATTATGTTACTGGATGCTTCAAATGCATGAAGTACCATGTAATACAAAAGACACATTAGTATGGCTGTATGTGTATGGGATATGCATCCTCTATGTCCAGTTGAACATGTACCTAACAAGCATATATATATATATATATATATGTTAATTTAAGTTTATACTTTAAAACGTTTGAAGTGCCAATGTTAAACACTCCATGTTATTGCCTTACAGAAAGCACCATTTTACCCTAAGATATACGATAAGAATATTTTTTAAAATGAACATTCAGCGGCGTTCATAAGTCCTTATATATGGAGATTTGATACACGTGTCACTCAGACACACATATTCATACTCACACATGCATCCAAGTGTACGTAAAATACTTAAACTTGTAAAATAAGAGAAAGGTGCTTAAGTCTTTTTAAGCATTGGTTGGTGACTAGTATTTTTTCTTTGTTCTTTTTAGATCATCCCCTTGTCTAATGGACTAGTTAAGAGATATTGATTGTACCTTTTTGAACAAGTGAACATTTCATGGAGTCATGGAAACTTGCAATTTAATTAGATTTATCAAAGTTGGAATGAGAAAAGTTTTAGTGATTTTGTAAATGGCTAAAAAACAACTTATGGTAAGTTACTAAGGCTGAGAAAAATACAAATATAGATGGTAAATTTGAAAAGAACTAAAAATAAGTGGAGACCTGACCTTCATATTTTGTGCATGAAGAGTGAAGATAATAGTTTTTCGAAAGTTTGATTATGAAGGACCAAAAAAAAATGGAAGAGCTACATTCCTCAGTTTTTAGTAAAAATCTTGTAGGCTTGTAGCAAGCTACAAGCTTAGGTTGTGGAGAATTCTGTTATTTTAGTGAAATTATAATCGAAAAGCTTTTCTATTGAGTACCAGAATTAGGGTGTTTGAGATTAGACATATGGAATGTAGCACAAACTATAGGACTGGATGGTGTCCTAATTGAGACTATTGAGTTTGGTAATGATGCGCTAGCCTGTGAAGTGAACAGAAGACTGATAAGTGCTAGTTGAATGGAATAAAATCATTGATGTGAAAACATATAAGGATTGAAGAGATGCTTGAAGTTTCACCTGTTATGGTACTACATTAGGGTGTTGAAATCAGTTACACTTGGAGAAAGACGAATGTATGGATGCATCAGTCATGGTACTAGGATTAGGGTGTTCGAAATCAGATACACTTGGTGAAAGATGAATGTAGAACAAACTCCTGGATGGCATAATATTTCAATTTTAATTTGGTAATGTATGGGTGATGAGGTATCCTTGTTTGTGAATTCATTAATGGAAAACTAGGAAATGATAATTGAGTGGAAGAAAATCACTGATGTAAAGATATATAAGGATGGAATAGATCTTTGATGTTGCACTAGTTATGATAATATATATGAGTTCTTGAGTGAGAAAAAAATAGAGACTTTTCCTCTGGATGGAGCATCGCCAGTTCCACCACTATCTGTGAAAAAACACCAAGTGTTAAATCTCTTGGTCATTCTATCTATCCATATACATCGATGGATGCATGATTCAGCATATCCATTTGCTTAAAATAAGTCACTAATGAAGCTAACCAAATAAAATAACTAATTGGAATTTGAAATGGAGTTACTGATACGACTATTATGTAAATTGGAGGTCTATTGTTGATTATTACATCAGACAACATGTTTGTATACTTGTTTGTTGATATGATGTTATTTTGTATTTTTCAGTTACTACATCAACTACAAATTAATGAAGAAGAAAGTTAGACAGTATGGTCGTCAAATTGAAGTTGGAGCACTCGATCGCCGACAAGTTCTCAAGGATTTTTCAAAAATGCTGGATAACCAGGTATTCTAGGGTTTATGTGAAAAACTATGCACGTGTACAATTTTATGCCTTCATTAATCAACCGCGTGTATGTATAGTCTACACAAATACATGTTAGATCTATACATATCAGTCGTCTTTTATCCATTGGCTAACTGTTTGTGGATGCATTTGTATTTTGTCTATTGAATCGCATTGATGTTCTCATTGGATGTTATAATGAATACCCTGTTAAATTATGAGTCATGGGTTAGAGAATTTCTACTCAAAACTTAGGTTGCAGTTGTGTCAAAGTGTCGAGTCATTTATTTACAAGTTACAACCACGAAGATGATGAAGTTAAATGATCAGTGAAGAACACGGCACAAACCTCCCAAGACTTAAATGACATATCTATGTTAAAGGTAAATGAGACCATAGAGACTATTCTTGACCTAAATTTGATTTTTACAAGGCTCGATATTATATTATGAACATGTTTTTCAAAATTAGGGTTTGATCCTAAGTTTTTCCAAATAATTCAAATGAGTTTTTAAATTGGGGGATTTTTAAAAAGACACTATACCTCAATTGATTGACAGTTTTCCATTTTGAAGTCCAGAGTAGCTCAATTGAACCCTAGACAGTAGCTGTCGGTTGAAAGCTTAATCTACCGATGGATAACCAATTGAGAAGGCTCGACGATTGACCTTTGCGGAATCATATTTTTTAAAATTCTCTCATATTATAATTGGAAAAAGATTTTACTTTCTATTCTACATAGGACTCCTATATTGGCTATAAATACTGGTTATAATCAGTCTAGGGTGATTAACTCCATAATCTAGTGAGAAAATTTATATTTTATAGACTGAGAGTTTTGAGATTCAACCTAGGGTTTACCATAGATACATATACTATATATGATTTGGAGATTCAAAGCAAGGAGCACATCAGAGACAACAAATGAAGAGCAATTCAACCAAGTACTTTGAAAATCTAGGATTAAATGGACCATGAAGAAGTAGATTTGCGTGAGGAGAAAATTTGTTGATGGATCAACGGCTAGAAGATTTGAGGAGATCTTGCGTTAGTTTAAGTCAGGAGAGAGTATGTGATTCTAAGGTTTGGAATCTGGTAACTTAGTTGTAAACCTCTTTATCATAGAGGATTGTTCATGGTTGGACGAGGTCCCGTGGTTTTTTGTTTCTAGAGCTTTCTACATTAAAATCTTGTATTTTTGCTCTACTTTTTTTTACTGCTTTATATGCTTGTGTGTATGATTTTTGAGACATGCAATCAAACTAATTAACTAAGTTTTAAACAAGGATTATCAGTAGTTCAAAAAGTTAGTTGTGAATTAATATCCAATAGGACTAATTCACCTCCCTCTATATCTAACTAACCGTGTGTATTCTGACCTATATCAGAGTCTTGAATAACAATTTTATATTTCATGGGCCTCCATTTGTGGGTTCTATAAGGGAAGACATTTTTTTCCCCAAGGAAATTGGTTGCCAGATCATACTTATGCCTTGGTGCTCTGGCTGTTCAAACACGTTAAAATTTAGTTAACAGGAGTTTTTTGTTTCTGTTATTGGCATCTCGTGGAGGGATCTATAGAGTTCAGTTAACATTAAAAATATAAACCTACAATGTTTAGAGAACTTCTATAATAATAATTTAAACCTTCTATGTAAGTAAGGAAGATAATGCTTCAGTTGACTGCTTTTGCCATGTAGATTGTGGTTGTCTTGTTGGATGTCAAAGACCTCTGAGCTGCTTCTAGCTTTAGGGACACATTGTAGTGACAGATGGGTTTTAATTTTTGTTTTTTCTTTTTCTTTCTGGAATAAGGATATGGGGTGGTCAATGGCATTCGGACAACATACTGATATGTAATGTTAGCTTTATTATAAAATAGATAATTTTGTTGAGAGCCTTGTCAACTGATATATAATAAAGGTTAAAGACGGGCTTCTTACGTGTAATTATTTCCATACCACATAGAAATCTAACCTTGGCTGTTTTATGCTTAAAAATTGAATGTAATTGATTGCAATCACTTTCATCTTATTACATTGGCAGATTGAAAAGATTGTCCTTTTTATGTTGGAGCAACAAGGGCTACTTGCAAGCAGGATAGCCATGCTTGCAGAACAACAGGATTCTCTTCAAGTGCAGCCCGACATATCAAAAATATCTGATCTACGAGTAGCTTATAGAGCAGTGGGGCAAGATCTTCTAAAGCTTCTTTTTTTTGTTGAGATCAATGCTATTGGTCTGCGTAAGATATTGAAGAAGTTTGACAAACGGTTTGGCTATAGATTCACTGATTACTATGTCAAAACTCGTGCTAATCATCCTTATTCTCAGCTGCAGCAAGTTTTCAAGCATGTGGTAATATGCTCAAGTCAGAGACTCTGCTTTACTTCTTCATTTTTTATATGTGTGTTCATTTTCTTGGCCATTTTTTTTTTTTTTTTCTAGAATTTCTGGATCAGAGTAGCTTCTAGTCAGGACCCTCCTCTATCTCCATGGATATATATATATATATATATATATATATATATATATTTTTTTTTTTTCTTTTTCTTGGGGCAGACGAGCAATATATAGCATGTCTAGGGTGATGGGTCGTGTGTCAAGTTGCTTGCTCCACGGCCTGCGAAACTTGTCATGCTGTATGATGGCTTTTTGTAAATAGTTATACATGTTATATTTCCTGTATTTTCTATGTTTTTGCATTATGACTGTTCAGACAATCTGGATGTTTCCTCTTGCAAATCCTGTAATGTCTTAGAAATTTATATTATGGTAAGGCTAGTTGGGTAAGTTTCAGGTCCCTTGCTTTGTAGCTCTGCGTACCCCAATAATTTAGTCTGGACACATGTTGCCTACGTTACCCCCTTGTTGCATATTATTAAAAGTTATATCGACTATCATCTGTTCTTCGTGTATATTTCTGTTACTTTGTCATGCACTATTGTGCACTTTCAATTTTGATTTTAATGGTGAGCTTGCTTTGTAGTGTGGGAAACAAGAGCCACATGGCTCCTTTCTTGTGTCTCTGATCCTACACTGTGGCACTAGGCTTCAGAAAATTGTCTGTCATGAAGCTGTAACATATATAAAGAGAGAGAGAGAAACAGAAGAGGCTTAGTAGAGAGGAATGGAAACGTAGTATTCATGTAGCCGACCGCAAGTAATTGGGAAAAAGGCTTGGTTGTTGTTATAGAGAGAGAAACAGAAGAAGTTGAACCCACGGCTATGCTAGATCCTCTGTTTATGTAGTATTGTTAAGAATATATGAAGTAGAAAATTATTTTAGATTTATCTCTCTCTCAAGTGAAAACATAGATGTCTATTCCAGCAAGCCACAAATCTGAAAATAGACTCGCTAAATGCTTTTGTGAGAACATCTCACAATTCACAGGATATTTTGTCATAACCATATTTCAAACAACATGACAGTCAAGTAAATGCAATCCCATTTCTCTCAACAACAATCTTACCCACAACATTTCACAATTCTGAATGAGCCATTGCTCTAAACTCTACTTCTTAACTTGATCGAGGCCATCGCTCCACTACATTTTGCATCTTATTTCTCCAAATAACATGACGAATACATTCCACTGCTGTTGTCTTGAAATCAATACCATATCAAGAAAACTCAACAATCGCAAGGAAGACATCAAAAGAAAGGCATGCGAATCTAAACATTTGTAGACTCAAATACAACCTCCGGAAGCAGTCCAACCAATTGATACCACTCCAACAGCTAAAAATCTGATTATTAACATAACCAAGTCACATCCTAGTATTGAAAATTAGGGGTTTAGGACTCAAACGACATCAAACCATAACTCTTTAACTGGAATACAGTAGAAGAGTACAAGTACAATCATGTGAGATCATCTGTGTCTTTACACTGTCTAAAAACTGACATCTTATGGACAAATCGATATAATTCGTTGGTCAGCCTCTAATTGAAGTTCTGCAGTTACAACAATAGGTTCTGGTTGATATGAGACCAAGAAAGGAGAAGAACAGCAGGGAAAAGAAGAGGAAAGAAGAAAAGGACCAGCTGTTTATGTTAGGACTCCTTGCTTCATGTCATAAAACTGCATCAGAGAAAGAGGGTAGCGTATGGAGAGAATGAGTAATTCAAACTGGCTTCTGTGTTTGTATATTGTTACTAAGAATATATGAAAAAGTACAAAAACTTCCCCCAACTTAACCCATTACATATATTGCTTTTAACAGTGTCTATGAACCATGCTCTCATTGACAATGAACTGAACTTGCAGGGATTATGGGCAGTTGTGGGAGCCATCTCTCGCAATCTTGCTGATCTTCAGGACCGTCAGGGAAGCTACCTATCAATTTATGACCAACCTGCTCTTCCCCTCCAGGTTTTTCCTTGCATCTACTCTACTTGATCCAAGCTCATTCCAATTGTTTATGCTTATATTTCAGTATTTCCTTGCAACCTACAGTTTTGTTTAAAATCTTTTTGTCTGGGCAGCACTACTGTATTTGCGTATTTGGTATTTAATAGATTTTATCTGCAGGATCCTGTTGTTGATTTAATAAAAGCGGCTGTAGACAGATTAACCCACTCAACAAACTTCCTTCACTTTTTGGCGCAACATGCACTTATTATGCAAGAAGAGTTGCCTGCTCCTATTGAGGAACAAGTTGATGAGGAGAGATACCATTTTGTGTCGCTTCTTTTGAACTTAGTAAATACATTTCTTTATATGGTCAACACATATATTATTGTTCCAACAGCAGATGACTACTCTATGAGCCTTGGAGCTGCAGCAACAGTTTGTGGGGTAGTTATCGGTGCAATGGCTGTTGCACAGGTGTTTTCGTCGGTGTATTTCAGTGCTTGGTCCAATAAATCATATTACAGACCTCTAATATTTAGCAGTATAGTTCTTTTCGTGGGAAATACCTTATATGCATTGGCTTATGATCTTAATTCGATATGGGTTCTTCTAATTGGCCGTCTCTTTTGTGGGTAAGTATCTCTCTCTCTCGTGTGTGTGTGTCTTTGAATGTGTTAAAGCATATGTAATTCTTTGATTAGTTCAGCATGCACAACATTGAATTTATACTAATCTAATTCTTAACAGTTTATGCTGCTTGCTTTTACTGAACTTTGTATGATATTGAAATAATAGTTCCACAATTGCATGACAAAATAGTGTTTGGTTCTTAGAACATTTTATACATTTGATTTTATTTTGCATTTTTTAATTTTCTTATTAATCAAAATCTACAACTTTTAGTTCATTACCTTATTCTTGGCTTTTATTTTTCTGAAGTAACTAATAATATATGGTAATGTTCTAAGTTAATAATTGGGAAAATTACAATCTAGTGCTACTTTTGCAGCTTAAAGACACTGACGTCCTATAAAAATTTTAGTAGGACAAAGAAGTCCTACTTTTGAAATTTATTTCCACATAAGCTCAAATTTAAACTTTTTTCCAGTATTACCCTTATTACTAAAGTACCAATATGTATGGTACTCATCCATTCTTTCCTTTAATTTTCACGCTCAAATCCATTTATTAGGCCCAATTTTGATTTGTAATCATTAAAAGAGAATATAAACATTATTTAAAAATAGTCATATATATATATATATATGTGTGTGTGTGTGTGTGTGTGTGTGTGTAATAAATAGTTAAATCCTGTCCTGCCTTGTATGTTTCTTATTATGGCCCAGGCATGGCTACTACGTGGTAGTTAATTTTATAATTGAACCTCATAATTTAATTCAACCCAATTGTATTGCAGATTCGGTTCTGCTAGAGCTGTAAACCGGCGTTATATTAGCGATTGTGTACCACTTAAAATTCGCATGCAGGCTTCAGCAGGTTTTGTTAGTGCCAGTGCTCTTGGAATGGCATGTGGCCCTGCACTTGCTGGCTTACTTCAAACTAATTTTAAGATCTATAAGATCACAATAAATCAAGACACGTTGCCTGGCTGGGTTATGGCTGTTGCATGGCTAATTTATTTGATGTGGTTGTGGATCTCATTTAAAGAACCTTCTCGTGAGACTCAGGAGACTCATATGCCACAAGGCTCGAATGCTGGTATGTTGACTTCTATCATATCACTTGTTCTTGTTTTTGTGTGTCGACTTTTGAAAATATTTCTTTATAAAAAAAAAAAAAATTGAATATAACTCATCAGGTTTTGTAAGTGGGCGTAGAATTGACCAGAAACAACAACTGGAACCCAACTATGAAAGAACAGAAACATGAACTTTTGGTTCCACCAATAGTATAATATGTACTGATCATTGTATAACTTTGTTAACTTACCTACCCAGAGAAAAGTAAGAAAAACTGTGTTGTAGTTTAGTATCTTAAAAGAACCCAGTGTTAGTTGCTCAAAATCTTGAGCCTTGAACTCGCTCAACTTTGAAGTAGGTATCTCATTTGTTTCTTTGCCATAGATGGGATTTTGCACAGATAATTTGATAGCTAAATTTCTATCAGTGACGAGAGAGCTCTTCCAACAAACAGAACAAATAAATAGATAAAATTATGTAGATAAAAGTTGCCCTCAGTGTTATATATATATATACATAATAAACTTTGAACTATTCAGACTTTTCTGATGATAGTAGTCTTGGTCCTTACTTGCTCAAGTTTGCACCCCTTACATTGATAATTTCATTTAGTTATAGATAGTCCGTAACTTAATTAGTGTGAGTCTGGCTATTTTTGTTCTGTCCTTGGAGGTGACGGCTGTTATGTCTTCAATTTATATATTATAATACTTACTTTCTACAAATTTAAGAAAGTTTTCTGATCTATTTATTGCATTATAGTTGCATCACATTAACATTTGGGACTTTTTGTGTGTGTGTGTGCGCACATGCACGGACCTATATATAACTCAGTGTTATATATAGGTTGGTCTGTGCGTGTGCACCCCCACTGAATATTTTTTTAGTATTATACCCTGCTAATTTTCCCTTTTTCAATTATATACCTATAAAATTGCACTATTGCCCCCACTCACATAATTTTCTGGGTCCGTTCGTGTGTGTGCGCACGCGCGCGCGCATCTGTGGTAAGTATTGCAATACTTGTTCTCTCCAACTTTATCGATCTATTAGGGTTACCGAAATCTTATCAATTTATAATTAAATTATGATACTGATTTTTCTATTATTTTCCTTATTTTCCAAAATAATGTTTAGTCACAGGATAAGCTTGAATTTTGACCTACCAAAAAGTTAGTTTGATTTCTGGGCAGAATATGAATAAAATTGGTTAGTGAGTCTTTTAGTCTCTGATTCAGGTTAGTTATACCATATAGATTAATGTTACCTTGAGTACGTACTTGAATTTTTAGGTCACTGATTCGACACATCACATACAACTCTTGTTAGCTAAACCACAATTTTGCTGTGTAAACATTTTGTTTTGCCCATCACTCCCTTGCACCCTTCAATTTCTTGGCCTACCAACCATTGATTTGGTTTGCAACGTTGAAGGACCCCATAGGTTCTGGAGGCTGTAGCCTGACTTTTGAAGTACTGGGATTTCTCTACTTGATAAAATGTTATGAAGAACAAATAGTATGCAGTTGTAATTTGGAGAAGCTGGTAGTTTTCCAGGGACAAAGCTAATATAGTAATCTAAATGAAATCTTGTTACAAACATGAGAAATTTCTCCTTGTTTTTCGTATCTGACTTTGACATTTTCAATCAATTTTGTTATTTTTCTCGATCACTCAAACAGTTTATTCTGGAAATCAAGGTGCCGCACTTGTTCCAGATTATAATATTAAAAATATATCATCAATTTATTGAAAAGACGTTTAAGTAGTGATCACTAGCTGATAGCTTGAGTGGTATTTCCTGCCACTCTTAAACGTAGAGTTTCAGGGTTATACATGCATTACTTATTAAATGAAAAGGATGTTTAACAGCAGATGATGGATTTTCCTTTTTTCCCTTTTTGAATGATAGAATCAGTACAGAATGATAGACTAGAGAAAGGTCTTGCACAACCGTTACTTCTAAGTTCAGAGGACAACCAAAAAGACGAAGATGATGACCAAGAATGTGATGAAAGTGAAGAAGCTCCCGAGGAATCTCGTGGACCGGCCACTTCTATAGGATCAGCATATAGATTACTTACACCATCTGTGAAGGTAAGTGTTTGATTCTGAGTTTTCAATTCAATTTCTAGATCCCTGAATGTCCATTGGAATGTAAGCTTCTGGTTTCATTATTAACATGGCATATCAATTATTAATGGGCAACAATTGTGTAGAGAAGGTTCTAGGTATCCAACCCTACAAGAAATTAACTAGGAGTGTCAGTGATACCAAATTAAATTCATTGTTTGTTAAAGCGGCAATAGGTGACCTGACAGTATATGTGATCTTTGATTCTTCATCAAATTGCTACTGCGAGAAAGCCTCCTTTTTTGAGGTTGTTGACCAGATCCCTACCTGTATATTCTTTAGATAATCAAATTAAAAACTTGGAACCACAGAAAAGTGAATGTAAGGCGGGAGAATTATTTTTAGGACTTGTGACAGTCTGACAGAGATGTTTGGCTATATATACAAGAAAGCTTGAATGCATATTATTGAACGCTCCGTCCCATACTTGCATGACTGTCTACACCAGAAGAGATCTGACTATCTTCTTTAACATTGATTTATCACTGCAATATGTTTTAATATAAATTTTTCCGCATTAAGAAATCTTTCCATAATGAGTTCTCTGGAAGATATAGTTTGTAGGAAACCATGCAGCAAATAATCCTACTATTGTAGTTGTTAAACTGAACTCTCTGTGGAGGCAGTCACAGGCTGGAATTTTGACCTTTACCGTTAGGTCAATATATGTCCCAATTGAGAGACCAAGAATGACATTAATCTGTCAACATTAGCCAAAACTTGAATTATACTTTATAAATGATAAGATTTATTTTTTGTTTTTATATCTTGGCAAGAAACTCGCTCAGCCACTTTGCCCCTAGGGGGAGTTGAACCCCCGACCTTTTAGTTTGGAAGGTTAGGAAGTACCACTAAGCTACAGGCCTTGGTCATAATTGTTAAGTTAAGATATCATTCCTCATTCAAATTAGTTGTGTGTAAACTTCAAATTGTTAAGGACTGGTAGAAAAGGGTAATGCCTACAGATGTTTGTAGCCTTCTTATACTGGGCTAAGTTTTGGAATTCAAGGGATGCATTCTTTGGCAAAAATCATTTTATGCTAGTCTATGGAACACCACATAAGAGAATTATTGGGAATTGTTTTTGGACTTCTGTGCCAGTCTCAATTTTGGAAAGCCATAGTTCAGTTGCTATTTGCATTATGTATGAAGGACCTTTGCACTCTCATTCTTAAATTTTCATGAAATATGGGATTTAATTCACTCATCATAGCTCTTTAGACACTTGGCAAATACTTTGAAGAAATATCAGTTCCATAAAAAAATTTCAACGCACTTTTCTTGACATATCACATCTAAGAAGGAAGTTACTAGATAGAGCTCAAAGATGGTATCACGTCTAAGTTGATCTCTTGTTGCCTTGGATGATATGTGAAATTTTACTGAAGTTTAAAGGCATGCACTGGGATCAAGGAAACTGATGGGTAGCTATTGTGTTTGTGTTACGAAGATAGTTACTGGCTGTTGGTTTGATGTGATTATTATATTTCTCTATCTACGATTAAATACTGACAATGTGGACAAGTAGAGTATGATCATCGTTAAAATCATTTTACATTTTTATTTTTTTGCAGTTATATCTCTTCAAAAGTGATTTGTTCAGAAGAGTCAAAACATGAATATGAAATTAAATTGTGCAAGACTTAAGTTTAGAACTTAAAATGCTTTAATGCAATAACTAAAAATTTTAAATACTATTTGCCGTGATGGAGTGGAAGAGGAAATGTTCAGCTGTCCAAAAACAGAAAATTAGAAATGAATGGAATGTATTTAGAAGTGGTGCCTGGGCTTATTGACAATCTTCGGCTGTTCACTACGTCCCTCTGATTTAGGGATCAGACAGATCAAAGCCCAAGATTATGCATTATGGCATACCCAATTCTGTTAAATAAGATTTTGTCATCAGCTGTTAACTTGCATGGCATCTACTGCCACCTCCATAGAGGAAGGTTTAGGGTTCAAGTCTTGCTTGGGAGACTTCTGTATACAACAACAACGACCAAGTCTTAAAAATTATTGATTCTTCCGTGGGAAACAATTAGACTATATAATTTTTTTTTTTCTGTAAATTTTCCCACAAGGAAAATGAAATAGAAATTTACCAGGAGAAATTAGTTGCCTATGTGCTGACATTTTTTTGGCAATTACTTCCTTTTCCCTCCCAATTTCATCTTTTTTATATGAAGTTCCAAAATAGAAGTTTTTTTTTTTTTTTTTTTTTTTTCTTTTCTGGTGATACAAGTTGATCAAATTTAGGTCTCTCAGAAAGAATTTCTATGATGTTACAGGTTCAATTGCTGATTTACTTCATGCTTAAATATGCAATGGAGATTTTACTCTCAGAATCCAGCGTAATTACAACATACTATTTTGAATGGTCTACGAGTGGAGTGGCAATTTTTCTTTTTTGCCTTGGACTAACAGTTCTTCCTGTGAACATAGTTGTTGGAAGCTACATTAGCAACATGTTTGAAGACAGGTAAGTTTGGAAGGTGTTCTTTTGATCTCATTGACTCGAGCATCCACAATACTTTCTGATATGATGTATACATGTTTAAATGTACAAGTAATATTAACATATCAATTGAGTTTCCCTGCAAAAGTGATAAAAGGAAAAAAAATATCACATTTACCATTCCCATGTCGGATTGAAAGCAGATATTGGTTTATCTTTAGCAAGATATTCCTGAAACTACTTTGTAATACTCATGGAGACAGAGAATATGTATTGATGATAACATGGCTGCAAGATAGTAAAGATAATAACATTGTAAAATTAAAATTAATATAAGCCTTGTTTCCTTATCATTTGCAAGCTAGTAAAGACAATGATATTATAACATTGGTATAAAGTTTATTTTATTTTATTTTATTATTTTTATTTTTAAAATCAGAATATTGATTTATTTTTCTGAATTACAAAGTTTACATATTGATTTTTTCTTCCCCTAAAAGGCTAAAACTATTCTTGCTTACTCCCTCCCCCCCTCCCCTTGGTAAATTATGACCAGAATTATAGTGAAAAATATCTCATCCACAGGCTTTGCTCCTAATTTCTCAAGATACATCGTTGGTAATTTTTTTGATTTCATCTTGTTCCTAGTTCTGGAAAATTCATGGATCTAGAATCTGGCACCATGTGCTCTGTTAAGCCATGTCTGCCGATGGTTCTACTTGTATGTTAAGCTGCAATGTTTGGTATGTCCATACACAGGTCTTACATCATCTGGAATTTGATGGTCAACCAATGAAGGCTTGTTTGAAACCTTGATGAATATTTGTTGCATTTAATAGAAGAACTTAGTACTGCCCATTATGTGTTAATAAAATGTATAATGATGGAATGAAAGCTCATCTGATCTGGGAACGTTTTATATCATGATGCATACTGATTCATTTTCCCTCACTGATCTGGTTGCAGGCAAATATTACTGGCATCTGAAATTATGGTTTTCGTGGGCATACTCCTGAGTTTCAACATATTCATTCAATATTCTGTGCCACAATATGTCTGCTCAGGGCTCATAATGTTTGTATCGGCGGAAGTACTAGAAGGTAAGATTTTTATGGTTAATGAACTTAATTATTTTTATTATGTTTGCCAACAAAGTGTTATATCAGAAAAAGATAAAGGAATGCAGAAGGGGGAAGAACTCTCCTCGGGAGGAGAAAAAGTGTCTTGTTTTCCTAAATGGTTGATGCACCCTAGCAATATAATCTTTTGTTACCAACGGGTCATTAGCTTAGCGGTATCAGCCTCTTACCTCCCAAAGGGAGATCGGGGGTTCAAGTCTTGGAAGAGAAAGTGTGTGTGAGTACCAACAAGGAAAAAAAAAATAATACAGCCTTTTGTTATATGGAGTGGGAAGATGTTAGGGGACTATGGAGTGCAGGCCGTTAGTCTATTACCTTGAGCTCTCATCACTTTACCAAGCATTGGCATTAATAGTTTTTTCCTTGCGCAGTTGCACATTGGTCCTTCTAATGAATGAAGTTGGGTTAGGTTATTCCCTATTTTAGATGATGAGACCTCAGAAGAGGCATTGATTGTGTTTTTTGAAGTAGATGTTTCTTCGATGTGTAGTTGTATTCATATATAACCAAATTGTAATAATTTGTGCATTTCATGACAAATTTCAGAAAAATATTATTATTGTGATTGATGCCCATAACCACCAGCTGTCTACAATAAGTGATTTCTCCAGCTCCTAATGAAAGGTGTAGAACTATATCCCCATGCTGAGACAGGATTTGGGGGGAGCGTTTATGGTTGTAAAACATTGATTGTAGTTGCTTAATTTTTGAACTCAGCTTGAAGCATGGGTTGGTTATGAATTTGGTATTTGTGGTTTTTGACCTACTTTTCTTTGCCGATAATTTGGTTATCAATCAGGTGTCAACTTGTCACTCCTCTCCCGGGTCATGTCATCCAGGCTTTCTCGTGGAACCTACAATGGCGGACTGCTTTCAACTGAAGCTGGGACGATTGCTCGAGTGATTGCAGATGCCACGATAACTTTGGCTGGGTACTTGGGTGATAGCAAGCTCTTGAATGCCACTTTACTGCCTTCACTCTTAATTTGCGTATCCTCCATCATTGCCACCTGCTGTACTTACAATTCTCTGTACTGATTCAATCTGTTGTACTGATAAAATGTCTCCAAGTTCTCTCTCTTATCCTCCTGGGAAAAAAAAAACGAAAAAAGAAAAAGAAAAGAAAGAAAACTCTCGATTTTTTATTTATTAATATAATTTTCAATTTTTTAGAAATCTGTCCATTGTGGGTGGTGAAAGTTGTGTAGTCTCGGGTTTTACTTGTGATGGTAATCTTAGTGTCAAAAGTGCCTATATGATTGCTTTCCAGCAAGTGTCTTAAGATTAGTCTACTAGCGTGGGATCTGGTTACTCTCATGAATTTTAGAGTTACGGAACCAAATACTGGAACTAAATACAACAAGAGGTTAACACTATTGTTTCCTTTCTTTCTTCTATGTTATCCTTTCCTTTTCTTTTCCCTCCTCTTTTTTCCTTAGTCGATAAGTTTTGGCAGTTGGTTCTCATTTAATGATGAGAAAAAAGCAAGATTTGGAAGATTAATCTTGCTAGGAAAATTCATCTTTTTCTCCAACACATTTGTCATTTTGAGAGGTTTTCGAAAATATTGATTTGAACTCTTTTCTACCTTGAAATGAGAGGAAGTACTATTAAACTATAGTTGACGTTCGGTTTCATTAGTACTTTGCATTTAAAAAAAAAAAAATCTAATACTGTAACACATTTTAATGTGACACAAGATACAAAATAATATCAAATATTCAAAGTAATATCAAATGTTGGATTTATATCCAGGGATTTGTACCTAAAAGCATGTGCAAGTAAATGTCTTTTAACAGGAAAGTCAATGGTTTGCTTAGAAAGTCAATGAGTCTAAGTGATTGGAATGACTTGGGCCCATATAAGTAGTAGTATGTCACTAACCATGTCCTTAATGAATACCATTTTAGCACCGGCATTACTTATTTTGAGGAGTTACAATAAGAATAATATTAAACTTTTAATGGAAATTGTTGAGTTAGTACAAAGTCGCCATGATAATTTTTTTTTTTTTTTTTTTTTTTTTCCTGAATAAGTCGCTATGATAATTAAAATTAGAGCTTACAAATAATGGAATAATTTCTCTTTCAAATGAGTTGTGATGATTAAGATTAGAGCTTTTCGTTAGTATAACATTTCTTTCGTGAAACAGGTAGAGATCTAAGTCACGGGAGCAAAAGCGTATTTGAGAGCGGGAATGTAAGAACTTCAGAATTAAGTCATAAGTAGGAAGAATTTGAGCGCGATCGCACGCGGAGCGTGAGAGCGGGAGCATGAAAGTAACACCTGTTGAGAAAAATTATATGCCTTAGGTAGAGATACTCTTCGTTATTAAAACAACAACTATAATAATAAATTAAAAATAGTAAAACAACAGCTATCATAATAAATTAAAAATAGTAGTAATTAGTATTCAACACAAGCAACAAATGCCCAACTGTCGAGATAAATAAGCTGTTTTGGATTTATTATTATTTTTTTCTACAATATTCCACATATATTTTGTCAGGGTAATAAATACAGAGAGATAAAAGAGTTTGGTGGTGCGGTTAGAATAGAATCCAACTAAAATAAATGAAAATATGAACCGCCTACTAAATGAACCCGAACTACTTCACACGAGCAGTTGAATGATTGAATCTCATAAAAACTCCCTTCCAACGTCATCACAACAGAGTCATGTTTTTTTTAAGATCCTCTTCCCGTTAAATCTCTCTTCTGAGCTTAACAAATTTTAATTGAGTAATGATAGGTAATCGAAAGGAGAAAATACGAAAACTTTTCGAATTTGATTTGGTTAAGTTACGTCAGAGTTAAAAAAGAAAGAGTCATCTATGATATAGCTCAAAAGGGCAAAAAGAAAAAGAAAAGAAAAGAAGAAAAATATGGTACTTCCTCTTTCTCTTCACAAACAAGAAACTAAAAACTCTTTCTCTTTTCATTATCAAAATCTTAAATCACAATACACAATAGAGTATAGATAATTTATTTTAATTTGACGGTCTAGGCCATTTAGTCACTTCATTATCTTAGCCAAACAATTTAACCAATTCATTAAAACAAAACAATTAAGGCTTTTATTGGTCTGAACAAATAGGTTAGACAGTTAAGACTTTAAAATGGTTTTCAAATAAAACATTGAAGCTCAAAGCCACACTTATTTGAAGCCCTACATGATAAGACTACAAATGTCTTCATCTTCCACAATATTTATGAAAAAATATTTAAAGCCATGTGCAGGCATTAATTAAATGCAGTTATCAATAAACTCACACCGACTAACGTCTCTCTCTCTCACTCACTCACTCACTCACTCACTCACTCACTCTCTTCCCCTCTCTCTCTCTCTCTCTCTCTCTCTCTCTCTCTCTCAAACAAACTCATTTCGACTATTAATTAGTATCGACTAGCTTCTTTAATTTATATATATATGGTTTTACAAAGTAAGTGAAATGCACAACCACTACTAGTGTGTGCCTTTGTCTGGCTCTAAATTTGCCAAAACACTAGCCTATTGTGTGTCTCACACTTCCTGCATTTTCTTCAATCTTTACGTGTTTTTAGTCCTTACAACCATATACTTTGTTTGTAGTAGCTATTGGTCCCTCATATATCTAACCAGAAATCTTTGTACCCTTTTGAAGTTACTGCCGCATAAATCGTTCAGCTTCAAAGGTTATATAAAGGAATATCAGGTTTGCTTTCCTTTAAATATACAAACATTATATATATATATATATATATATATATATATATATCATATATATACAATTAAAGACTCATCTATGGTGGAATATATTGTTGAGTGAGAGTACTACTGATCATTAGGTGTGGCATGATGGATTTTGGGTGGTACTGGAGATTGATATGTGCTGCTGCTCTTGCTGGGATTCTCTTCTTTCATGGCGTTTGTTTCGCGGAAACAGGTATGAAAAATTTACCTGGATTTTGATGCTAATTTTCTAGCTAGGCAGTCTCTCATCACACATTTAACAGTTTTTGAAATGAATAAGAATTAAAATTAAAAGCATAATAAACATCGCAATCCAGTGATTACTAATATAAAGAGATCGAGTTTGTGGTTAATTGTTGTCACCAGAAAATTCTCTTGATAGCATTAATTTTCACATAATTAAGGAATTATATGTCGTTTTATGGCGGAAATTGTTGGTCCAAAATGTACAACCAGGAATGCATGACTTGTGTTTTTCTTTGGGTTAAACCGGATTTAAAGATCTCTTTTTTTTTTTTTTTTTTTTTTTTTTTTTTTTTTTTTTGTGTGTGTGTGTGTGTGTGTGAGAATATATATATATATATATTTTGGTAAGTAAGTGAGAATATTTTTTCTTTAGTTCTTCTAATTTCCTAGTAGTGTTTTCTTCTCATGTGAAGTCAAAACTCTGAAGGCAAAATTATTTGAGTTTGACAAATATAAAAGGAGTGTGGGAAATGCTAGGAATTGCAAACATAAGGGTTTCACCAAAGTGGGAAATGCTAGAGATCGATTCAATTAAAAGTTTAATTTCTTTTCTTTTCTTTTTTAAATTTTATTTATTTGCTCATCTTTTGGCTTCCTTTCCGTGTGTTACATAAATAAGCAAAAAAGTTAGTTAAGTAATGCACTTCCTTTATGGGGCTTACATGCCCAAAGCTCATGATGTCTTAGTCGTTGGTGTACTTTTTTATTTTTTATTTTTTTACACACTTTTTCCCCTGGTAAATAAACTTTAATTTGTATACAGAAAGAAAACACTTAGTTTGGTTAAATTTGTAACGTCAAGTGTCAACTACCAACAAAAGTTGCTGATGGTATCATTAAATTTTCCACTTCTTTCCTGCATTTAATTAGTTGCAACTAACACCTTCCCTCATAATGACTCTTTAAATGCATTGTTGTTTTCTCACTGCAATTTCTAGAGAACGAACACATGCACAATTTTTTCTCCCTTTTTTTTTTTTTTTGTTTTTCATAACCCTTCGACTCATGCCATGTCACATGTGCATGCCCTCTACTAAAATTGTGATATACTGTAAGAATTTAACTCATTCCTTAAAAGTGATTTCACAAATGGGGTTGAATTTGAAATCTAAATGCACAAAAGTACTTTAGCCACTCATTTGTACTTCTCTGTCAAAGTTTGGCAAAAATATGAGTAGTCAATTTCTACGTTTTTCTAATTAAATGAAAATGACATACAAGATTCGGTTTAATTGACTCTCTCACAACGAAACACCTACCAAAATCCACCACTTTTGTGCGAGAGAGAGTTCTGCAAGCTAGGCGTCTAAATTATCAAAAAAAGAAAAAGAAAAAAAAAGAAGACATATATTTTAAAAATAAAGAAAGAAAGAAAGAATAAACGAAAATAGTATAATTTTAACTAATTTTATTCTCTGGCTCTCTCCACAGCCTCAAACTACACATTCATGCATGAAGCAACCTCAGCCCCGGACATATCATACTATGACTACATCATCATCGGCGGAGGTACCGCCGGCTGCCCTTTGGCGGCGACTCTCTCCCAAAACTACAGTGTCCTACTACTTGAACGAGGTGGCTCGCCCTATGGAAACCCTAACATAACCGACTTGGCCGCATTCGGCCAACCACTCTCCGACCCTTCCCCAACATCTCCGTCGCAGCGTTTCATCTCCGAGGACGGAGTCATAAACGCCCGTGGTAGGATTTTGGGTGGTGGGAGCTGCCTGAATGCAGGGTTCTACACACGCGCCGCCACGGACTACGTGAGGCAAGTGGGATGGGACGGCCGGCTGGTGAACGATTCGTACCAGTGGGTGGAAAAGGTGGTGGCATTTGAGCCACCGATGATGCAGTGGCAATCTGCGGTGAGGGATGGACTGGTTGAAGTTGGTGTTCTGCCTTACAATGGTTTCACGTATGATCATTTGAATGGGACTAAGGTTGGTGGGACCATATTCGACCGTGACGGTCACCGGCATACAGCTGCTGATTTGCTCCAGTATGCAAACCCTAAGGGACTCACTGTTCTTCTGCATGCTTCTGTTCATAAGATCTTGTTTCGAATTAAAGGTACGTAAAAAGGTTCTCAAACCACTTGATTAAAGTTTGTTTGATTTACTCTCAGAAATAATTAAATGGTCTACAATCATAATTCATTTGGTATTTGATAGAGACTAACACTTTTTGTCAGAGAGTTTGTACCATCTTGATTATTGTCCATTAATTAAAAGAATTTTTATCTTTTTAATGTAGTGGATCGAATTACACTTTGAATCCACTGCATTATTATCATCACCGGATTTGCCACATAAATTTTCATTTTTTTCACTCTGTTTTTACTGTATCAAAGAGATAAGAATCATTTGAGGAAATAGGTCCAACTAGAATTAGTTGTATATATATTGGCAATGAAAATTAAAAGCGTGAATTGTAACCATGGAATATTTGAGACCATTGGACAACAAGCCCTATGGTACATGGTTGGTTGATTGGTTCATTTGTTTTACAATTAAGTGAAATGATTCACTCTCTTTAGGTAAAACAAGGCCGTTAGCCCATGGAGTGGCCTTCAGAGACTCGTCCGGGATTAAGCACAGAGCATATCTAAATAGAGGGCCCAAGAATGAAATCATTGTATCTGCAGGTGCACTTGGAAGCCCGCAACTTCTGATGTTGAGTGGAGTGGGCCCTCAAGACCACCTCAAGGCCCATAACATCACGGTGGTGCACCACCAGCCCTTGGTTGGCCAAGGCATGTCTGATAACCCTATGAATGCCATTTTCATTCCCTCTCCCGTCCCCGTCGAGGTGTCCCTCATTCAAGTTGTCGGAATCACTCAGTTCGGGAGCTATATTGAAGCTGCCAGTGGAGAAAACTTCGCGGGTGGAAGCCCACAGAGAGACTTTGGCATGTTTTCTCCTAAGGTATATTATATATACCTTATTTCATTTCACCAATTTTTATTAAGTCATTATAATTGTGTAAAAATATTATAATTCCATATCATTTCAACTTTGAAAAAGGATTTTTTTCAATATATATAATATATTATTAGTTAGAATTATACAAGCTCTATTTAATAATTAACAATAAGTCAATAACTAATGTCATAGTCCAAGTAGTATAACTAGAAAGCTATTGTAGAGGGCGGGCTATAAAATGGTGGTTCTTGATCATATGTTTGTATTTTTATTTTATATATTGCAAATATTTACAGAGTTGGGCTATCCCCAAGACTGGTCAATGACTAAACAAAATAGTCCAGACTTTAGAAAAACCTTCCAATCAAAGTGGGCCATTGAGCAGCCCAATAAAATCAGCCCAGTAAACCTAACTGAAATTCAGTTATAAACTATCCGTTACATATATTCCATTTCAAGGCTAGTAGACCACTCCAAGAAGTGTAAAATTTGTATCACATTTTTACTTCAAAATAAGAAATTAAGTTTTTGTATAATTTGTTACACATTTGCAGATTGGCCAGCTCTCTACAGTCCCGCCAAAACAAAGAACACCAGAAGCCATAGCCAAAGCAATTGAAAGCATGAGTAGTCTTGATGAAGCAGCTTTTAGAGGAGGATTCATCCTTGAGAAGATCATGGGACCCCTCTCAACTGGCCATCTAGAGCTCCGAAATAAGAACCCTAACGACAATCCATCCGTCACATTTAATTACTTCAAGGAGCCTGAGGACTTACACAGATGTGTCGAGGGCATTAGGATTATTGAGAGGATAATCGAATCTAGGTCATTCTCTAAATTCAGATTCGATTTTTTATCAGTGCCGGCCCTTCTCAACATGACAGCACAGTCTCCGGTCAACTTGTTGCCTAGGCACAACAACACTTCCACGTCGCTGGAACAATTTTGTAAGGACACTGTCATGACCATATGGCACTACCATGGAGGCTGCCAAGTTAATAGGGTTGTTGATCATGACTATAAAGTTCTTGGTGTGGATGCACTACGAGTTATCGATGGTTCCACCTTCAATTACTCTCCTGGAACTAATCCTCAAGCCACTGTTATGATGCTTGGAAGGTAATTAATTTAATATATATGTATATATTTAGATATATAACATACATTTAGCGTTGTCATATATATATTGTCATTTATATGATTATTACTATTATAATGTTCATTCAGACAATTTTTTTTTTGGCTATGATGCAGGTACATGGGAGTTAGGATACTGAGTGAGAGACTTGCAAGCGATAATTCAAAGTAATTATCAACTTTAAATGTATATTTTGATTTTGAGGATGATGTGACCTATATGCATGTATGAGTCATGAATACTTATTGAGTTGGATTTCACAATAACGTCTCTCAAAAAAAAAAAAAAAGGACAAATTAATTCGGTCATCTTTGTGGCTTCTTTAGTGGTTATGGTTATTTGAAAATATACACACAAATACACAGTTACTAGCTAGTTGAACTTCATTTTCCGGTAAATTGGTCGATTTGAGTATGGCTGGCTTAAAAAATATTGGAGCTGCTACAAATGAGTTGTCCAAAATTTGGAATATCCTAGTGTAGTGTTTTTGAGCATCTGGTTTGGTTGCTTATTTCTAGTGCTTTTGGTGATTGACAAGTACTGCTTATACCTTTGATAGGGTAGTGCCTTTTCCTGCTATTTTTTTTTTTAAGTTAAAAGGTAAGCTTTATAGAAAGAGAAGGAATGTACAGAGGGCCCCCAAAAGAGATGGAAAAGCATGAGGCAAAACAACAAGCACACCCCATGAGTACAAATGCAAACCAATTGCAAAACCCCATAACCTAACTATAAAACAGACAATCCTTTTCCTGCTAGTTGTAAAGGTATTTGCTGCTGGTTTTTCAAACTCACCAATATTAATCTCCCTCTGTTAATTTTTAGGTGTGTATGTATTGTACCTTTTAAAAGTGATAAATTAATTGTTGCTTCCTGAAAAGAGATAAAAATATGAAAAGTAATTGCAGATAATTTTACACTCTCTGGCAATCGCTCTGGTTAGATATCATCAATTGCATTTTAATTCGAGAGTTGTTTCAAAAAAAAAAAACTTCAGATTTTCAGGAAACACACCCAAAGTCCAAAACATAAAGCCATAAATTAAACATGATCAGATAGAATATGACATAAGATATACCTCAAGGCCCCCAAGTTTTGCTGTCACCTCCTGTAAGCAAAAGAAGGCATCTCCCTTGACTCCTTTATATCTTACTCCCTTCACACACACACACACAAATGGAGAGAGCTAGAGAGATGTAAAATATTCAGAGGTTGAAATAAAGCTAAATAGAATCTATACACAAACATGCAAGGAGCTTTTAAGATAAAAGTAGCACTGCATGGAATGTGTAAAAAGCAAGCATCAAATTAGGATATCCATGGCATAACCCAATGGCATATGCTATTTCTTCAAGCCTATAAAGAAGTTGAAGGTATATATGTCCACTTAAACCAGAGGTGGTTCAAGCCATGGGTGCAGAAACATGACAATGGTCTGGTTCTGATGAGCGAACCAGTTGTAAGGCAACACTCTCTTGGCAGTTGCTGGCGAATTACGACGATCATAAATCGGAGAAGCTGCCAAAGGAGAGTTGCCCTATGACTGTTTCAGCTTAAAACAAGTAATATGAAGGGTGGCTCTTATATATATATATATATAGCTTGCATTTCATGCAAAAGGTATGATCAGAAAACTATAGTGCATGTGTGTTTCATGCATATATTTCCTTAATTTGTAAGTTATGTTCTATGTTAGCTGTGGTCTTATCAGCTTCTTGCTTTAGAAAATTGTATGTAAATATTCTAGAAATTAAACCAGGTCAAGTCATTCATGATCTTAAAAAATAAAAATAAATAGAAGAAGAAGAAGAGGTTATTCATGATTTGAAATTGAATAAGATGTCTGAAAGTTTTTTTTTTTAAGCAAATTGTATTAATATGATAAACTTTCCTACATCAGCGCTGGTATATGTAGGAAAGTTTATCATAAAGCGCATGCTGTGGAGCGTTTGTGCATAATTGCATGCTTGCATAAAATATTATTGTCTAGCTAATATCTTGTTGATATATATTTGATGTTGTGGTGGGCTTTAATGATATGATCTTGATGTCACAACCAGAATAGTAGCCATATAATACATCACATTAATTTATACATCCATGCTAGATGAAATAGTTGTTGCAGCGGAGGGCTGAGACAAGAGGGAGGAAAATCCCAGTCGAGAAGGATGTGACCAGCCTCTCTAGAATCCTTGAGCATTGCAGATGCAATTCTGATCTTGATGAGAGATATAATCTGTGATAGAATTAACTTGGTTTTGGGTTCATTTTCGATTTCTAAATAACCTTGAGGTTCCCTATGTTCAGATGTGGTGGTATATACGCAAACTTCTAGTGCTACTTTTTTTTGGTAAGTACTGACACTTGATTCATGGGATTTTTTTTATTATTTATTTTTGTGTTTTCCAATGCTGTGAGCTCCATTATTCAATTAGATTCCATGTTAACATTCATTTTAATGTTACATTAATAATGTCTTTAATTAATTATTGATTTGAGTTTTGAACTTTTAAAGATCTATAAAGATCTTATATATTAAAGGGTCAAATGCAAAAAAACTCCCTAAATTATTGGCATATCAGCAACTAACCCTCTTGAACTACAAAAGTTACAACTAACCCCTTGAACTATTCAATTTTGTTGCAGATGACTCCATCGGCAGAAATCCGACAGGTTTTGATGGCATGTGTCATCACGTGATGCATATGTTTAAAATAGAAAACCGGAATGCCCTTATTCACATAAAAGGACAAAAATACCCTTGTTATCGTTATAACCAAACACACACTTCATCTCCATCAAACCCATCCCTTGCAGCAACAATGATCAAATCCAGCAATGATCATAGCCGAGCTCTCTGCTCGCCGGACATAATGCACAACACGACCACAAATCCAAGCCCTCGTCGCCGATCACCAACCACCAATCACTCAGCCATACTTTAGTGTATGTTCAGTGACCTATCATCTCAATGATCCTCAAACACAATAACTCATCTCAAGAACCAATTACTTTAGTGTATGAAGAAAAAGTATAATTTTTTATTTTTTTATTTTATCTCAGCCATATAATCAAGCTTTATTATAGAAGGCACAATGTCGCGAGGAAGACGATCTATGAGGCATGATGACTGATTTCGCTTCTCTGCCGCCTTCATCGTAGTTGGTTTGCCCACTCCTCTTCCTCTGATTTGCAAGGGATTTCTCCTCTTTGCAGTGGATACTATCATATCTGCTATGGATTTGCCCAACTTCGTCTTCACAAGGTTTTCTGTATGATTGATTTCTTTTCTTGGTCTTCTCCACCAGATCTGAACGATAGATTGCCGGAAGTCCTCACAGTTTCGGCAGCTGGATCAGAACCAATGTGACACGGGTAAACGAACCTGATTAAGAAAAATTAGTAGATCAAATATGCGACAAACTGGGTTCATTCGGCGATGGAGCCACTGGTTATTTCGGCGACGGTGAAGCCGAAGCCGAAGCCGAAGCCGAAGAGGTGGCGGTGGTTGCGGGTCTTGATCTACACTGCGAAACAACCACCACCAAATCCAAACCCCAAATTGAAAGCCAAGAACGCACAACACGACCACCGATCTTGATTTGCAGGTAGTTACCAAATCGTCATCAATAAATTGATCTGCTGCAGTGGTAGTGATGACATAATTTCAGGTGTGGCTGAGGCGAAGGGCAATTATGGCCAACTAATAATCGTTCATTCTCTCTCTCTACGCTCATACCTGTTGATTTCAGAACCGCCATAAGCCACTGTCGTTCCATCCCACCAAGCTGCACCGCGCTTCAATCTCACAAGCCGAGCTTCTTCTTTCATCGCCGGTCAAACCATCACGACCGAACCCTCACCGGACTAGCTCTTTACAGCCGACCCCTCCATCGCGGACGAGTTCTTCACAGCCGACCCCTCTTGCTCGATTTTGAATCTGTATTTTTATTATTATTATTATTATTTATCATTTTTTGGATTGTATATTGTATTATTGTGTTTGGGCTTTACAATAGGATACAACAGATACATAGGCCTTGTTTGGTTGTGGCTTGAACAGTATTTCGGGACTAGACAATAATAAGGGTACATGTGTCATTTGATTCACTTAGCTTAAACACTCTCAAAACTATGTTGTTTTAATAAGGGTAAATCTGACTTTTTTATTTTTTCTGGCCGGAATGGACTAAAATGCAACAAATTCATAGTTCAGGGGGATTTTTTGTAGTTCAGGGGGGTTAGTTGCAATATGCTAATAGTTCAGGGGGGTTTTTTGCATTTAAACCTGTATTAAATTTAATCTTAATTGCTATACTGATCAAAAATGATAATAATACATAAGTCAATCACTCAATCATACACTGATATCTAGGGCTTCAAATGAACGGGGAGATCATGAACAGTTCAAGCTCGGTTAGTTTAAGGTTCGGTTTAAACTCTCTCGTTCGTTAAACAAACGACCCAAATTCGGGCTTATTTTCTACACTCATTAAGTAAACAAGCCGAACATTAACAATATTTGGCTCGGCTCATCTTGGGCTCCTTGGCTCGTGAACATGAGCTCGTGTAGGTTTGTATATGTTTGTGAACATAAGCTTCGTATAGCATGAACACGTTCATAAACGTAGGCTTGTGTATAAAGAATCCTGCGATTCCAAAAAATCTGAACTGAACCAGACCATTTGAGCCATGGAATCAAACCAGCCCAAACCGTGAAAAAACAGTTTGGTTTAATTTGGTTCCATGGTTCTAGTTGAATTTTTTTTTTTTCCGCTTGAATTGTATATACAACAAAAATATTAATAAAAAACATTCGCATTCCTAAATCCAAGACTAAAATAGAGAGACAAAAAGAGAGGGGAAAGTGGGTGATATAGACCAAAAAGCTAAACCCTATAAATTAAATAAGTTTCCATCTTATTGAAACTGAAAAGGACGATAAATCCGTGATTGAAAACTAAGAAATTTGATTCGTTGTGAATATTGGTTGTGCTTAAGGCGCAAAGACGCCCTGAGACTTAGAGATCTATGAACTAGAAGTGAGAGAGAAGAGGTACTGAGAATGTGAAAAAGTGGACGTCACCGATGGCAGTGAGATCGATAAAAGATCGATGGCGAAAACCGAACTTCGAAGGTTGCTTGAGAGAGATTGATCAACAACTAGATCTCGCAGCGATGAGAACTAAAAAGTGAATGAGGCGGCGTGAGCAAAGAAAAACAATGAGATATATAGTGGAGCAATGTTGGCACACACCCAAAAATCAAAACATTGGGAGAAACAAAAGCAAATAAAAAAAATTAGATAATGATGAATGTTGGTTCCCGTTTGATCGTTGTGCCGAAATCCATTACAAAGTTAAGAATAGTATATATATATATATATATATATATATAATAATAATAATAATAATAATAATAATAATAATAATAATAATAACATATATTTGTATACATATTATAACGGTTCGGTCTGGGCAGTCCGGTCTTGTAGGACCCTAATCCGGGACGAAACAAAAAATTCACGGTTCCATTGTTTTAAAATCGTGACTAGACCGAATTACTATGGAACTGATCCAGACCGCCGGATTCGGTCCAATCCGGTTTGGTTTTTTTCGGCTTAACGATTTTTTTGCACACCTCTATGAATTATCACATTTTTTTTTATTTATTAAATGATCATAATGCCCTTTCTTATTGAATTACACTTAATATATTTTTTTTCGTACGTAAAATAAATACAAAAATAATTATACTATTTTAATGACATATTTCCCTTCAAATGTGCATAAATTTACCATTCATTATTGAAATTAAATTTTTTAATAAAAATCTTAAGTAGAAATTTTTTTAAAATTTTTTTAAAGTAATTTTTTAATTTTTTTATGAATATACTGTATGAAAAAGTTTTTTTTTAAAAAATTCATTGAAGTAATTTCTTATTTTTTATTAATATATTGTATGAAAAAAACAATTCCATGTAAAGGTGTTTAAACAGATTTTACTTTAAATACTAAAGTTGTAATAATAAGTTAATCATTTTAGAAAATGGCTAAATTTGTTGGAAGTTACAACAGTGCATGTATTTTTATCTTTTCCCATTGTTATGATAAATTGATATAAATAATAAAATTAAGGTAAAGTTGAAAAAAAAAGAGAAGATAATTGGTATAATTAATATTTAGATAAGGAAAGGATAATAAAGATAATTTAATAAAAATTAACTAATTTAGTAAGAATGGGTAAAATTTTCTTTTGTGATGGGTATATCCTAATTATAACAAATTATTAGTTTAAGGGGGCGTTTGGAGAAAGGGGTGTTTGCACAATCAAACCACGTCATTTTATTAAAGGGTAATTTGATAATTTAATATGTTGGATAACCTCCTCTAATGTAGAATTTTGAGTTTGTCCTTAAAATAAGTCATGGTTCATGAGTCATGTCAGCTGTAATATAACTTTGAAGAAGTAAATAAGATTTCTTACTTTATTCAACTTTGTCCAAACTTTATACAAATATAGTTCTTGGGGGTAAGAATCATCAAAAGTTGAGATGGCCGAGTTGGTCTAAGGCGCCAGATTAAGGTTCTGGTCCGAAAGGGCGTGGGTTCAAATCCCACTCTCAACAAAATAATTATTTTTTTTATTTTTCCCTCTTTTTAAGTTTATAATCATGAACTCAGTTTCTAACATTGACAGGACTATTCCAAATGAGTTCCAAATGTTAAAAGGTGTCCATTTGAAGATGTCAAGTTAACCACAAGCAGGAAAGTTTCAGTAGATCAAAAGCCTGCTCCACTTTAGCTCAACTTTTGAATTGGGGTCACGTTTGGGGGACCCTCAGCCTCTACTTTGACAGCTCACAACACCATTGACATTCATAAACTAGTCCTCTCATAGAAACCAAATCTCAATTTTATTTATTTAAAAAGGGTATTGGAATTCTCTCCATTATTCAAAACAAAAAAAATTTGCCGCTAAGAATTGTATAATATATAGATAATCCTCCAAAAATGCCAATCTGTAGATTACAATATAATGTACAACAAATGGCACAAAACATCGTTTGTGACAGCAGGCAAATACCATTTCTGAATTTTTTTTTTTTATTTTTTTAATCGGAAGCAGGCATCTTGTTTTATGGTATCCAACATTTCATCCTCGGCTTCAAAGTCAAATTGTGTGAATTTTATTATTATCATTTATGAATAAGTCAATTGTGTGATTTAGGTATTATTAATTTATACACTTTATACCACAAACTCCTAACCAATGTCTTCTCAATTGGGGCTAATCGTACGCCTACTAACCTTTGCTTGAAGGAAGGGGCAGAGAGGTCACATTAATTAGATAAAATCTGTAAAGAGATTTTGATTTCTAGCCTTTATAGTTTTGACGAGGAAGACTTTGCAAAAAAGAGTGCTGTACTGATCGAACAGAAAAGCAAGTGACAATTAAGACAAACCTGCTTTTGTGAGGGCCAAAGACATGCAAGCTTGAAAATGACTGGTCTATGCAAAACTTTGGAAAATATCAAACTAATTGAAAACTATTGCTATTGTCATCTAGTAGTAGGAGAGATTAATTTGAAGAGGACCCTTTCAACAAGCTTCAGCCTGCACTAATCTTGCCGGCCACTATCAGAAGCTCAGCTTGCACTTTTCTGTTTTTTTTATTCCCATTTTCCCATCTGCCAAACAATAATTTCATAATACCACAATGCCCTTTATCTCTTGGAAAAGCACCACAACCACTTCTTCTAGCAAGGAAGGTCATTAACTCTAAGATCACTATTATTGACAAAAATGGGTGAAATGAAGATGTGATGAACATGTGACGTATGTATTTCGTGTCAAAATAAAAGTTAATTTGGGACCCATTGAATTATTTAGCTATGAACAGTGCATATTTTATTACTGATATTCTGGGATACATACATCTGAATCTCTCCGGACCATACCGCAGATTTCACATCATAAAGAATTAGGAACTATAGAAATGATCGATCACCTCTATTTTTTAGAATTCCACATTCCTGCATAGTCAAATGCCCAATGACCAAGTGGAGCAAAATGGGTGAAACCTACAAGAATAAAAACAAGGAAGAAACACATAAAGAAAAGACACAAGTGTGGAAAGAAAAATAGAAGGGGAAAAAAAATGCAATCACCTTGCATTAGAGAGGCCTCAAAAGCTTGCTTTCATGGTTGCTGTCCAGCTCCTTTTCTTGGCTTGCCTGAGCCCCATAATTCCACTTCCAAGCCACCCAACACCGTGACCGCTTTCCAGTATGACTTCACTGCTCTCACAGCTTCCTCCCTCCAACCAAACACCCACTTCAGCAACCATGAATCTCTCCCTTTGTTGGAAGAATCAGTCTCCATCTTCAACAAAGTGTATCCACAATACTCACAGACCGATCAGGCAGACCAAATCCGAGCCAACGAATACTATCATCTCTCCTCCTCAAGCCATGTCTGCCTTGATTACATTGGCCATAGCCTCTTCTCCTACTCCCAGCAACAAAGTCATTGCCCTACAGCTTCAATTGCCTCATCCTCAACATCTCCTCCACCACTGCTTTCTAATGCTTCAAATGTACCCTTCTTTGATGTTCATTACAAGTCAGTGAATTTGCATTCTCAGATACACTATGGTGGCCAAGAATCAGAATTTGAATCCAAAATCAGGAAAAGAATCATGAGCTTTATGAATATATCTGAAGATGATTACTCCATAGTTTTCACTGCCAACCAGTCATCTGCTTTTAAGCTTCTAGCAGACTCTTACCCATTCCACCACAATGAAAATATTCTTACAGTCTATGACTACGAAAACGAGGCAGTGGAAGCCATGATCAAGACCTCCAAAAAGAGAGGCGCCCGAGTCTCGTCAGCTGAGTTCTCATGGCCTAGCTTGAGGATCCAATCAGGGAAGTTAAGGAAGTTGGTAGGGAGTAAGAACAAGAGAAGAAAGAAGGGATTGTTTGTTTTCCCCCTCCAGTCTAGGATGACCGGAGCTCGGTATTCCTATCTATGGATGAGTTTGGCACAGGAAAATGGTTGGCATGTAATGCTTGATGCTAGTGCATTAGGAGCCAAGGACATGGAGACCTTGGGCCTTTCTCTCTTTCAGCCAGACTTTCTTGTTTGCTCCTTTTTCAAGATTTTCGGAGAAAACCCTTCCGGCTTTGGCTGCCTGTTTGTCAAGAAGTCCAGTGCTTCAGTGTTCAATGATTCCAACACAGCAACAAGCATAGGAATTGTTAGTCTTGTCCCGGCCACGATACCAGTTCAGTCCCTTGAAGAATCAGCCATTACAGATCAAGAACTCGGACAAACATCAAAAATAGAGTTACAGAAAGAGGACTTGGCCGAGACAAGTTCAATCTCTACCTCCAAATCTGTTCAACAGAGCACTGGTGAAATTTCTGAATTGCATGACCCCAAAGAAGTTAATGTCAAACAGAAGGAAATATCATTCTCTGAAATTGTAGAATTAGATAAACCCCCAGACACTGCCCAATTCACAAGCACTCAGACCAGTATTGGTGGACGCACAGACATTGAATGCAGGGGCTTGGACCATGCTGATTCATTAGGCCTAATACTGATCAGTACCAGAGCAAGGTACCTTGTGAACTGGCTAGTAAATGCACTGATGAGTCTTAGACATCCACACTCAGAAAATGGGCTTCTTCTAGTACGAATCTACGGGCCAAAAATAAAGTTCAACAGAGGACCAGCCGTGGCATTCAATGTGTTTGATTGGAAAGGAGAGAAGATTGATCCCTCACTGGTACAAAAGTTGGCTGATCGCAGCAGTATTTCTCTCAGTTATGGATTCTTACACCACATTTGGTTCTCGGAAAAGTATGAAGAAGAGCGGGAGAGTATAATAGAGTTAAGAAGCACTGAAGAAGAAGAGACAATGGGAAACAAAAAGAGAAAGAATTATGAATCTGGGATATCAGTGGTCACTGCTTCACTGGGGTTCTTGACAAACTTTGAAGACGTGTATAGGCTCTGGTCATTTGTTTCGCGCTTCTTGGACGCAGACTTTGTGGAGAAAGAGCGATGGAGATACAAAGCTCTTAATCAAACAACAATTGAAGTTTGAACACAACTTATTCTTTCATTCTTTGCCATTGTGAGGAGCAATAATGTATTGTGTATTTTAAGTTCCATGGTTCTTTCATTGAATTAATATAAGACCCTTAAACAGAAGAGATGGTGGCACTTTTTATTCTGTTCATTCATGCTTCATATAGAGAGACACACTAATATACTACTAAGCAGTAAAAGAGTGCTATTTGATAAACACAAGAAGTATGATCCAAATGTATAATATACATCATTCAATTAGAATTAGGAATTCAGCATATCATAAATATTATTTATTTCCAAATATATCCAACTCAAATGTACAAACTTAGATGCTCCGATAAAAATTACTAACTGGGAACAGCATGTTTGACCACCAAGCAAAAATAGAGGAACTGGAGACCTCAAAGACATATGTTACTATAATAGGTATCAACGAAATTAAGAGACAAGTTTCTCCCCGGAATTTCATCGAACACTTGAAATATGTCCCATCCACCACAATCAAAACTATCTAGCAACCTCCACAACTTTGCCTTTCTTTAACCCTACAAAAGTACCCAATACTGATAAACTCGAGAAGACAAAGTTCCAACTATTTTATCTTTTGTGCATTCAACAAAAAGAAAAAAAAAAAAAAAAAAAAAATGTCTTCCCTGTAAATATATATATATATACACACACACAGTCCTTAACTTGTGTGTTTTTTTTTTTTTTGAATGGTAGTCCTTAACTGCTTGATACATCAAATATGGGCAAATAGTACATTTGCAGAAAAACAGCAGTACATGAGTTGTCAGGCCGTCTTCAGAAGCAATCAACATGCTGACAAAAACAAAATCCTTTTCTTATCCTGTTGCTCAAGCCCAACACCTTGTTACTAAACAACTAGTAGTAATAACATAGGAATTACAGTAGTAGCAATAGGTCAACGAGTCCTCAGAGCCACTTATATTGTTCCTTCATTTGTGAATTTTTGATAGTGACCCCTATCTATATAATGTAGAATCTAGTGAGAAATTAATACATGATTGGAACCAGGTGATCTGGCCAATCACAAGCCATCACATAATTTAAATTTTTTAAAATAAAGTTTAACTTTATTTTATTATTATGAAGTCCTAACAAAAGGTTTTGCTTATTTAATATAAAAATGTTGTTAACTCCTAACAAAGAATTGCAATATTTAAAAGTATACGGGTGTGTGCATAAAGTGAAATGACATAATTGTCTTTAACTTATAAATAATGAAATAAAAAATTAAAGGTATATTGGTCATTCATGTTTTATTTTTTTTTTAAAAATAAATAAATAAATAAATAATAATGTGTGTGCATATGATTAGAAGGGGATTACATTTATCATTTCCCAGTGATAAGTTTATACTTTTCAAAATAGAAGATTTAGAGTTCAAATATATAAGAAAGGTTCGTCATTTTTCCATCTGTTAATTTCTGAGAGTGAGGAGAGAGAAAATGGCCTCCGAGCACAATGTGGGAATTCTGGCCATGTAAATCTATTTCCCTCCTACTTGTCTCCAACAGGTGAAGAATTTTAATCCATCTCTTTTACTGTTGTTTAAATTCGATCAAGATCGTTGATTCTTCTTTGGCTCGTTTGGTTCAGAAGCTTTAAGCGTACTTATTTGGGTTTCTATGTTTTTGGGAAAAATGAGGTGGATAATTGGATATGACATGGAAAATCCATTTACAAATTCATTTTTCTGTCACGTTTAAGTAAAAATCTCCCCGTTTTGGCTAAGAAACCTGAAAATTTTGGAGTTTTCAGTGATTAATGTGTTATGTTTGTCACACACTCATATATCTATGCATGTGGGTATATATGTATATAACTTATGTGACCGAGCTCAACAAATTTGTGCTCATGGGGAGTGAGTCGAGTGACTGTGTGAAGTTTTATTCAAGACAATATTGAAAAATTTAGTTTTGGTTCTTCGGTGGATTTGTTATCTTCTTATCTTACATAAAATATATATTGGTCCACTTGTGAAGAAAATTATTTATTGTATAATTTTTTGGTGACCATAGATTTCAGGAGCTTCTGATGTGTGTGTGCGTATGTAATATATAATAATATGAGTGTGGATATATTTCAGTAAACATTTTCGGGTGGTATCAAGATGCATGGTATCAATATCATGTAATCTGTATGAGATCAGATCAGACTTTCCCCAATCAATCATCAATTAATGTCTCTAAATCAAGGCCAAACAAACATGCTGATTTCCACAATCAAGCACAACCAGATTGAGAAACTATCTTCCATGAATCAAGGCTCTGCAGATTATTATGTTCCTCTAATTTTGGATCGTGTCTATACAGATTTAAAATAGTTGTCAATCAGCATAATCACTCCTTTTGACCAGAAACTGATTTTATTAGTTTCAGCAAATAACTATTGCAGTCTCTGTATTTAAGTGAACAAATCCTTGTTGTAGAAGGTGTAATGAAATATATACAACCAAAGTAAATTATTCTGTCTAGTCAGTTTATTTCTCTATATGGTATCAGACCTTCCCTGCTCCAACGAGCAAGCTGATCCTGTTATTTCCATGGCTGAAGAAAGTTCTCAAAATACTAAAATCCCATTGCCCATTAACCCAACATCAAACACTAGCCTACCCAACCTTATCTCCATCAATGCATCAGCCCAATTGCCATTCAAACTCACACCTTCCAACTATCCTTCATGGAGAGCTCAATTTCACTCTCTTCTTTTTGGATATGATCTACTTGGTTATATCAATGGCCTCACTCCTTGTCCCTCTAAAACAATTGTTAAAGATAATCAAATCGTCCCGAACCAAGCCCGATGAGACAAGACCAACTCCTTCTCCACGCCATCTTTGCATCTCTATCTGAACCTGTCATGCCCTTGGTTGCTTCAGCCAAAACATCACATGAAGCTTGGAACAAGTTGGCCAAGCTTTATGGCAATCGCTCTCGGTCGAGAGTAATGCATCTTAAGGAACGTATCACCCTGATGACTCGAGGCACCCAATCTGTCTCTGTGTATCTTCAGTCATTGAAGGGAATTGCTGATGAACTCGCCCTAATTGACGCTCCACTCAATGAAGATGATCTTATTATTCATGCTCTCAATGGACTAGGAGCCGAATTTTAGGAGATTGCAGCAGCGATCCGTGCCCGTGACAGTACCATTAGCTTTGAAGAGCTTCATGACAAGCTCGTAGCTTATGAAGTCGCTCTCAAGAGAGACGAAAAACATTAAGAACTCACTCCAATTACAGCCAACTACATTAGACATACTGCAAGTACTGGTTCTAATTTTTGAAATGGCAATACTCCAAATCGAGGCGGCAGAAACTCTTCCAACTCTTATCATGATAGATCTTCAAATTACAGTGGCAATAATAATCACGGCAGATTTTCAAATCTCAATGGCAACACTAATCACGGCCGATCCTCCAATTCTCATGCCAATAATAATTCCAGTCGATCTTCCAATTTTCATGGCTCCAACAATGTTACCTGTCAGCTATGCGATCAACGGGGCCATACAGTACGACATTGTCCCCGAGCCCGACCTTACTCCCCTTCTGGACCCATGATCAATCACACTACAACTCATCGCTTCTCCAATCCAAGTTGGCTTGTTGACTCTGGAGCCTCCCATCGTGTGACATCCGACCTCAGCAATCTTTCTCTCCATCATGATTATGAAGGTCCTGATGATATTGTCATTGGAGATGGTTTTGGGCTTGCCATTACACACACTGTTGCTACCAAATTTTCTACTCCTTCCGCTTCTTTTAATTTATCCAATGTCCTTTGTGTTCCTTCTATGAAAAAAAATCTAATATCTGTTTCTCAATTTTGCAAAACAAATAACACGTCCATTGAATTTTTTCCCTCCTTTTTTGTTGTGAAGGATCTCACCACGGGAGCATAGCTTCTTCGCGGGTTGACCAAGAATGATGTCTACGAATGGCCAGCGCTTACGGGCTCCTACCATTGCTCACCATGTGCTCTGGTTGGGTTTGCAACTTCTTTCGCTAGCTGGCATAATCGTTCGGGTCACCCATCTTCCAAAATTCTGCACCATGTCATCGCCACCTAGTCTTTACCTGTCTCTACTAAGCCTTTCAAGGAGTTTGTTTGTAATTCTTGTCATTGTAATAAAAGCCACAAGTTACCATTTGGCGTTTCTACTCTTCAAAGTCGAAAACCACTTGATTTAGTTTACTCCGATGTTTGGGGTCCGGCCCCTATTTCTTGATTTGATGGTTTTCATTATTATGTCATTTTCATCGATCATTTTACTAAATACATCTGGTTATATCCTTTGCGTAAAAAATCTGATGTGCTTTCTGTTTTTATAAAGTTCAAGTCCGTTGTTGAAAAATACTTCAATACGTCTCTTGTCACACTTTATTCAGATGGTGGTGGGGATTTATCAAACTCAAATCTTTTCTTAAGACTCATGGTGTTCAACATCTCACTACACCCCCATATACACCTCAACATAATGAAACAGTTGAGAGACATCATCGTCATATCGTTGAGACGGGCCTTACCCTTCTTCACAAAGCTTCACTCCCCTTGTCATTTTGGAGTTTTGCCTTCCAAACAGCCAGCTACCTTATCAATTGGCTACCCACACCAATTCTCAAGTATAAATCCCCGTTTGAAGCTCTATTCCGTTCCCTTCCCAACTATTCTAAATTATCCGTGGCTGCGACCTTACTCTAGCCACAAACTTGAACCCCGATCTCGCCCTTGTATTTTTTTAGGTTATTCTACCTCTCAAAGTGCCTCTAAGTGTCTAGACCAATCTACCTCCAAAATTTTTCACTCTCGGCATGTTCAATTTTTTGAGCATCTTTTTCCATCTATGTCATCAAACCCTTCTTCCTCCTCCAATGTGTCAAATCTCTCCTCCTCTCTCCATCTCCACATGGTCCGATTGCTCTCCCACGCTCAAGGCAACCAACCCGTTACATTTTTTCTATTCCATTATCTTCCTCTCGTTTTCAGTCCACCGAAGTTGCTGCCCCAGCCTCCTTTGCTTCGCTCGTTGCTACTGTTCCCTCGTCTGACAGTCCTTCTTGTTCTACTATCCCTATGGCTCGTGATCCTTCCACTCCATTTTCCGGTGGTGAGTCATCTC